TTTCTGCCGGCTACACGAACCAGGGCTGAGATGTTTAGAGGTCGACTGTCCTCACAGACCATTCGAAATCGGTTGCGGGCTGCCAATCTCCATTCTCGACGTCCATATCGTGGGCCAATATTGACGCCGTTTCATCCACGTCACCGTCTGCTGTGGGCCCAACGTCACCTCCGATGGACCCAGAGAGACTGGAATCGAGTCGTCTTTATCGATGAATCCAGGTTTACCCTCAGATTCGCGGACGGCAGGCATAGAGTCTGGAGACGACGTCGTGAACGGTATGCCCAATGTTGTGTACAGGAAGTCGACAGATTCGGTGGCGGAAGTTGCATGGTGTGGGGTGCTTTCTGTGGGAACAACCGTTCCCGACTTCTGGTCATCCGTGGAAACCTCACAGCTGCTGCTTACCGCGACCAGGTGCTCACCCCTGAACTCGTTCCTTTCATGGCGGCTCATGGCCCAGGTCTACAGTGCCAGCATGATAATGCTCGGCCACATACCGCGATGTTGACACGAAAATTCCTTCAAAACGCTGGAATCAACGTCATGGACTGGCCATCGAGGTCCCCTGACCTTAACCCACTAGAGCACGTTTGGGATGCACTTGGGAGAAGGCTTCGTGGTCTTAGGAACCAACCTCAGAATTTGCAGGAACTTGGCGCTGCCTTGCAAGAGCAATGGCGCAGAATCCCCAACCACGTGTTCACAAGCATCAGGCAGTCGATGAGGAGACGGTGTTTGGCAGTGGTGAATGCGCGGGGCGGCCATACACGATATTGAACTGAGAAATTTCGCATTTTTATTCTTGTGACTTGACATTCTGTATACCCATGTTTTGGAACGGCGGTGTAGCCTAATGGAACTGATTATGGCTAGGGCTTCCACGGGTACTCGAGTACTCGAGGACGAGTCGGAGTCTAGCTGGACTCGAGTCCATTTTCAAGGACTCGAGGACTCGAAAAAGGGAAGATAACTTGGATTATTTGACGTTGACAGACTGTCGGCCATGTGCTTAGCATGAGCGGCCGTTAACGTCTAATATTAAGATAAGATATAACTTTATTATCCCGGAGGAAATTCTTATACATCCAAACTGTCTCAAAATGAATATATACACAGTTCACAAAAATATACACAATAATCACATGCTCAAACCGAGATGCTATTTATAAATAAAACTGACATGATATAATTCAATTAACCACATAGGTAAAGAGGCTGAATAATTCTAGTTCTAATCACATGATGGTGATTCAAAATATTTGTTGCATTCACGAATACCTAATGGTATGAAAGACTGTCGAGCTCTGTTTGTTTTGAGGGAAGGTAATCGTCCGCAGCGTCCAGAAGGAAGTAGTTCAAAATGTTGAGATCAAATATATCAACTATCAAATCTAATTTTAGCTCCCTTTTTGACAATCTGGCGCTCATAGATAAATGGAGTACACTCTCGAAAGACACTCCAGAAATTTTGCAAGCAGTATTAACAATTTTGAAAAGTTTGTTTTTGTTGCGATGAGACAGATCCCCATACCAACATAGAAAATTGTAGGTCAACACACTTTGAATAAAGGTTTGATAAAAAACTGTCATTACGGTTTAGTCAATGCCTTGACGATAATAATGTTCAGAATCAGAAATTAGGCCAGTAATAGTGGCGTCACCTGCGAATTTCACAGTGAACAAGTCATATATTGACAAGTAACAGTCATTGGTATACAAAACGAAGAGTACGGATGAAGGAACACAGCCATGTGGAGCTCCAGTAGAGGTTGAGAGAAAAGAAAATTGATAGCCATTGACACTGACACACTGAGTTCTATGTACCCTGAATTCTTTAACCCGTCTGATGATGTTTTTATTAACACCTAGATTAAATAGTTTACTCCTCACACGGTGTGGCTGTATGGCATTAGTTGCTACAAGTCTGCAGATGAGAGTAAATATTATACATGGTTTGAGTTTTCACTTTTTAAAATGATTAGGTAACTATCTTGATAGACAATTGATAGACATGGAGAAAGATAAAAAAAATCAAATAAATGGGCGTATCTTGATCTGGATAGTGAAAAGAGCAAAATAACCAAATGACGCCAAATCAGGTTTTATGCAGTCGATCACGTGATCTTCGCATCGAAGCAGTACAAATTGGCCTCGAAGAATTGAAAAACACTTTTTAAACCAAGTTAAACGGTACTTGAAATACTGATTCTCGAATAACGTGCAATATGAAATGTTAGTGCAAGCAGGAAGATCAGTTATTGACGTCGCAAAGCAATGGGATGCAGCCGTCGTACTGTGTATGACTTGCGAGGGTCGTCTACAACAAAACTGGCACCACTTCTGATCGCCCAAGGTCGGGTCGTCCACGTGACGTCACGAGCAGAAGGTCAAATCGTCCTACGTCACCTACGTGACAGATTTCTGCCGGCTACACGAACCAGGGCTGAGATGTTTAGAGGTCGACTGTCCTCACAGACCATTCGAAATCGGTTGCGGGCTGCCAATCTCATTCTCGACGTCCATATCGTGGGCCAATATTGACGCCGTTTCATCCACGTCACCGTCTGCTGTGGGCCCAACGTCACCTCCGATGGACCCAGAGACTGGAATCGAGTCGTCTTTATCGATGAATCAGGTTTACCCTCAGATTCGCGGACGGCAGGCATAGAGTCTGGAGACGACGTCGTGAACGGTATGCCCAATGTTATTGTACCAGGAAGTCGACAGATTCGGGGGTTAAAAGTTGCATGGTGTGGGGTGCTTTTCTGTGGAACAACCGTTCCCGACTTCTGGTCATCCGTGGAAACCTCACAGCTGCTGCCTTACCGCGACCAGGTGCTCACCCTGAACTCGTTCCTTTCATGGCGGCTCATGGCCCAGGTCTACAGTGCCAGCATGATAATGCTCGGCCACATACCGCGATGTTGACACGAAAATTTCCTTCAAAACGCTGGAATCAACGTCATGGACTGGCCATCATCGAGGTCCCCTGACCTTAACCCAATAGAGCACGTTTGGGATGCACTTGGGAGAAGGCTTCGTGGTCTTAGGAACCAACCTCAGAATTTGCAGGAACTTGCTGCCTTGCAAAGCAATGGCGCAGAATCCCCAACCACGTGTTCACAAGCATCAGGCAGTCGATGAGGAGACGGTGTTTGGCAGTGGTGAATGCGCGGGGCGGCCATACACGATATTGAACTGAGAAATTTCGCATTTTTATTCTTGTGACTTGACATTCTGTATACCCATGTTTTGGAACGGCGGTGTAGCCTAATGGAACTGATTATGGCACTGTCAGTGTATCGAGTACATCACACAGATCTCAGCAATGAAATAATAACAATTTAACCACCTTACCATCTCTTGTTCTTTTATAGTGCCCTGAAGAATGAATGTGAAGTTTCTTTTTTGACTCAGTATAGTTATAAAAATTATAAACAACAATAATGGTGGTGATGATGATGATGATGATGATGATGATGAATACTCACATACATAATACTCATATGAGAAGTTATGATAATCATATGATTGTATCATACTCGCATGGCAATGTTTTCTGTTCACATAGGCAAAGTGTAAAGAGCATATTAGTGAGCAATATATAAACATCAGATGGCAATATATAATATAAATTTTACATGGAACTGTATGATATTAATATTGCAATGTACGATGTTCCTATAGCATGATACTGTAACACTATATTCAAACATGGTAATGTATTATTCAGAGGTCTATATATTATTCTCGCAATTCGAACCCAGTATGGTAGTATCCTGGGCGGCTAAGGGAAGCAACTCGTGCAGCCTTTGACGACTGGGCAACCTGTGTCGCAACATGTAAGCATCATATCGAAATGTAGTCAATTGTCCGCAGCTTGTGATGGGAAGTAGCGAATGTCTAAATAGTGAGGGAAGATCAGCTGCCATGACCTCATTTATTCAGCCGCGGCATATATGTGTCCGGACTAAAACCTGTAGGAACAGAAATCTATGGTTTTGAGGTACTTTAATGAGAGAATCCAACACTTAACAGCAACAGCATTAACATGAAGTCATAGAGTAGCTAGGATCACCGGTAGTAGACGAGAGAAACAATATATACTCATGCCAATAATGGTTGTCACCCACCTCCCCCCAACCCCAAACCCCACACACCTCACCCCACCCCACACCCCTCCAATTAAAAAACATTGAAGGGGGTGACAACCATTATTGGCATGAGCATATTTTCGTTTGATGATTCGGATACTGTCAGGATATCAGCAAATACAAATTTGCATTTTAAACCTTTATCTGTGAATGGGAGAATCGTGAAAATATACAATGACGTCATAAATCAATGACGTCAGTCCAATGGTTTAGGTCTTCTTTTATGTATTGATTTTAAACAGTATTGTTACTTTTTGCCCTTTCTGATGTGTTTCAAACGTAACATTATGTATGATCATATTATCGCGTTTTAATGAAAGAATGTACATGGTCAATGCTATCCTTTAGATTATTACTTTAGATTGTTTTCATGCATTAACAGTTCCACTGTTAGTGTGTGGTGCATTAAATTAGCAAATGAATTTAAACTGAATTTCTGTGTGTTGAAATCGAAAATTCGATTCGTAACATTTCTTAAAGTAAGTACGAATCCCATCTACACAAAAATAACATCTAAATTCGTATCTGAAATTGAGGATTGTATTGAGGAGTGATGTGCTATTAACAATAGTCACAGTCCCTGAACCATATTATTTCCCCTATAGACTAGCCCTCCCTGCAACGCTAAAGCTCTAAATGAAGCAAGTCTAGATTCCCCAGGTTATGAATCTCAGTGGTGGTCTCGCAATTTAAATGGGTTTATTTTTACAATCAAAATTATATATATTCAGAGACTAAGCAATAGTCTATGTTAACAGAGACCATATAATAGATGGTCTCTGATGTTAACAACAACAAACACAAACAAACAAACAAACAAAAACTATTCCTTCCTCTATAAGTCCAAATGGCCTCATCAGTGGAAGGAACCACTGTCAGATTTGTTGGAAACAACATTAAGCGAAACGGTATCACGATTTTGGGGCAAACAACGATTTTTTGCGGTAATTTCACAATCAACTTTATTCCATGTAACTCTTTCTGTTGTTTTTTTTCTTTCCGAGTATTCCTAAGAACATGATTATTTTTCAACAAAATCGCACATGCATATTATCTCTCATAGTATGTGGCTGTTTGAAGTTATAATATTAAGTAATATTATATTATATTATATTGTTACTTCACTCTGAACGTCGGAAAATGTTTTGTAAATCAGTTTAACCTATGTCAGTATCTTTCCTCTGTGTTTTTTGTGTTGATGTTGGTAGTGGTTGATTACTAACACAGTAACATATGATCTTACCGAAAGAAACGAAATGAAACCAACCAAAAAGTACCGAAAAGAAGTTACGCAAAAGTTAGCTGCTAAAATGTATGTAACCACTGGAAAGCAAGGACAAAAGCGCATGGTAGCACGTGACTTTATTGTCCGGCATTTGTTACTAAAAATAGAACAATCGGCATCGCTTTCTATTTTAAATTGCAAGATAGCTTCATTTGAGAAAATATTAATTATTAGAATAACGTTATTACAAAGTGTCCTTTGAGGGTTTACATAAATTTATTGTTGTTACATTCCATTTTAGTTTGTGGAAATCCGCATTCACTCCGACGCTGCTTCGCGACAACTTCCTTAGTGACAGAAATGATGGCCGACAACACTGCGAAAGTAAGTGCCCGTCTGAGTGCATCTAGCGGTCTCTGCGTTTGTATTGATTCCTGTTGTTCCATCATAACAATATATCATTTGATAGATTTCCATTCAATGTAGAGGACTGCCAAGTAGGTTAATTAAACATTAAGTGTTCTTTTCAATGTTATGTTTATGATGTTTACATTTGCAGACGATTCACCAGCTCAGACCATTATTTGGGATGTGACAGAATCGTCAGTTGATTTCAGAAAAATGTGTCACTATCTACTCTTGCGAATTAAAGCATCTTATTTTGTACCAGCATAAATATGATTTTATGCCACTGCAATTTAAAGACTGTAAGAGTAATGAATCTATGTTGGTACAATCATGTTTAAAAGCATTTTCGTTACTTACAGTCAACACGTTTTGAGAGCATTGAATATATTCGTATGTTAGCCGTTCACTGACGAATTTATACTTTATTTTGATGTATATGTTTGATTTACATGTATATTTCTTTTTAAATATCTAAATGCCTTTACTTAATGACAAGAATTTTAGGTATGTGTTAGCCATTTCTGTTAGGTTCAAATCTCAATTGGTTCAGATCCTCTAGAATCCATTTCAAAGGTATGACTTTCCCATCCTTATGGAAGATGTACTGATTGCTCAGAAGCCATACTAGTTAGTATTCAAGAAATAACTGAGATACAGGTTCACCAATCAATATATATAACGTAATGTTATATGAAGTAAATAAGAGACATAAGTAATACCTAATAATATCACTTACAGAGAGGTTGGCTGCTAAATCAAAATGACTGGGTAAATCATGAAGTCTGTTCTGTAAGTTATTTGAATATAACCCTCTCTGTCTTTAGTGTAGTTCCTCCCTTGTCCAAAGCCCTGTCACATATATTTTTTAAGAATGTTTCTGTACAACATTTGTTTGGTTTCGACTATATCCTTCAGTTGAATAAAGTCAAGTAGTGCATGCACTCAATATTTTGTATTTCATTTAGTTTTGTGAAAGAGTAGCATATTGCATTAAACTATTTGTAAATTAACTTTTGTACAAACTTTTTGTATTTTTCTCACGTATCATTGGGATTCAAATGTTCCATGTTATTGTTCTCTAAGATTGAGTGTGTTTAGTTTTATGCCGCACTCAGCAATATTTCAGCTATATGGCGGCGGTCTGTAAATAATCGAGTCTGGACCAGACTATCCAGTGGTCAACTGCATGAGCATCAATCTACGCAATTGGGATACGATGATATGTGTCAACCAAGTCATCGAGCCTGACCTCTCGATCCCGTTAGTCGTCTCTTACAACAAGCATGGGTTACTGAAGATCAATTCTAACCCGGATCTTCATAGGTTGTTCTCATAGAATATATTGTGATTATGGTACATACATATTATTGTGGTTATATTGTATAGAAATTGTTGTGATGCTGGCTAATTAATTTGTTCACAAAACTGCTGCTGACTGAGGGTGCTACCATTACTTGACCTGTGCTGAAGACATAATTTGATTTGAATGTCATACAAAAACAGAGCTGAATGACTTTTGAATTCTTTTTACAAAGGCAAAGTACAGGCACAACACTAATAAGAATTACTTATACCTGTGAACAGTGCAAAAAGTATCTTGCTGCCATAATGTTTTACATGTGGACATTTCACCACAGGAATGCACTTTTTTAGCCAATGATTTTGAAAAAAAACCCAAAATATTAGGGCATAAGCAATTAATTCTTCGTATTTAATGTAGAGCTCACAATTTCTGAGGGAGGTATAATCATTTTGTAACAACTTCATTATCAGACTTTTGTAATGATGATGATGATGATGATGACAATGATGATAAAGATGATATGCTGTTTGTGACTGGTCATTATTTGTGTGTGCAGGCCGATGACCCGGCTTCAGCAGAGAAGTCATCAGATATCGCAGTAGAAGAAGGAATCAAGGAAACTGAGGATCAGGTACCTCCATTTTCCAGCTGCATTAATTTTGACAACTGTAATTTTATAGCTGGATCAACATGATCAAACAAAATAAAGCATGAAAGTCTAGGGCATTTTCGAAAGAAATTGATGAATCCAAATATTTTTCTGTTCACCAGCTCAAAGCATACTTTGGACATTTTTACTGGTAGGTGTTACCTTAAACACACATGAGTCCTTGTTCATTGGTGTATTTTTGTGACAGCGGTACATGTTTGAATGTCTGTGATTCAGCCAACCATGGAAGCGGTGAGCATCTCGGATCCCTCCAAAACATCATCGGAGACGGAGGCCATGTTGAGAAACCTTGAAATGGATCCATACAATGAGGATGAGGTACACAATAATAATTGTGATTATAGTCTGGATGGCATTTCCAGGAATAACATTTAGCAGAGTTATCTTCCCTGAAGATGTGAATACAAGGATGATTTTAAGAGGATGTCATTAGTAATAGTATTTCATATTCTTTCACAATACATGTTTTCTTTTAATGATGATTTAATAAGAGAACATCTTAAGAATCTTTCTCAAAAGTTGTTTGAAGTTTTAGACCATTCAGGGTGCAGGATGTGCTCACCTTTTCGCAAACTCCTGGAATCATTAGTATTTTATAATCATGATAATGATTCATAAACACATGCTCATGATATAATCAGAATTGTACATTTAACTATGCAAATATGTTTTAACAGAATTGAAAGTGTTTTCTCACTTTTATGTTATTAGTTTGATTTCTGTGCAGTGTTTTTATGATCTCTTTAGAATTCTGAAGAAAACCAGACTATGTTTGAACAAACTTTTAATGGTAGACATGGTAGACAGGGTAGAGACAGCATTGACTTTCAAGGCATTCTGAATGTTTAGTACTTTTCAATCAATGGTAGACACTAATTAGGACATTAAATATGATGTTGAATATTCTTGATTGTTCAGAAACAGTTTAAACTTCTTTCCAGAATTATGTGTTATGAATATGTATTTAAATGTTTTGTTTGGTTGTTGCCAAACACTATTTTATGATAATCTTTTAATTTCTTACAGGCTGAACTACGATTCCTTCACTCAAAACCGACATGCTTTGTTGTGATCGGGAAGCCGGGGGTAGGGAAGACGACAATGGCTAGACGGCTGGCTCAGGAGTGGAAGTGTGAACTGATCAACTGTGAGTCATCCGTGTTGCTCATAACATCAACCACTGGGCCAGATTCAAATGTATACAGGCCACCATGATATAACATAAATAGTGCAGGTTGACTCTTGACCTGCTTTATATATAAGAGGCCCTAAACTACATCACATGGTTTTACAAATTATCATTCAGAAATTCCCAGTTCCTCAGAAGTTATATGAAAATATCAATATATAATATAATAACACCAATTTTAAACAATATCACAAGTTTTCTCACTCTTTGCCTGCACTTAATTTGTACATCAAATTCACATTGTGCATGCTTCTCCATAAAAATTATCATCACACACACACACGCACACACACACACACTAGCCATAAATTATGAACAGTCCCTTAAATATTATTTTATTAGATTTTACGCCTAGATAATTTCCTTTTTTTACATGTTTTTAGGAAAGAAAAGCCTTCTTTAATTTCAAACTTACCACTGTGTGAGAGCAAGTTTACCTAGTTGTATAATTACTGGACTACATGATTACCCATTGAAGAAGTGGAGCCAGGACGTTCTGAAGGTGTAATGACATAATGGAATGCTAAATTTTGGTCAGTGGTTAGTTTTAGCCTGTGGTCAGTGGTTAACATCAGTTTGGAATATAGGGGGTCAGACTGTGAATTGTAGTGTACTGTGAGGAGGGTTCATGGTCCCCACAGTACACTCAGATAGAGATTATGATTATTATTGTTGTTTTGCCTTACTACCATACATTGGTTGGCATTGTCGTTTAACCTTGCACTCAGCAGTATTCCTGCAGTTTGTAAATGATCAAGTCTGGACCAGAAAAACCAGTGATCATGAGCTATTGGTTAAACACAGATGATAAAAAATCAGTCAGACTTTACTCATAGAATTCCTGACCGATTATAAGATGAGTCATTCCAGTACAACTCAGGGCTCGATTTAGTGCTTTGTTACTTGCACTAGTGCAACCTAATATTACAAAGTGCAACCTTGTTATTAGTCTAACTTGCACCAGGTGGAAGTCAATTTTTGAGTGGGTAAATCTCTGAATAAAACATCTAAATAATTCAATAGCATACTTCTTTCATTACATAGTCAAATAAAAGCAGTGCAACTGGAATTGGGCTGGTGCAAGTAGGTTTTTATCTTAGGTTGCACCCAGTGCAAGTAAGTTAACATCTCTTAAATCGAGCCCTGCAACTGAAGGCCATTACAGGTTGTCTTGTCGACTCGTACTGAACATAAATGTCTTCCAGCCACGGACCTGCTCCAGCAGAACATTGAGCTGCAGACAGAAATGGGACTGAAGTGCCTGGAGATACTGAATCGAGGAGAAGCCATACCGGAGGATACCGTCATTAAGATGATCGACGATAAGGTCAACTCACCGGAGGTTGCTCATCATGGTGAGTTTGGTGATGATGCAAGCGTTGTTCCTGTTGTACGGTAATGTGAAGAACGATGAAATATTAATGGTTAGTTACCTATCATTTTGATGTGATGCTTCTTGGGATGAGAGTTGAGTTTGGAGCATCGGACGTTTACCTGCTGTAGCCTGTGTTGTTAGTGCTGCAGCATTGTGAGACTCAGGAAGCACTTAGTTAACATCCACATGTCACTGAAAATAACAATTATATATACAACATAGAAGTGAATTAGGTACCGTTCATAATTTATGTCTAGGGTGGTGATTATTTTGAGAGGGGGTGGGGTGGGGGTGTTTCTCACCCATTTTTTCGGGTGAGGTCGGGGGTGGGGGTGTCAATTTTGTACACATGTATTGGGGAGGTGGGGGGCAGGGATGAATAATAAAAAATTTATGCATAAAAATTATGGGAAGGGGTTAGGTGGGGTAGGGTGGGGAGTTCATTGATAATGCACATGACATGACGGGGTGGATGGGCACTTAATTTGTACATCAAATTCACATTGTGCATGCTTCTCCATAAAAAGTATCATCACACACACACACGCCAAAAATTATGAACAGTCCCTTAAATATTATTTTTTCAAAATAGTCTCCTGTCAGTATGACCCATAAAAATTACTTTTATTTTATAAAAATTTGCTATCAGTATTTTAGCTCACAATACAATACTGATATTTCACTGAGCATTGGGTGAATTGTTAGTTTGTACACTAGCAGTAGTTGTCTTTGGTTTAAAGGTTGAATTTTAATAATTTTAAGACAAATAGAATATGACCTTGAGTTATCTCCCCTTCAGGCTATGTGCTGGATGACTTCCCCTGCCTGTCGGAGGAACACATGACGATCCGGGACCAGCTGGATCTCATCCGGAACTGGAAACTGAAGCCAGACTTTATCATTAACTTGAAGGTAGGGATACGGAAATCCCATTGTGACTGTGATTTGAATAGGACCCCAGCTTGTATGGTTTGTTACAGAATAGTTGTCCCTGGCAACCAGTGTTTATCTTTAGCAGTGTTTTAATGGATTGGGTGGTCAGGCTTGGTAGTAGCTTTATTGTGATCAGCATAGGAAATTGCTCATTACATTAATCCCTTGTTTATCTGGCCCAGAGTTGATTATCGAAGGGCACTTGTTGTATGTTAGAATACTTCAGATTGCTGCATTAAACAAGAATAAAACTATTGCTTGTTGTCACGGAGATTTTGGTTGGATTGGTGAGACTCAGTAACTTGTGAGTGAGTATGATTTTACGCCACTTTTAGCAATATTCCAGCAATATCACGGCGGGGGACACCAGAAATGGGCTTCACACATTGTACTGACTGAGTTTAGTTTTACACCGCTTTTAGCAATATTCCAGCAATATCACGGCGGAGGACACCAGAAATGGGCTTAACACATTGTGCCCATGTGAGGAATCGAACCCGGGTCTTCGGCGTGACGAGCCAACGCTTTAACCATTAGGCTACCCCAACGCCCCTCACACATTGTACCCATGTGGGGGATCGAACCTGGATCTTTGGCATGATGAGAGAACGCTTTAACCACAAGGCTACTTCACCGATCCAGTAACTTGTGCCAGCATGTTCTCATTACCCATGCTGCTCACCACATCAACCACAGGACAGGATTAGATTATTTACAAGTCACCATGATATAACATGAACAGTACTGACTTCTGTTCTCATCAGTATCTGAGAGTGTTAGTGTTGGGAATCGGTTGAAATCTCACAATTGATGATTGTTTCATTACCAACGAACAATCATTGAAAAAAATTGGTTAGCATCATTTTTCAGATTTTCCTATCCAGGTTGTTATTGCAGATATGTATAACATGATTCAACTTGCTACTTTAAAGTGATGACTAATATATCATGAACATAAACTTTCTGGAGTCTTCAAGAAATATTCAGTCATGGCTTTTCAGTTAGTGAAGTGAGTTTTCTAAGAATTAAACACGTTTTCAGGCCCTGACACTTCAACGATAAGTTCCATTGTCAAGTATTTCAAAGACTAAAAAAGTAGTTCCAAAATCGTTTATGTTCCATTATGAGAAAATGTGATCGATTGCTTGGTCGTTTGGTCACTGCGACCAATCTTCGATTTTTTCAATTAATCGGAACACCACTAGAGAGTGTAGTGAGTGAATGTTGTTTTCTGTTATATCAGGGCAATGAATGTAAGTTGTACAGTCTTGACACAAGGTACCAGTGGTTATTTGCAGGAGCAATGCTCAGTGTTCAAGATATGACTGAAAATCAGCAAAGTTACTCATTGCAACCATATTGTTCTTGATAGACAAACTCTCTGAAAACATTGGAGTTTTAACTATGTTTTCAATTTTTTAGTTCAAAATTTTACCAGAGAGTTAAATTCAAAGCCTTTTGTAAGTCGCCTCTTTTTACTTGTAGATTCCAGATCGTGATATTGAGAAAAGACGTCTTGGCTGCAAGATCGACCCTGTCTCTGGAGAAATATACACTAAGGAGGTGTATGCTCCAGAGAAGCTCATCAAAGTTGTAAGTTTAAAGCTGAAGTGTTTCATTGCTGATGAATTCTCTAATATTTTGTGTGAGAAAACAACCTGTAATTATTTCGGTTGATAGGTATGTGCCAATATTGTGTAAAATTGTCAGAGGGGATAACTCAGAATAAAACTTACAGAACTATTCTGCGAGTACAAACAAAGGTACACGGGTAAATATAACCAACAATTACTGTTTGAAAATAATGTATGTATAATTATTTGATATGTTATATGATTTCAAGAATGAGGACAAGGAAGGGGAGGAAGAAGAGGAGGAGGAGGAAGAGGCAGAGGAAGAAGAGACAGCCAATGAGGTAAGGAATTCCAACAAAGTGTACAATCCATGTTTACACAGATCCTCATTGACAACCTTCTGACAGTGAAACCCTTTGAGTCAGGATCCTGTTAATTTGGGAGTGAGTGAGTGAGTTAAAATTTAAAGTCACTTTGGCAATATTTCAGCCATATCGTGACTAAGTTAATTTGGTAACACAAACCTTTTGATGTTTATTAGGAGGAGCATCTCTATACAATGAAGCCAAAATTGGCAGATTCTTATCATTAGAAACATCTCTATACAATGGAACTTCATTGTTAACTTATTATGGCTTGAAATGCTTACATGTATACAAATCGACATAACTTCTTGAACATGTTTTGTTGCACTGGAAGTTTGCTAGGGTAAGCAATTTCAGAAGGGACACCCCAGTCAAGATTGACTGGATTTCATTGTAAATAATAAAGGGATATTATTATATGTATTCTTTGTGGACAGGGGGATGAGCCGCTGATTGAGCTGCCCCCTGAGATCCTGGAGAAACTCATCAGGAGACCCGAGGATCTCCCAGACCAGGTGGAGGAGAACCTGCGCAAGTACAAAGCCAACATGCTGCGTATCCTGGAGGTCAGTATCATACACCTTCCTTGTATACTACTTTCTGTAGTAACTCATAACTGTCGAGGTCAGTCTGTGTACAAACACCTTTCTGGTACATGGGTGGAAATTTACATTGGCCACATGTGGTAATCTGTGACTAACAAGGTCAGTCTGTATACAAACACTTTCCTTGAACATGGTTGGAAGGTTACATTGAGCACTTGCAGTTACCAGTGAAGACTGAGGACAGTCTTTATGCATTCACACTTCCTTGTATATGAGTGGAAGTTCATATTGACCACTTGCAGTAACCAGTGAAGACTGAGGACAGTCTTTATGCACTCACACTTCCTTGTATATGAGTGGAAGTTCATATTGACCACTTGCAGTAACCAGTGAAGACTGAGGACAGTCTTTATGCATTCACACTTCCTTGTATATGAGTGGAAGTTCATATTGACCACTTGCAGTTACCAGTGAAGACTGAGGACAGTCTTTATGCATTCACACTGACTTGTATATGAGTGGAAGTTCATATTGAGCACTTGCAGTAACCAGTGAAGACTGAGGACAGTCTTTATGCATTCACACTGACTTGTATATGAGTGGAAGTTCATATTGACCACTTGCAGTAACCAGTGAAAATCGAGGTCAGTCTTTATGCATTCACACTTCCTTGTATATGAGTGGAAGTTCATATTGACCACTTGCAGTTACCAGTGAAGACTGAGGTCAGTCTTTATGCATTCACACTTCCTTGTATATGAGCGGAAGTTCATATTGACCACTTGCAGTAACCAGTGAAAATCGAGGTCAATCTTTATGCATTCACACTTCCTTGTATATGAGTGGAAGTTCATATTGACCACTTGCAGTAACCAGTGAAAATCGAGGTCAATCTTTATTCATTCACACTTCCTTGTATATGAGTGGAAGTTCATTAATTGACCACTTGCAGTAACCAGTGAAAATCGAGGTCAATCTTTATGCATTCACACTTCCTTGTATATGAGTGGAAGTTCATATTGACCACTTGCAGTAACCAGTGAAAATCGAGGTCAATCTTTATTCATTCACACTTCCTTGTATATGAGTGGAAGTTCATATTGACCACTTGCAGTAACCAGTGAAAATCGAGGTCAATCTTTATGCATTCACACTTCCTTGTATATGAGTGGAAGTTCATATTGACCACTTGCAGTAACCAGTGAAAATCGAGGTCAATCTTTATTCATTCACACTTCCTTGTATATGAGTGGAAGTTCAGTAATTGACCACTTGCAGTAACCAATAACAACAGAGGTCAGCCTGTATTCATGCATAAAATGTTGCTCATTGGTGGAAGTTTACACTGACCACCTGCAGGATCCAATGACTATTGGGGTCAGCCTGTGTAGTGTTAAATGCCAGGAGAAAGTGTTGTAATATTTCTGTAGTGAAGAGTAGATTGTTGAAATACAAGTAAAGTGTTGTCTTAGCCAGATTTTAACAGCGCTCAAAAGTTAGTGTTTGAATAGTATCTAATTATTCAAATGTCAGTGACAATCACTACAGATACATTGACACAGTTTCCACTGCCTCATAACAATGCAGTCACACATCTTAGCGGAATAACTGAATGCATTGTGGCATACTCAGCAGCCATTTTGACCACCCAATCCCTTTTCCAGGACTACATGGCTGACCATGATCAGCAGTACCTCGTGGAGTTGGACGGCAACCTTAGCAGCCTTATGCTCTTCAAGGTAAGGAGATTATAACGAAGAGGTCACTTTATATAGGTTTCCAACTAGAGCCATCGGCCATAGATGGCAGAAAATAAATATCAATTGTTATGACACTTACTTTCTCTACCAATCAACTCTGTGTTAAGTGTCTTATCTTTTTAATAATAATTGACTAAAAGCGTGACATGATCATGGATCATTGTTCTTGCTATCAAGCACATGTTTCAAGACTGGGTAGCTTTTGGTATAGTGAGTGAGTGAGTGAGTTTGGTTTTACGCCGCTTTTAGCAATATTCCAGCAATATCACGGCGGGGGACACCAGAAATGAGCTTCACACAATGTACCCATGTGGAGATTCGAACCCAGGTCTTCGGCGTGACGAGATAACTGTGAGAGCGAACGCTTTCACCAAACCGCCCCCTTTTGGTATAGCCCTGAAATAGTACGAAACAGCATTCACTCACCAATTTCTAATTTGTCTTTGTCTATTTGTGGGCAGTCGGTGCATATCAGGATATCATTCAGGAAATGATAGTAACGGTGGAATATATTCACGATATAAAGAAGACTAGAAATTACTTTTGAAAAATCTGTTGATTTTACAGGCTCATTATTCAGGATTTAACCATGTTAAATTTAAGTGTCTCAAACTAAATGTACAAACTACAAACAAGCTTATATCAAACCTGGGTCTGGAATCCCCATATGGGTACTAATGTTTACCTAAAGTTCATTTGTGAAACCAGCCAAGAACTGATGTGGCATAACTGTGAGACATGATGATAAATTTGACTCTGGTGATGTTGATATAAAGACAACAATGACCATTGTGTACCTGTTACAGCAACTGATGCAGAGACTGAGTTGCTTCGTCCTCCGTCCCGCTGCTGTCCCCATAAGGCTGTATGACCCCGAGGAGGACGACATCTCTGAGGACATACAGACAGATGAGCTCATGCGGCAGATTGCAGCCAAACAGATGGTAGCTCCTCGGTTCCGCTGGCGCCGGAGTCGCTGGGCTCGCAGTTGTCCTGTGGCTCTGTTTGAGGGAAATGTTGTCAATGGAAAACCAGAATTTGCTGTCAGGTAAATAGCTGAACTGTTGTCAATTTTTATATTATTATAGAAACTACTTAAATATTCATGAAATTAAATTTTATAAAAGGAAAAAACTTTTGTGGTAGTTTTTTACCTGACAATACTTATGAAATGTTCACTGACTTTACGTTGATAATTCATGATGACATCAGAGTAAAATATTGTTGCAGTGGCTCGGATTCAGTATTCATCATTAGGCAAAATGCCCTTCTTTTAGTTTGTTCACAGCATGAATTGTTATCCCTTTGAAAGTGTAACTACTTGTGCTTTTTGCATGTCTCCATGCATAATGTTGGTGTGGTAAAGAATATCTACATGTTGTTGTGTAAAATACAGTTTGGAATGGATGGCATGAAAGACAGACATCTATAGTGATATGTATGTGGTGGCTTTTGACAGAAGTGTATTCTTCTTCTTTGCCTACATCAAGTTTCCTTGGGAAATAGTTTTCTAATGATATGTATATTCACAGTTTCCTGGATAAGATGTACTTCCTGTCCAGTGGAGAAGCAATGGAGAAGTTCCTGAAGAATCCCCGGCCCTACCTCCTTCCCCCTCAGCCCCGCCCTGCCGCCAAGTTCTGTGTGCTGGGTCAACCCCTAGCAGGGAAAACCACACTGTGTCATCTACTTGCACAGAAATATGGTGCAAAGGTAAGAATACTTGGGTTTTTCTCTCATACCCACAGCTGATCAGAGTTGTCTCCCCTGATACACATTTCTATATATTCTGTCTTCATTCATTTTACCCCTGGCACTGGGGAAGAAGTGTTATGACTTGATTTGACTGACCCCACTTCATAAATTTTACATATGATGGGTTTTGTATGACAGTTTGTGTGTTCTTGGCAGGAATTAGGTTTTCACTAAAACAGAGACAAAAGAATAGTTAGATCAGGTCACTTGGCTGCGCTCGACCATGGGATATCAGTTTATATATTCTTTATGAAATGCTGCACTTGTCAATTTGTTTTCAGGTTTGTCTCTATTATATTTCTGTTTTGTAATGAAATATTAATGTCACCAATTTCATACTTTTAAAGCATACAATGGATTTAAAGCTTTGTCAGAAGGATCAACAGATCTCAGCGTTGTCTCCCCTGATACACACAATTTACATTTTCTGCATGTACTGTCACTCTTGTTTGGTGTGTATATGTTATGTATGTGACAGATGAAAATGTAAAGAATCACCCGCAGCTCTTAACTTTATCTGTGTCATAGTCATAAAGTATGTTTTGTTGAAAGCAGTATTAGTATTGTAAATCATTATGACAGGCAAGGCTGAGATGTGAGTGTATGTTAGGGATGTTTAGTGGACGTTTGTGTTGCCCACAGCAGCCCTACAGGATCACTTTCCCTTCAGGTGCTGAACATGACGGAGCTGATCAAGCCAAGGATGGCGGAGGAGAAGGAGAAGGCCTTGCAGCAGGTGCGTGACGAGGCTACGGAGGCTGCCATCACCACGGTCAAGGCCAAAATCAAGGAGCAGATGGATGCTGAGGCAGAGGCAGCAGCAGCAGCGAAAGAAGCAGGTCAGTGGAGGGATGGGTGTTGTAGGGGGCAGTACAGAGGAGGGTGCGTGTTGTAGGGGTGGTACAGTGGAAGGTGGGTGTTGTAGGGGGGTAGTACAGAGAGGAGGGTGGAGTGTTGTAGGGGGTGGTACAGAGGTGGAGGGGCGTGTTGTAGGGGTGGTACAGTGGAAGGTGGGTGTTGTAGGGGGGTGGTACAGAGGAGGGTGGGTGTTGTAGGGGGTGGTACAGAGGAGGGTGGGTGTTGTAGGGGGGTGGTACAGTGGTGGGTGGGTGTTGTATGGGGTGGTACAGAGGGAGGGTGGGTGTTGTAGGAGGGTGTACAGTGGAAGGTGGGTGTTGTGGGGGTGGTACAGAGGGTGGGTGGTGTGTTGGTGTTGTAGGGGTGGTACAGGAGTGTTGGTGGTACAGAGGAGGGTGGGTGTTGTAAGAGGGTGTGGTACAGTGGAAGGTGGGTGTTGTAGGGGGTGGTACAGAGGAGGGTGGGTGTTGTAGGGGGTGGTACAGTGGAAGGTGGGTGTTGTAGGGGTGGTACAGAGGAGGGTGGGTGTTGTAGGGGGTGGTACAGTGGAGGGTGGGTGTTGTAGGGGGGTGGTACAGTGGAAGGTGGGTGTTGTAGGGGTGTGGTACAGAGTGGAGGGAGGGTGGGTGTTGTAGGAGGTGGTACAGTGGAAGGTGGGTGTTGTAGGGGGTGGTACAGAGGAGGGTAGGTGTTGTAGCTGTGCTTGGTATAGAGAGGAGGGTGGGTGTTGTTGTAGGGGGTGGTACAGAGGGTGGGTGGGTGTTGTAGGAGGCAGCACACAGTGGAAGGTGGGTGTTGTATAGGGGTGGTACAGAGAGGAGGGTGTGTGTTGTAGCTGCTGGTACACAGAGGAGGGTGGGTGTTATAGGGGGTGGTACAGAGGTGGGTGGGTGTTGTAGAGGTGGTACAGAGGAGGGTGCATGTTGTAGGGGTGGTACAGTGGAAGGTGGGGTGTTGTAGGGGGTGGTACAGAGGTGGGTGGGTGTTGTAGCAGGTGGTACAGTGGAAGGTGGGTGTTGTAAGGGGTGGTACAGAGGTGGGTGGGTGTTGTATGGGGTGGTACAGTGGAAGGTGGGTGTTGTAGGGGGTGGTACAGTGGAGGGTGTGTGTTGTAGCTGCTGGTACACAGGAGAAGGTGGGTGTTGTAGGAGGTGGTACAGTGGAAGGTGGGTGTTGTAGGGGTGGTACAGAGGAAGGGTGGTGTTGTAGCTGGTGGTACAGAGGAGGGTGGGTGTTGTATGGGGTGGTACAGTGGGGAGGGTGGGTGTTGTAGGGAGTGGTACAGAGGTGGGTGGGTGTTGTATGGGGTGGTACAGAGGGTGGGTGGGTGTTGAGGGGTGGTACAGAGGAGGGTGGGTGTTGTAGGGGTGGTACAGAGGAGGGTGGGTGTTGTAGGGGGGTGGTACAGAGGAGGTGGGTGTTGTAGGAGGTGGTACAGAGGTGGGTGGGTGTTGTAGGGGTGGTACAGTGGACAGGTGGTACAGAGGTGGGTGGGTGTTGTAGGGGTGGTACAGAGGAGGGTGGGTGTTGTAGGGGTGGTACAGAAGAGGGTTGGTGTTGTAGGGGTGGTACAAAGGAGGGTGTGTGTGTTGTAGGGGTGGTACAGAGGAGGGAGGGTGTTGTAGGGGTGGTACAGTAGGAGGTGGGTGTTGTAGGGGTGGTACAGAGGTGGGATGGTGTTGTGAGGGGTGGTACACTGGAGGGTGGTGTTTGTTGGGGTGGTACAGAGGAGGGATGGTGTGTTGGTAGGGTTGGTACAGAAAGGAGGGTGTGTGTTGTTGGGGTGGTACAGAGGAGGATGGTGTTGTAGGGGGTGGTACAGAGGAGGGTGGGTGTTGTATGGGGCGGTACACTGGAGGGTGTGTGTTGTAGGGGATGGTACAGAGGTGGGATGGTGTTGTAGGGGGCGGTACAGAGGTGGGTGTTGTAGGGGGTGGTACAGAGGAGGGATCGGTGTGGTACGGGCTGGCACAGAGGTGGGTTGGTGAGGACTCTGATTTGTGGGGTTTCTGTTGGGAATTGATGAGAGTTTTTTTTATTTTTATTGTGATGGGTGTAAAGGTGTTTTTTGGATGTGGATGGATGTTAGAAATTGAAGAGGGGTGTTGGGATTCAGATGGGTGTAGAGGAGGTCTTGAGATTCTGATGGGTGTAGAGGAAGTTTTGGGATTCTGATGGGTGTAGAGGAGGTGCTGGGATTCTGATGGATATAGATGATAGGTGAGGATTCTGTTAGAAATTGAGGATGGGTGTGGGGATTCTGATGGGTGTAGAGGAGGTGCTGGGATTCTGATTGGAATAGATGATAGGTGAGGATTCTGTTAGAAATTGAGGTGGGGTGTTCGGATTCTGAAGGGTGTAGAGGAGGTGCTTGGATTCTGATTGATGTAGAGGAGGTGCTGGTATTTTGATGGGTATAGAGGAGGTTTGGGGATTCTGATGGGTGTAGAGGAGGTACTGGGATTCTGATGGGTATAGATGATAGGTGGGGATTCTGTTGGAAATTGGGGATGGGTGTCGGGATGCCGATGGTTATTGAGAAGGTGTAATGATGCTGATGGATGTAGAGGATTGTTGGGATTCTTGAGGGGTATAGAGGATGGGTGTGGATTCAGACAATTATCGAGGAGGGGGTGTTGGGATTGTTGAGGGGTATAGAGGATGGGTGTGGATTCAGACAATTATCGGGGATTAATGGGGATTCAGATGGGTATAGATTACCCTCCACTTCCAGGTGTTGGTGAGTATAAGATTACAGCAGCCATAACACTTGGCTATATTTTTTGGTCATGTTATTACATGTAATTAGTTTTCAGGAGGACATGGCGAATCAATAAATGTCTGCCAGATGTCACAACACACATGGCAATACTAATACTGCATTAAAACATTTTGACTAAAATTACTTTTTGGAGATGGTGAAACAAATTCTTAAAAATGTTCAGTCTTATTACAATAATCATTGTGGATTGGGCATTGATTTCATTTAAATGCTTTTATTTGATTCTGTCTGCATAACCAGTATGCTATAGCCAGAATTTTTGCTGTTTTATGGTAGTGGTTCTGTGGTAGATTGGTTGCGTAACTAAACATTTTTACTTTTCATTTTTGTATTTGAATGCTTTTTTATTTGGCATCTATTCTCAGTGGGAATGACATGAAGTGCTACCTATCGCCAGTAGTGCTGTGTGTGTCTGTACATGTGTGTGAGGTGTGTCTGACTAACAATAGATGTGTATGGCTTTGTTATAACAGCAGAGCTGGCAGAACTCGAGGCCGAGGAGGCGAAGGAGCAGGCTGATGGTACTACCTATATCACCCTTTAGATATGCTCACTCTAAACCCACTATGTTCATGTTCCCCACCTATGTTCACTCTCTTATGCTCACCCTTTCTCCCACCCTATGTTCACTCTGTGCTCACTCTTTCCCCACCCTATGTTCACTCTGTGCTCACTCTTTCCCCACCCTGTGTTCACTCTATGCTCACTCTTTCCCCACCCTATGTTCACTCTTTGCTCACTCTTTCCCCACCCTATGTTCACTCTATGCTCTCTCTTTCCCCACCCTATGTTCACTTTATGTTCACTCTTTCCCCACCCTACGTTCACTCTAAATCTACTGAATGTTCACTCTATGCCCACTGTATGTTCACCTCATGCTCATTCTGCCCACTCTATGTTCATTCTGTGACCACTTTTCTTTTTCTGACTGTGTGATTGTTTTACTTTTTGTATGATGCTTTAGAATTGCTCCCACTATGCTCACTCTGAGTTCACGCTATGCTATGTGTGGTTGTATTTGACTTACAAATCATACTGTAGAAATCTCTACTGATCTCTGTGTCATATCAACAACTCAGTATTACATGTTAAAGAGGTATGTCTTCTGCAACATATACTGAGGGAAAAAAATAAGGGATCACATGAAAGCACAAGTGTTCCTTTATTTGTTTCTAGGTTTCTTCACAAGTTATGCGATACAACACTTGTGAAGAAACCTGAAAAAAAATACAGGAACACTTGTGCTTTCATGTGATCCCTTATTTTTTCCCCTCAGTATATTTTCTTAAATTTAAAATATAATTTATGGCAAAGCCACTTGACTTCCAGTTTTAGTTTTTATCACTGCTAATTGCATAATATTTTCCTTCAATGCACTTTACACTGAGCTTGCTACCTATGATTATGTAGTCCTTGGATTCTGAACTTGTGCTGAGTACACTCACAATGTTCAACCTGTACTTGATCCTTCTGGTCGTACAGAAAAACATGGTTACAACGAACACTGGCGCATAGATACAATTTGTTCCTGACTGTAGTTTATTACTCGTGGAGGAGGCGAAGGTGGTCCAGTCATATAAGCTGCAACAGTTAGCCATGCAGAGTTATGTCCCTTCGGCATTCCAGAATCCTATGATTGTGGGTTAGACTGACTGACTGAGTTTAGTTTTACGCCGCTTTTAGAAATATTCCAGCATTATCACGGCGGGCGACACCAGAAATGGGCTTCACACATTGTGCCCATGTGGGGAATCGAACCCGGGTCTTCGGCGTGACGAGCCAACGCTTTAACCACTAGGCTACCCCACCGCCCCTTGTGGGTTAGAGTCCCAGTTTCCACTGGTTATGTTTCTAGGTTTGTCAGCTCCTTACCAGTGAGTGGGTGTCACCATATTGATCAACATCAGAGACCTGTATCAGTATGGGCTTTTCTCTTACGCCAAACTGCCAGATCCAGATAAAGCTTGATAACTGTGCAAAACAGCGTTAAACCCAACTCACTCACTCAAAATTCAACAAACCTCATCTGTCATCTGAATTTCTATGCATATGTATGAAAATATCAGTTCATGGATGTATTTACATCACCTTGGTATTTTCGGTTTTAAGTGGTATAAAGGGCCGGTGGGGTAGCCTGGTGGTTATAGCGTCCACTTGTCACGTCGAAGGCCCGGGTTCAAATCCCCACATGGGCACAATGTGTGAGCCCATTTCTGCTGTCCCCTGCCGTGATATTGCTGGAATATTGCTAAAAGCGGCGTAAAACCATACTCACTCACTCACTTAAGCGGTATAACAAGAATAAACAGTTACAGAATAGCGTTGACAATATTTGGAAGAAATCAGCTGTGTTAGAATTCAGTGGGGAGAGTGTGAACAGTTATATGACATTTGCCATAATATTTAATAAAGCATTCTGGATTCAAATGGTTTGTTATAACCACTATTATGTTATATCCAGGTTTGTTATAACCATGTTATACCGTATTACAGGCACTTGGTTTACAGGTAATCTTTTAACCAAACCATAGGGTTAGTGGGTCAAAATTAAATGATATAAAAATACTTCTTATACAAAACTTGTGGCACTGATCTCTTTAAGAATTTTTTGTCATGTATAACAAAGATAACAATTTTTCTGAAGTGAAGTTAAAGAATTACCTTTTTTCCTGTACTGACATACTTTGAAAGTTTGATCATTTTTTAAATTTGTTAGGTTTAATGTTGACAAGAGATATGAAGATTTTATATTTAATCCATGTCTGTAAGCCAAGTAGATTCAGAACCAGGACCTTAATTTGTACTCAGTGTTAAACATCTATGAAATCTTCATGCTCGTCTTTCTTCATCCTCCTGGTTCTTTGTGTGTTTCTAGAGCTATTGATCTGGGTTGGATTGCTAATCTAAAATTAATACCCATTTCTGTGCTTGCGTGTGTGATCAACCTGTAAAACGTTCTATATTTTTTGTAATGCAATAGTTTTAGAATTTCATGCGATGATCAATTGACTACCAGTATTTCTATAAGCATTCATAATGACATCAATTATACTTTCTGTTGGCTGCATATAGGAGGCACTGTGGCCAGATCTTGTGATATTTCTTGTTACAAAAGAATCTGATGCTACACACCATAGGCGCTATCAGAACCATGAACTAATGTCAAAAGTTCAAAGAACTTATATTGAAGGTCCATGAACTGATATCCAAGGTTCCATGAACTATTATCCAAAGTTCTATGAACTAATATCCAAGGTCTATGAACTAATATCCAAAGTTCAATGAACTAATATCCAAAGTTCTATGAACTAATATCCAAAGTTCTATGATCTAATATCCAAAGTTTAATCAGCTAATATCCAAAGTTTAATGAACTCATATAAATGGTCAATGAACTGATATCCAAAGTTCCATGAACTAATATCCAAAGTTTGATGGACACGTACACAGTTCTGTTCCATAATATACAAAGTTTTGTGAACTAGTATCCAAGGTTCTTTGAGGTTATATCCAGTGTTCCATGAACAAACATCCAAGGTTCTATGAACTGATATCCAAAGTTCCATGAACCAATATCCAAGGTTCTAAGAAGTAATATCCAAGTATCTATGAAGTGTTACCCCAGTATTCTATGCAAGTGTTTATCTACTGTTGCTTGTTGTGTTAGATGATGATGAAGATAAGGAGGACAAGTCTACTAAAGATGGAGGTGAGAGTGTGACAATTGTGACAAAATATGACAACTGTTGTCAGAGCATGTTCCACTTTCAAATTGTACACAGTTTAAGTCATCAGCATTTTAAATGAATAAAGTCAAATTTGCTATTTTTAGATTTGCTGTTTTACATCTGAGAACTAGCTCACTGGGTGAAGCATTTACCTAAAAGCAAAAACTAGGCCACAAAAAGGAAATTAGTTAAAAAAAGTGAAATACAGTACTTCTGAAATGTGCATTTGTGTTTTCTTCCATTTATGATATATATTTTCTAGATTATCATTTTAATCAATTTTGGTGATGGGTTAGATTGTGTACAACTGGAAGTGTGGATTAGTATAAACTAGTTAGAACCAGGGATACATTCTGCAAAGTGATCTTATTTCTAACATAATTTGTGTCCATTCCATAATATGGACAATGTTTGTAGTAAGATCACATTGTAAGGCCCTCAGCACTGTGTAACCTGTGTTTAGAATCCTTGCATGAAGTGTGCTGATACCTTTTCTTAGACATAGTTTTTCATTTTGTTACAATAAACCATTTTGCATGTTGTAACTTAGTGGACAGTGTGTTAGAAGCATGAGAATGTAGATTAATCATTGAAGCTTTCAGACTTTTAATCATGAACCAATAATGTGTAATTATATTGTAGTTGTTATTTCGATGAAGGTAGATAAATCAAACTTTCAGCAGATTCAAGCAATACTAATAAATAATAAAACATTTTCAAAATTGGTGGGTGGTGGGTTAGCCTAGTGGTTTAGCGTTTACTCATCATGCCAAAGACCTGGGTTCGATTCCAACATGGGTACAATGTGTGAAGCCCATTTCTGGTGTCCCCGCCAGGATATTGCAATATATTGCTGAAAGTGGCGTAAAGCCTTACTCACTCACTCAAAATCAGGTGCTGTTCTGATCCCTAAACCAAGACTAAGTGATAACGTGGAGAGATAGTCTGAACAGGTTGTGTGGAGAATATCAGTGTAACAGCACATAGACATTCACTTACATGCCATAGGCTGGACTTTCAACATGATGTTAGCTGACAGGTTTGGTATCCGTAGATGTGTGTTAGAATCAGATGAAGATTTAACCATGACAGGATTTAAATTCACACAGTCTGCTCTTTTCTAAGCATAGTATGGTTGATATATATTATCATTGGACTCCAGACAAATGATCCTTAGCATGATCCAAATAGTAAAAATACCTATTCATGTTATCAAAATAGTAAAAAAGATAAAATACCTATTCATGTGATCCAAGCAGTAAAATGACTTGTTCATGTGATCTAAATAGTAAAATACCTGTTTTACAAAATCAAAAAGAAAAAATATTCATTGATCATTTCAAAATAGTAGAAATACCTATTCACATGATCCAAATGGTAAAAAAGACCTATTCATATGTTCCACATAGTCAAAAGAAATTTGCACATGATCAAAATAGTCACTATGTTAAAAGACCTATTCACATGATCCTAATTATTAATGTGTCTTTTTGTGATCCAAATAATAAATACTCACATGGTCCAAATTGAAATCACATATTCTTGATGATGCTGTCAAACTGCAGGCTGCTTTCAGAAACAAAGCATCTCCATCTTCTCCATCCAAACTGCTCCAGTTGTTGGAGTAAATAGACTATACCAAGATGATCATGATTGCCTTTAAAAAAAAAGTAAAGATTCCCACGGAGGGGAGTGAATTGGATAATTTAGCGAGTCCGTTCACCAACTATCCAAGTTAATGTTTTCAACACAGCACCTCACTCCCAGGCTTGCAGGCAATCTGGGCTGACTGTAAAGTGGTAATGCATCTATTATTGACAATAATTGTCTGCAAAGCATTGTAAACGTGCTGGATCTTTTTGTAACTGTCATCAGCCTCACCCTTTCACTCACTACCTCATTAAACTTTTAAAAGGTAACTAGGCAACGGAATAACAACAGGATGCTGTTCTTATATAGCTTGCTAAAATAGTTTTTAGTTTCTCGTTACCAACCCACCTCTAAAAGACAATGACCCTAATGTTTTTAAATATTTGTAAGCAGTTTTTGGAAACAACTGTTGCCATTGAAAATTCATTTTTGCTCTGGTTCTGTACTGTTCATAGCAATTCATGCTAACAGGACATGACCTAGTAGTCACCCTTGTCTCAGACAAAAGTTTATAAACAGTTTATGTGTACTTTGTGGCAGAGAGTGATTGGCAGTAGAAGTGGTACATAGTGATTAGGATTTGAGTGCGTTTCCATATCATGAATATCCTCTATCAGGATCAGATTCATTCTGTTTTGAGAGTTTTGGGAAACAAAGAGTCCTTTCACAGTCCTCAAAACACAAATTTGAAGAGTCAAGGTACCCTAAAATCTCAATTTGATTTATTTTGCCTGAGTATTATGTTATTTCATTTGTATGTTCTAAAACCTTTTTGTATCATTTTGACACTTTTTTGGGGTTAAATTGTTGTTTAAACTGGGGCTTTGTCTAACAGGTATTTAAAAAGAGGTGGTTTGATTCAGAAAATACCTAGAAAAATTATCTTCAGGTTTTACCCTCGGAAATAACTAGTCATCATCTTGTGCAATGTGTATTGTGTGAAAACAAAATCAACATAAAAATCGTTCCACTCCCAAATGGCATAATGAATTTTGGATCCACTAAGGCCCAAGTATTTAAATCAGGAAATTTCCCTGTGAGTGAGTGAGTGAGTGAGTTTAGTTTTACGCCACACTCAGCACTATTCCAGCTATATGGCGGCGGTCTGTAAATAATCGAGTCTGGACCAGACAATCCAGTGATCAACATCATGAACATCGATCTGCGCAATTGGGAACCGATGACGTGTCAACCAAGTCGGCGAGCCTGTGAATAGTGCTGTCTGTAAACCTTTAGAGAATCTAGTGCCCCAATATTTTCATTGCCCTCCAACTTATCTGCCCCAGGTCCAAGTTTCTGAAACTTGCTGGTGTTAAAGTAGACATTTTAAAATAGTGTAGAACTATTTTTCTCATCAACATTTTAAAAACTTCTCATGCACTCTTGCACGCTTAGTATTAGATAGCCACGTATGTTAGTTTGATAGTCTGTTTGACCTTCACCTAACGTAGAATCAGGGCGGGCTTCAGCTGTCATGGAGAAAGGAGAGAACGGACAGAAGGATGGAGATGAGGGAAAAAAGGAGGAAAATTCTGATAGTGAAAAACCTGATGGGGAGGCTAAAGGTGGGGATGAAACGACTGAAGGAGAAATTGATGGAGAGAAGACAGAAGAGAAAACAGATGGAGAGAAAGTAGAAGCAGCTGAAGAGCCTTCTGAAGGTTTGCTTCAAGCTGGACCAACACGGTTTCATGTGAAACCAAGCTGCCATATAATCCTAATCCTGCTGTGACATAATCTTAATCCTGCTGTGATATAATCCTTCTGCTGTTTCTACATCATACTGATAACCATTAAACCATCATCATCTGTTTCACCATCATGATTTGATACATCCCGAAAAACATATATACTGAGCAAAAGAAGTTAAGGAACATGAAGATTATTTGGATGTTCTTTTGTAGTGAAGACTGAATACGTGATTGATTATGACTATTTTGGAGGATATTCATAAATTACTTTAGTTCAGTATAATTTGTTTTACATGTTTAAATTTCTCACCAGATCGACATAAACTTGAATTACTGAAGGCCAAAAATAACTTTTTTGTGTGTCTCATTTGTGGAATTTAGTGTAAGCATGTTCATGAACAAATTGAAGCAGAGCAAAACAACACTATGTTTTGGGTAATTCTAGGTGTTATAAGCAAAGAGCTATGGTTGACTCCATAACCTGGCACTTAACTGGGTATTACAATCAGAGTGGTTCAAACAGGTTCATCTGTAGCTACAGTCCTCAGCTTTCTGGAGATGTATGAGGTGATAGAAATCTGTTTTTCAGGGATGTAGGGGAATGGTGTCATAATCATGCTGTTGTGTAATTGTGCTGTTGAATAATTTTGCTGTTGTATTAACGCACTGTTGTATAACAATGCTGTCATATAACCATTCTCTTATATAGCCATACTGTTGTGTTGCAACACTGTTGTATAGCAATGGTGGTGTTTGACCATGTTGTTGTATAGCAATGCTGTTTATAGCAACACTGTTATATAGCAGTGCTGTGTATAGCAACTCTGTATTGCTATGCCATTGTATAGCAACACTGTTGTATAACAATGTTGTATGGCCATGCTGTTGTATAGCAGTTCTTTTGTATAATTGTGCTGTTGTATAGCAGTTCTGTTGTATAAATGTGCTGTTGTATAGCAGTTCTGTTGTATAAATGTGCTGTTGTATAGCAGTTCTGTTGTGTAAACATGTTGATGTAAGCAGTGCTGTGTATAGCAACACTGTTGTATAGCAATGTTGTATAGCAGTGCTGTGTATAGCAACACTGTTGTATAGCAATGTTGTATAGCAGTGCTGTTTATAGCAATACTGTTGTATAGCAGTGCAGTGTAAAGCAACACTTGTATAGCAATGCTGTGTATAGCAACACTGTTGTATAGCAACACTGTTGTATAGCAGTGCTGTGTATAGCAACACTGTTGTAAAGCAGTGCTGTGTATAGCAACACTGTTGTATAGCAATGCTGGTGTTGTATTGCAGTGTTGTTTATAGCGATGCTGGTGTATAGCATGGGAGGGAAGGTGGTGGTGGCGGTAGTTTGACGTGGGGGATGGGGTGGAGTGTAGTGAGGTATTTTGGGGGTGAGGCATTACATGGTATAGATAGACCAGTCATATGTTTATAGAGCAAAATAATAGAACAAGAGAAAAAGTATATGTTGTGTTCTGTCATGTGCTGATTATACTGACAAAGCACAGTCGTATATAGAGTTGTATATTTGCTGCAGTCATAAGTTTATACCGTCATGTCTTGACAGAGCAGCGTCATAATAGAGCACAGGCACTTTAAAATGCTGCAAACATCTGCCTGTGGTGTAACACAGCTTTCATCCCCAGCTTTAACACAGCAATTACTAACATGTTCCTGTTATTATATAATATATGTCTGGCAAACTGAAGATCAGATACACATATGTACTCTCTTTATATTTATGTACATTTATGAAAATGTTCTAACACTTTCAAAAAGGGTTTACAGTATGCACTGTAAGGACACCCTTACAAACAGTTTCAAAATATCCATTCAGCAATACTGAAATTTGCTTGAAATTTTTTTGAAATTTATAGGGAAGCAGAATATTTCTACTTTCATTTTGTGTCCAATATTAATATGTCATTATTAGACAGTTTGATAATGCGTTATGCACTACCACATTTCTCTGTCTTATGTAAGTATTCGCACTGTACATGAAGATAGCATTATGTTTAGCAGGGTTTTGTAAACAAGTACAAATCTGGAGTATTGCAAGTTACTGTTTTTGAAAGTTGCTTATATCAAGGTTAATGTTTTTAACAAAGTGTATCATGTACATAAATTGCCATACCATTTCTTCTTTTAGGTTGTACTTGAGTTTCAGTCTATATAAGGGATATCAGTCAAATTACAAATTAATAATCAATGTTTCAAAATAATGATGTTTAAAGGTTGAAGAATTCTTATATGATTTTATGGTGTCAATATTACATGATGATTGCGAAAGTAGAAGAATCATGTAGGAGAGAATGGCCGCCGATTGAATCACCCAGCAATATTAGTGGGATTGTTCTACTGTTACTGATTTGCTGAACATAGATGATTTTTTCCAATATATATGGGGTGGTGGGATTGTTAAAATCACGCCGAAGACCCGGTTCAATATATGGGTGTGAAGCCCATTTTGTGTCTGATGTTGCTGGAATATTGCTGAAACCAAACTCAGTCAGTCAGTCCAATATATATCATTTGTTGATCATCAAATTATCAACTTTAAGTTGTATGTTTAAGAAGACAAGTAAGAAAACATTATTACTTTTTATGTCTCAACTTAAAAGACACCTTTCTTTTCAGTTCTTTTTGTAAATCAATCTTGTACTTCAGTCTATGGAATACTGAGGATTCTGCTACCTTGAATTGTAGTTATTTTGTTGTTTTTAGAAATGTATTTTTTGCCTGAAAAAGATAAAAATACAGTTTAAAAACCTTGCAATGGTTTTTACAGTCAAGGGAGATAAGCCAGAAGTTGAGGGCAGTCAGAAGGACAGTGAGACGAAGGCTGAGCCAAAGGAAGAAAAGCCAGTGGAGGTTGATAGCACACACCCTGAGGTCATCACCATCGTGGAAGCTGCTGTGAAGGAAGCGGAGAAGAACTCTGTGCAGATGCCGCCGGAGGCATACATCGAGGTCATGGAGGCGGCCATTAAGGATTGCGAGAGAGAGCTGAGGAAGAACAACCCAGAAGGACCTATGTGAGTTTTAGTCTGTACTCGAGATTATCCTAGGTATGTGTCTATTCTGTTTTATACCACAAAGCAGTGATAAAATAATTCTCCTTTAGGCCAGACCAATTTTATTTCTTGTTTTACGGATCCGCCTGTCGATATTTTATCAAGAATAAGAAAGAAAAGAAAATTAATTTTCCCCACTCAAAAAATAAAATCCTAATGTTTCTATTGGCAAAAAATGTAAACTTACAAAAAAAAGGTTTTAGATTGTTTTTTCCCCATATACACTTCATAAATTGCCGAAAGTAAAATACTTTGACTATTTAGTAGGAATATTACTTTGACTGGTGATTTTATTTTTAATTTTTCCCTCCTGCCTTTAGGTTTTCTAAGGACAAAAATCCGTAAAACAAGAAATAAAATTGGCCTGGCCTTATTCTCAAATATGTAATATATGAACAGGTGTAAAATCGTTTCAGTTGTAGTGTAAAGACACTGAATTGATTGTCTCCCATGTTGCAAATCATCTGTTTGTCAGGACTGCATTGTTGGCAGATGTTGTGGGAGTAACATCAAAAAGATAACGGGAAAGACAGACTAATGGTATTTTGTGAAGGTAGTTGATCAGCAAAAACACTTGCAAAATTGACAGAGCTATGTAAATTTTACTGAAGTACTTTGGTCATGTCAGGCTTGGTCAAGCTCGATCTGCCAAGAGTGTTGTGTGTTGATGATTTTTCAACTTCACTCTCACAATGTCTTTGGTTTTACAAAATTCACTGTGTTGGTTGTCTTGAATCCTGGGAGGGGTGGTAGGGTAGCCTAGTGGTTAAAGCATTCGCTTGTTACGTCCAAAACGCGGTTTGATTCCCCACATGTGAAGCCCATTTCTGGTGTCTCCCGCCATGATGTTACTGGAATATTGCTAAAAGCGGCATTAAGCTAAAATCACCCACTCACTTGAATCATGGATAACTCAAATGTTTTTCGGGTCCCAAAAGTTTGACAAAATGAGTTTCAGCTGTATTCTCTGTCTACTGTGATATAGCCAGAACATTGCTGAGTGCAGCATACAACCACAAACACAAGGCTAGTCTTCTTACTTGTCCCAGGTGGTCTTGAATCAGTCATCATTGTGTCATCTGTCGTCATTGTGTCATCAGTCATCATTGTCATCAGCCGTCTTGTCATCAGTCGTCTTGTCATCAGTCATTGTGGTATCCCTCTCTGTCACTGTCATGGCGACATGGTCCACATGTGTGTTTGTTGCTTCCAGGAATGGAGGTTGGATCCTCGACAACTTCCCCAACAACCGTGAACAGTGGAACGTCTGCGTGGAGAAGAACATCCTTCCTGATGACGTCATCATCCTCAACGACAACAGCGACAACGGTGTCTTCCTCAACCAGCGGTACTATGAGATGAACAAGGAGGAGGTCGATGCCAAGGTCATGGTCCGCAGAGAGGCTGAGGAACAGGAGAGACAGAGGAAACTTGAGGAGAAAAGGTGGGATGTTTTACTTGTACAGAATCTGACCTTTACAGTCAGCTTTGTCAGTAGCTTTGTTTGTTCCTTGGTTGTTTAACGCCGCACTCAAAAATATTCCAGCTAAATGGCGGCAGTCTGTAAATAATCGAGTCTGGACTAGACAATCCAGTGATCAACAGCATGAACATCAATATTCGCTATTGGGATACGATGAGTCAGCGAGCCTGACCACCCCATCCGATTAGTCACCTCTTGCGACAAGCAGTGTAGAGTTTTAACCTTGACTGACTCTAAACATTTGCACTTGAAGGAAAGAGGAGGAAGAGAAGAGAGCCAGAGAGGAAGCAATTAGACGGGCAGCGGAGGAAGAACGAAGGAGAAGGATAGAGGAAGGAGAAGATGTCCCAGAAGGTAAGATAGACAGAAGAATGAAAGAGGAAAACTGTCTTTGGGCTGAAATCATGTCAGTGTCGGGGTGTAGGTGTTTGAGAAATGTGATGGATTATTTGATATGAATTTTGAAAACTTGTCCCTAAACTGGAGATTCTTCTTCAGTCAGATCCAGAAATGTGCCTTTTAGTGTGGAATTTAACAAATTTTGCAGAATTTCTGTAAATTTGGGCATGTTTATCATACAATATTATCCTTGACATTATATTCAGGGGATGTTAGTGTTAATCTCTAGATTTTTAACAGTGAAGCTAACCTGAAACCTTTTTGACAAGTCACATCCTTACGTTGTTACCATGGCTACACCCCGAAACTGTTACATGTTTGTTGTGGTAGCTTCTCAGTGGGATGCTCAATGGTTGTGTCATACATACAGATGACCATGGTCGGCAAGGAATTGATTGATTACAAGGTGTACTTTGTTACTTTAATACATTCTGTAATTTGTTAAACTTACAGGGAACAATACACTGGTTATATGTTGTTTAAAGTCACTACCTTTTCACATTCAGTAACAGATAGTGATATAATCTCATAATGATATTGCCTGGAAATTGCCTATTTTGACTGTAACAGGGATTCAGAAATAAAATTTAAATTACAAAAAACATAATCTTTGTGACTATTCTGCATGAGGACAAGTAATTAATAACAAGTCATCATTTGCGTCCTTATTGATGCTGCCAACCCCTTTTTGGTACACAGGATATAGGGATACGTTTAGATGGTGTGAGGGACTCAGCATTGTGGTACACAGATTGGTATTTGGTACACTTATTCAAAATTGAACAAAGTTGTAATGGTTAAGTAAACATTTTTGTATTATTCTCTTTTGAACAAATATTTTCAGTAGTGTATTTCAAATTGAATCTTTTTGTCAATGCTTCTGAGATATGCATTAAGTTGTGCTTGGGATTCAGGGTAAGCAGTGGGACTCATTGTCAAAGATTAGAATGGTATTTGGGATTCAGGGGAGGAAGGGTTGGCATCTTCAGTACTTTAACAGTTTGATGAAAATAGCAAAACAGTCTCAAACAATATACTTTCTCTGTTAAAAAATTATCCTCATCCAGAACTTGTCTTTGGGGAATGAGTATCTCTTTAATAAATACCACTTGTTGATTTGTTGCTTGTGTCTATTTTGACATGAGAATTATTTAAATCAAATAGTGTTTACTAGAAACAGTAATATTGAGTCATTGTAGACATAGAAACTAATTTTCTATTTTGACATGATTTATGATTTTATACAATTATTTAAATCAAATAGTGTTTACTAGAACAGTAATATTGAGTCATTGTAGTCATAGAAACTAATTTTCTATTATGACATGATTTATGATTTTATACAAATATTTAAATCAAATAGTTTATACTAGAAACAGTAATGTTGAGTCATTGTAGACATAGAAAGTAATTTTCTAATTTGACATGATTTATGATTTTATGCAGAGCATCCAGATGATTCCTGCTATTGGTTGCACACACTATAGCATAGATGGCACCAGTGTAACAGCCTTGCATGTTGTCTATATCTTCTACTAACATGGGACAGGGAGTTATATATACTAAACAAAAACATTGGAGTTTTCTAATTTGTATGAATGTGTTTCCCTATCCTGAGTAATCCTCGCTTTAAATTAAAAAAAATAAATTAGTAACGATGCCTAACTTTTTTTGTTCAGTATAGATTGTATATTCAGTATAGTATATTCATGTATTTAGCCATTTTGTGTTAGTTGTTACTATAACATTGCTTGACTATACCCAAGCAAGGTTTTAGGCCGCAATAGACCTGTCTCCAAGGTTTGCGAGGGTTGTGGATATCTGAAATAATGTTTGCAGTACTCATTCATGGCCGCAATCAGCTATCGTGATTATCTTCCCAGTTTGGTTGGTGCCATTACAGTGGTACAATTTGTTGTTAGCTCGGTATTGGTCCAAGGCAGTTTGCTGTTGTTAAACATTTTCTATGAACTAGAAGAATTTCATGCTTTTTACAGGGTGTTCTTATGTGTGATTATTCGGGCTTGTAAATATCTGGTTAGCTGCTTCTCTGTCATTGAAAATCATAATATTCTGTTTGAGTTAAATCTAGTCTCTTGGTGGTCAGAATAAGCCCTCAGTACTTCATGCTTGTTGTAATGTGTCATTGTGACTTGTCCTGACAGATCTTGTGTCCAAACCTGCGGGTCAGAATATGTCTCCAACTGATTTGCCTTATCAAGACTTGATTATCAACATGCCGCCATCATATATCTGGTATATTGCTGACTTCAACATTCCACCCGTGAAGATCCGGGTTAGAAAGAATCTTCAGTAACCCAGGCTTGTCGTAAGAGGCAACTAACAGGATCGGGTGGTCAGGCTCGCTGACTTGGTTGACACATGTCATTGGTTCCCAATTGCGCAGATCGATGTTCATGCTGTTGATCACTGGATTGTCTGGTCCAGACTCGATTATTTACACCTGGATATAGCTGGAATAGAGCTTCAAAAATCGAAGCGCGCATGCCAACATGGAAGAGGAAGTCTCGATCGCATGTTGACATTTTCCTGCTTGGACAAAAGTTACATTCCCTTTTTAAGTATTCCTGTTGTGGTATTTGGCATTTATCATCATGATACTTGTGTGCACACTTTGTTTAGTTTACTTTCCATTCATATGTAATGACTGACAGCAATTATTTCGACATATTTAATACTTTTTCTACATGAGGAGGCGATTCACGGTTGCTCGGAAATTGGAAAGATGCACGGATCGTAATGCGCATGTGCAGTAGAGGTCAAAGTTCGCTGATATAAAAATGTTGCAGTTTCATAGTTTTTCGTTGCCGTTTTTACTGTTTCAGTAGCGAGGTATTATGTTTATGTTGCTATTTCCACGATTAATGTGGGCTTTTCTGCGTTTTTCTGCACAGTGGGAAAGTTTTTTTTGGTAGGCCTGACTAGGATTTAACTGAAATAGTGTTCGAGGCAATGTTGTTGCAAGTTTGTCATTGTAATAGTACTGACTGTATGCATCATCCTCTAAGTCAGCCCATGAAACTCCAGTCTAACATCATAACCATCCCCATATCTTGATACTGCATCTTGCATGGCAGCACTGCAGCTTACGCTATGGAATGCTTCTTGCATGGTTGAACTACATCACTGCATGAAGCTGCAAGTACTTGCATGTACTTCACCTGCTGGCATTTACACCTCACAGACGTAACCCTTCTGGTCCTGCACTGACTTTACTCTCCCTGACTTTGCACTCAAGCTCTTTGACATCACCCTCCATCCCCTGACTTTACACTACAGCTTGTGAGTTTACCTTCCACCTCGCTGACTTTACCCTACAGCTTCCACCTCCCTGACTTTACACTACAGCTTTCTGACTTTACCTTCCACCTTGCTGACTTTACCCTACAGCTTCCACCTCCCTGACTTTACACTACAGCTTTGTGACTTTACCTTCCACCTTGCTGACTTTACACTACAGTTTTGTGACTTTACCTTCCACCCGCTGCTGACACTTTACCCTACAGCTTTTTACCACCTCCCCTGACTTTACACTACAGCTTTCCACCTCCCTGACTTTACCTTCAACCTGGCTGACTTTACCTTCCACCTTGCTGACTTTACACTGCTTTTCACCTCCCTGACTTTACACTACAACCGTGACTTTTCACCTCCTTGACTTTACCCTTTACAGCTACCTGACTTTACCGTTTAGCTTTCCACCTCCCTGACTTTACCCTACAGCTACCTACTTTCTTTTCCACCTCCCTGACTTTACCATACAGCTTTCCACCTCCCTGACTTTACCCTACAACTATCTGACTTTACCTTCAACCTCCCCGACTTAACCTTCAACCTCCCGGACTTTACAATACAGCTTCCTGACTTAATCCTTCTGCTCCCTGACTTTACCTTCCTGCACCCTATCACTACCTACAGCTGCCACCCCTACACCCTGCACCCTGCAAGTGGGTAAGCCCTCCATTACATTAATGCTGGTATTTCTGTCTGTGACGTGAAGAGGGTGAGAACGAGAATCAGTCCATGGATCGGCAGTCTCAGGACGGCGACGACCGGGACTCACAGCCAGGGGATAATACCAAAGGTAGCACTTGTGGCATTGGAACTGGGTCTGCTTGCTTCATGCAGGCTGTTAGTGTTCTTTGTTTGTAGATGACGTTGCCTTTTGTCAGCCTTTATTCTAGTTTTTTGTAGTCAACTGTAGACTGTAGTGATAATTAGATGCAATCTGTAGCAAAATTTGATGTGAAGAATTACGTAGTGGAAGGTCAAGGCTATAATCAAGGGTTTTGGAGTAAGTGTGTCTGTGGGTGCAGCTGTGAACTTTAAGTTATAAAAACTTAATCACTAATTATTTTCTAAATTGTTGTTTAAGATGATGATGATAAATCTGAAGATGCAAGTCGAGATCAGACCATGGACACAACAGCTGGTGAGTTAAAAACTGAGATATATTACACCATTGAATCAAGAATAATCATGATAGTAATGTGCCAGATCCATGTTGTAAAGCACAACATTATTCAAGGAGTCAATATGCACTCAAATTTCATTCTTATCACCCTGTACAAGCTGCCTATGAGGTATTAGATGGTTAGCAGCCATGTTACTGCCATCTCATTCTACCGGTACCCATTCACTGCTGGGTCAGAGGCAAAGTGTTTCCTCTTGATTTGTGCACTAGTCCACCAGACCATATGTCTCCATACAGATGGCATTGTAAGGATGTATACCTCTTATATAACATTCAAAGTTCTGAAGAAATTTCTAACTTTATGTTATAACCAACTTCATCTCATTTCTTGTTTTTGTACATCCCTTTGTATTTCTTCTTTCTGTCTATCTACTCATTGTCTCTCTTTTCTCTTCTATTTTGTTCTCTTCATCGCTCAGGTAAAAAAGGAAAAATTGCTAATCCTCCTGATAAGCATTTGCCTCCTAATCCTAATCCTCAGGGTGAGTGGTCAACATAGGGGGAAAGCAGCATCTCAAAGCATCAAAGAAATGTCTGTTTCCCTGAAGTGTTATCCTTACTGTCAATACGTTTTCTATCGTTCGTCACACGTTTGAGCTGCTTCTTAAAATGTAAAATGTTACGATGGTTACAATATTCCTGTAATTTCAAAGGAGATACTTTGCTTGTGTAATAACACACAACTGTGGGATCGTTGTATGCAGAAGTTAAGTTTCATATCTACTTGTACTTCAGAAACATTGGCATGATGTTTATTAATGTCTTCATATCATGTAGCTTTTCAGCACATGTGTAAACATTGTTTTGTTGTTCCTATTAGTCCTCCATGCATTTTAAATTTCATCTTGGCGACTTTCAGAGAAAGAGAAGGAAGAAGCTCCACCTGTTGAAACAGATGAGGTATGTTGTGATGTTCATGATAGATTTTCACTTGTAAGTGTAAAGAAATATACTCATGGAAGCAAGTAAGGGAACACCTGAAAATACAAGTGTTCCTTTATTCTTTTCCAGGTTTCTTCACAAGCTTTATATTGCACTGTGGGTGAAATTCTGGAAAAGAATAAAGGAACACTTGTACTTTCATGTGTTTCCTTATTTGTTTCCATGAGTATATATGTACTGAAATTTGTATCGTTGAAGTATGTTATGACAGAGAGGTTATGCTCCTATGTTTGTTTCTACACTAAGGTGCCAATGAAACTCTTCAGAGCATCAAATAGCACCTGCAAATCTGGAAAATATCATGCTGAACTTTAAATTTATTTCATTGTATTTTACTAACTGGATTTGGTAACAATTTCTGCAACATAGTATTACAACAATAAAATATGTCTTGCCCCAAAGCTGTTTTAAAAGGAGATATAGTATGAAATGTTTTATTTCAATACCTGGTGACATTGATCAATGCTCACATTATCAGCCACTGGGTTGGTTGCCATGGTTACAGGTCTTATTACAAAGCTTGACCATTGAATTTACATAATGTTGAATCTTTACAAGAACCTTGTGGGGTTTTAGGGCAAGAACAGATGTTTAAAATGGACAAATTGGGGATTGGTTGGCTGGTGTCGAATTTTGCTATTGGTTTCAACAACTGGTGTGCTTCAAGGAAGATTGTATCATACAATAGCTTGGAAATTGTGTGACATGGCGTAATATGATAATCAGTCAGACAAGTAAAGGGTGTTGATCTAAAGATACTGACAATGAACTATTGTTTCTGTATGTTGTATTGTTCTGACAACTCCTTCCAGACAAAAGTCCCAGATGGCCCTGAGATGGATGAGTTTAAGAAGCTGAGAGCGGAGCATGACAAGGACTTTGTGTCTGTACACGGCACCATCACCGGCAGCACCAGCATTGAACCCATCATCGTCGATATTGATGACAAGAACATTGAGGAGATGTTTTCAAATGTTGTAGAGAATGTTGAAAGTGAGAACAAATTTTTTTCTGACGTTAAATATGTTTTGTACTAAATCAGCAATCACCTGGGACTTTGAAGTTGAGGGGTGGTGGGGTAGCCTAGTGGTTTACGCGTTCGCTCGTCACGCCAAAGACCCAGGTTTGATTCCCCACATGGGCACAATGTGTGAAACCCATTTCTTGTGTTCCCTGCCGTGATATTGCTGGAATATTGCTAAAAGTGGCGTAAAACTAAACTCACTCACTAAGAAGTTGAATTGAATCTGAATTTAATTATAATATTGAAACACCCCCCAAAATTATGCAGTTATTAATTTATTATTAGAGTTTTGTTCCTGCCTATCACATGACCAGTAACCTTCCCTTACATCATTTTCCTACCCCAAGTATCTAAAGATGAAGAACACCTCAACAGATGTTGTCCTGTTCCACTGAGTTTTGTCCTATGTTTGTAAATCTTTGTTAAAGTAGTTACAATCTGCTGAGATTGCTTTGAGAAATAGTTCTGGGATGATTGTGTATTCTAATCCTGCAGAATGGGTTGTTGCTCATGCTATCGACCCCTTGATTACACATAAACTGCCATGGCGGTGTACAACATAGCAAACTAGCATATAACAGCAATCACTGAATTTGACTGACTCTCTCAGGGCAGCTGGCTTACTGTGGCTGGGAGTATTCAGGGATGGACATTGATGAAGAGGAGGAAGACAATGAAGCTGATGCTAATGAGGAGGAAGAGGAGGCTGAAGAAGAGGTGAGAGAACATACATGTTGGGAAAGAAGGGAGATGTGTAGACTAACATAAAGTCCCAGATACAAAGTACCGATATCTAGAACTCAGACATAGAAAAACATATCCAAAGATTAAGGATGGTGTATGTACAAACGTCAAAGGCCGGAAAGATATGTTGTGACCATGTGAGTTATACTTTATATTTTGAGAATATTTTGGGGGGGGAATGAATGTTATTTTGCTATACCTTTTGGCACTTTCACCAAACATTCTGTAAATTAGATTGAGCTGGCATACATAACCAGTTGCTGGATTGAACTACCGTGATTTTTGCACCATTACCGCCCTGAATATTACCTGCACCCCAGTTTTGGAGTTACTGTCCACACCACAGTCTACACATAACCCGCACCTTACTTTTACCCATAACCTTTTGTGCGATTCAGTGTAAAACTAAAAGTAAGACGAAATATCTTTCAGTAGCCAGGATCTAGCATACCTTCTATTGGGAGTTGCCTTCAAGAAGTTTTCAAAATCGTTATAATTTGTTATCCTTCTTCTTTGTTATATCCTTTTTTCCATATTATTTGTTGTAATAAATTGTCACTATTAGTGTCGTTGACCGCTGCTGACCGGATGCGAGGTATTTGTAGTCTGGAGTAGAAATATAATCCCATAAAAAATAGTCAAGTTTGGTTATGTAAGACGATGCCTAAGAAACATAGAAATGTTCTAAGGTTCCTAATGTAATAGAGTTGAATGTCGGCAAGAGGAAGGTGGTGGTTTGGTCCCTGGCCATTTCAAACCCGAAAACACATCTAAAGATGGTTCTGGTTGTTACCCTGTCCAGTACTCAGCTTTAAAGGGATAAAACAATATCAGGGTAACTCTAACCATGTACCGTTATTAGTAAGAAAAATAAGAAAAAAAAAGAAAAAAAAAAAAGGGTAACACTGTTTTTTCAGGGCATTATCATTTGCAGAAGCCCTAGGTCTTTCATTAACTGCCCAACGAAGGAGGGCAGTTGAAAAGACCGGGGGCTTCTGCAAATAATACTGCCCTGAAAAATAGCGTTACCGTTATTGTAGCTAAAATAGAGAGAATTTTTAATAAAATAAGAACATACAATGGTATCGGGTTTGAAGCATTTGCTGCTAACAACAAACGTCGGAGTTCACTGACACACTTTTTACAAATATGGAAACGTCATAGAACAAAACAGATGACGTCACTATTGAGCGTGACGACATTCAACCTTGACCTTTGCCCATACTACCAGCCGCCATTTTTTCAGTGCTCAACAACGTTAGAGATCCAGTCGATGTTTTCATTGCTGCATGTTGTAATTTATGGTACAGTGGTTAAAGTTGGCGTGATAATGGACCATCGTCAAGCAATTTGGGGGCATTATCAAGTCACAGTGGCCTGCCTATTTCTGATAACATGCGGGCATTTTAATGTGACTTCTATCCATTTTAGCTATAAGGGCTGGTACACACTCCAGCACAGCGATGACTTAACATAACATCACTGCCACAGGCTAATTTGCATATCACTTGACCTGACTTTTCTCTTGTTTGTAATCAAACGCGCATATTCATAATAAGAAGAGACTGGACTCACGAAAGCTTTTCGGCGCTCTCTTCATAATGTTTTACATTGTTACATATATATTCTTCCACAACTGCGACAGTTAGGTCTATGACAGTACATATTTAGATATCAAACTGGCTGCATCGTTTGCTCTCCGTCGGCTTCGATGACAGCACGTGGAGCCGTACAACCTATGTAAACAAAGGATCGCTGCGCAAATCGAAATAGTGTTACATGTTTTTGGATATTTTCTCAGTGAAACTAAATCATTCTATTAAAGATGTTTAGTTAGATGTGTAGAGTCACAAAAATAAAAGAGGAAAAGAAATCTGTACATTATATTGAATGGACATTGCAAGATGTGACGAATCGTCACATTTTTCTGGCCTGTGGCAGAGGTACTATGCTGGCTTACCGCATGGAACTCTGGGTAGGAGAGTGGGGCTGGTAAGCTCTGAATCAGTGTACTGTGTGTGAGTGATCTCCATGTTAAACTGCAGCATGGTATCTCAGGCAGTTAGGGCTGTGAAGCTGGTACAAACACCTGTATATGTATCATTCTTTAATGGAATAACCTTGAACACTTCCAACCCATCTGACTTGTACCTGACTCCCAACATTGCCTGACCAGGAGGAAGACCCTAATCGTAACAAGAAGAAACCCCTGGGGGACACAAACCACTTCTGCCCAGTAGCTCTCAAGGACACGGGTGTGCTGTTCCCTGGCAACCCAGAGATAGCAGCCAAGTACAGAGAGCGGGTGTACTATCTCTCCACCAACGAGGCGAGAGACTCCTTCCTCAACAACCCAGAACAGTACCTGCCCAAGAATAAACCACTCGAGGTAAGTAGCTGCTCCTTTCAGATGGCAAAATCAGGGATTTTTCTTGGAATCATTAACTTGCAAAAGCTTCCACTGCATTTTTTAAAAGAGCAGAGCTACAGATAACTTTTTGGGTCATTGAGTTAATGTACTCGCTTGTGTTCATCTCAGTTGGGTATCCTAATTTTCCTTTGAGTAACCAAATAAATTGTACCCACCTCACTCAAACTCAATTGGGTATTTTGCCATTTCCCATTAATTGTAAAAATATTATAAAGTTTATATGTTGGTTTACGTGTTTGTTATTAATTTTTGATCAGTTATATGAGAAATGATAAGAAAGAATGCAAGCTGCCAAGTTGCCAGGTGCTGAAAGAGAACCTCTCAGTATACCACAGTTATTTTATCTTTTTTGGTTTGTACGCAGGTAATATCAAACTTATTCAGTATTTACAAAATTTCAAGCATACTTGTACGCAATAGACTTAATAGGAATTGAGTTTTCACATAAATATTTGAATATCTGCGCAGATACGCAGCTTATCTGTACCTCTGAAAGACTATCAACACTGGAGTAAGGCTTTGACATGGAAAGTGAATCAAATTAACATTAAGTCAATTAAACAATATACATACTAACTTACACTGACTGGAAGTATATTTCATTACGTGAGATTGTATAGCATTCTTATAGCTCCTGTGTATATGTTCCAGGCCCCGCCAGTCCGGCTGTTGATCCTGGGTCCACGCGGTGCTGGGAAGACCCTCCACGGTCGTCACCTAGCCAAAAAGCTGGGCCTGTTCCACATTGCCTTCAGGGAGAGGCTCCAAGAGCTCATCATTGCCAAGACCAAGAAGAAGATTGGGCCTGAGTTTGAGGAAGACAATGAGGAGGAAGAAGAGGAAGAGTGAGTAGAAACAAATGCTGGCTGCCATTTTGAAAAATACAGTCACACTCAGTTTTTTAAATTCTTTACATGATCATCCTTGATAATCTCCAGGGTATACATACGTTACGATAACTCTCCACTATACCCTGGATGCATCCACGGCTTTGGGCGAGGATTTTATTACCTCCCTTGGCTGGCTCTGCATTCTCACAGTAGCCAATCAGCTAAGCCGCCGTTGCCAAGTTTAAACGGTTAGATAATTTAAGAAGCAAAAGTGTGTTGTGATTGGTTTGCTCAGCTTCCCAGCGTAGGCACCTGATTGGATAAAAAGCTAGCCAAGGGAGATAATAAAATCATCGCCCCCAAGCTGTGGATGCATCCAGGGTATAGTGGAGAGTTATCGTAGCGTATATCCTGGATATCATCGAGGATGTTACATGATATGATGCTATATGATTTGCTTTTGTTAGAGAATCTGTGGTTATTCTGGATTCCTTTGCTTTAAGAGATGAATAAATAGATTCAGTAGTCAGCTGATTCAAGTCAATGTATCCCAATTGCATGGACTGATGCTTGTGATTATCAGTCACTTGCTTGTCTGATCCAGACTTCTTTGAGTGGCATTTTTGAAGTTGGGAAGTACAATATAGAACAAACTTTATGGATAACAACTTTTTTATCCGTGTGTGCGACGTTTCGATACAGATTCTTGTACCGTTATCAAGCATAGATGACAAATGACATGTATGCTTGACAACGGTACAAGAATCTGTATCAAAACGTCGCACTCACGAATAAAAGAAATTGTTAACCATAAAGTTTGTTCTATAATTATCCAGACTTGATTACTTAGTGAGTAACATGACACTCCATGCTAACAGAGAGGAGGAAGAAGAGGAAGATGGTGCTATCCTGGCTCCTGATGGCACTGTAGTAAAGGATGAGGATGAGAAGCCAAATGGCTCTGACACCAAGCAGGCTGAGGTAGAGGGACAGGACAGCAAGGCCGCCCAGGGAGAGGAAGATGAGGAAGCAGAGGGGGAGCCCGAGCCCGAGCTGACAGAGGAAGAGGAGGCCATCAAGTCTAACCTGGAGGCTGATGAGCCTCTCCCTGCAGAAGTCCTGGACAACATTATCCCCCACTGGTGGCAGAGGGAACCTTTCAAGTGAGTCTCTTGCTCTTTGGTTTGCTGCCTCTGTGGTATAGTGGATAGAGTGTCTGCACTGAGTGGTTGGTGGTTAATGGTTTGCTTTGATTCCTTAGACCTGCAGTATCCTTACCCGTGAAGATGCAGGTTAGAATTGATCTTCAGTAACCCATGCTTGTTGTAAGAGGCGAGTAATGGGATTGGGTGGTGAGGATCGCTGACTTGGTTGACACATGTGATCATATCCCAGTTGTGTAGATCGATGCTCATGTTGTTAATCACTGGACTGTCTGGTCCAGACTTGATTATTTACAGACAGCCGCCATATAGCTGGAATATTGCGGCATAAACCTAAGCTCAGCAAACTCACTCACTCACTCACTCACTCACTCACTCACTCACTCACTCACTCACTCACTCACTCACTCACTCACTCACTCACTCACTCACTCACTCACTCACTCACTCACTCACTCACTCACTGTATCCTTGCTTGCATTCTCCAACAAGAGCTGATATTCATTAAAACGGTTCTTATGTTCTCAATGAAGGATAAAGAATTCCTTTGTGGTTTGGGGTTAATTTACGCATGAGGGTGAGGAGACGTGTTTATCCAACTTATAAACTGTCTTAATGCAAGAAATCTGATTAAAAAGGACCAGAAAGAATACGAAGTCTACATTGAGGTTGGTAAACAAATTCAATCTATGGAGATACACACAACTTAAGTTCTGATATGTGAGCTTGAACAACCTTTTGTCTCTGACTCTAGTGGCTTAGTGTGTAAGCAGTGTGTTACACTACTATGCATGAGATTATGGGTTTGATTCACATTGAATCTTCCTGGAATTAAATTGTGACTTTGAACCAGTCCAATATTATATACAGGTGCATATTTAAGGTTTATACAATTTCAGTTCTGATGAGTCAGATATAAAACCTCCAAGCTGGTCTTACAATTCAAATCAGGTCTCGTTTTACAGTAGCACATATCAGGAGTTTTTATATTATGTCCATCAAATACTATAGTCTCATGCCTGTTATATGTTAAAATTGCATCAAATATGAATGAATATTAATTCAGTTCTGACATCATTTTGTTCAGATCGACTGGGTTCATCCTGGAGGGTTTCCCCCGCACGTCGGATGAGGTGAAGTACCTGGCGGAGCTGGGTCTGTTCCCTGACGCTGCCATCACTGTCGGCGTTTCGGACGGTGATGTCATCGGCCGCCTGCTGCCACCCAAACTAGACAAGTGGCGGATCAAACGAGACAAGAGAATGGTCAAGAAGCAGAAGAAGATGGAAAAGGCGAAGAAGAAGAAGGTAAAAGGAAGTAGACAAATTTGGTATTGGTGGGGGAGTGAGTGGTGAGAAAGTGGAGGGAGTGGAAGAATGGAGGTGGGTGAAGGGTTTGGAGGAAGTGGAAGAATGGATAGGCAAGAGGAAGTGGGGAGTGGAGATAGTGAAGGTGAAGAGGAAGTGGAAGAATGGATAGTGGTATGTGAGAAGAAGTGGAAGAATGGATATTGGTGGGTGAGTGAGTGGGTATTGGTGAAGGCAGGAGGAAGTGGAAGAATGGATATTGGTGGATGAGTGAGTGAGAGGAAGGTAGTGAAGGCAAGAGGAAGTGGAAGAATGGATATTGGTGGGATGAGTGAGTGGGTTTGGTTGGGTATGTGAGAGGAAGATAGTGAAGGCAAGGAGGAAGTGGAAGAATGGGATATTGGAAGGCAGATAGGAGGGTGGATGAGTGAGTGAGTGGGTTTGGTTGGGTATGTGAGAGGAAGATAGTGAAGGCAGGAGGATGTGGAAGAATGGATATTGGTGGATGAGTGAGTGGGTTTGTTTGGGTATGTGAGAGGAAGATAGTGAAGGCAAGAGGAAGTGGAAGAATGGATATTGGTGGATGAGTGTCCTGGTATGTGAGAAGATAGTGGATATTGGTGGGTGATGAGTAGGTTTGGTTGGGTATCTCAGTCTTAAAGTGGAAGAATGGATATTGGTGGATGAGTGAGTGGGTTTGGTTGGGTATGTGAGAGGAAGATAGTGAAGGCAAGAGGAAGTGGAAGAATGGATATTGGTGGATGAGTGAGTGGGTTGTGTTGGGTATGAGAGAGAAGGAATAAACCTAACCTAAGCCATTGGGTATGTTTACACATGTTTTTGGTTTCCAGGAGCTTGCAATCCAGAAGATTCCTTGATACTTAGAGAGGAACTCCTGAAGGATCAGCTTGCAAAGGAGAGGACTCCTGAAGGAGAAGAGAGACAGGTGAGCATGAGCATGAGAGACAATGTTAATGTCTATGTATGTTATACTGTCGCTACATCATCCGTACCTGATTTTACAGATTCATACTAATCGTAAGTTCTATTTGATTTTGTATCACCAATGAGGAGGACACAAAGCTGTATTTATCCTGATGAAAACACATTGCACAACAACGTATGTTATGGATTTACAACTTCTTTAATATTTACAACACAACGTTATTCACCTGATGAAGGGGCAAGAAGTAGCCCAGAAACGTTGTGTTGTAAATATTAAAGAAGTTGTAAATCCATACCATACGTTGTTGTGTTACCTCCCAACTTCTAAATGCCCATCAAGCATCTGAAAACACATTGGTTGAATTAGAAATGTTAAGCATGAATATTATCAATACGGTGATTCATTGTGTAACATTTGATCCAGGCACAGAGAGCAGCTGAGAGAGAGGAGGAAGACGAGGAGGAGGAGGACATAGAAGAAGAGGAGGAAGAGGAAGAAGAAGACATTGAAGCAATGCTGGCTGAGGAATTTGAGGTGATACATTTGTTAAATTACCGTAATATTTGTAGAGCTGATAAATGTGTGTTTTAGATTTTCAGTTGATGAGAATTTCATGCACAGAAATAGAATTTTGTAATATTCTGAAAAGAAATTTCCTCATTTACTTCAAAACACATTGAAATATGAAAATACATAATCACCTGATTGTAGGTACCTATTCCCAGTTCTCCCAATTCTAGTGGCCCCCCTAATTGAGTTTATATGAATGTCTGGCAACTGGAATTTTTTGTTTGGGCCCAATCCTCATTGAGATGTAAGTCTTGAAGCGTTGACAGAAGTAAACCTGTACTTGATCAAGTCTGGATCGAACAAACCAGTGGTTGACAGCATGAGTGTCTTCAAATTTAGATGCAGAATACCGAGGCTGCATGAATGATAATGGTCTAACATAAGTGAGATGTTTGAGGTTGTGGTTGTTTTGATGCAGGAGGAGGAAGAAGAAGAAGAGGAGGAGGAAGAGCTGGAGGAGGATGCTGTGGACAGGATCAGGAACAACCTGAATGAGATGTATGACAACGACACCAACAGGCTGGAGCAGGTTCAGGTAACACTGGTTCAACCTCAGTTTTTATCAGTTCACCAGTCTGAAAGTCATAGTCAAGTTGTGGTACATTGTCCATCTGTGACCTTTAATTCTGTATTTCTCTGAAACGACAAGGCCTATGGAGCTATGAATGATCCTTTGTGACATCTCCAAAATCTGCTCATGGAATTGATATGTGGCTTTTGACATGGTCACCATTATTTTAAGTGAGCTACAGTGTCTTGTTTCTTTATTTGCTTCCAAGCAATTTGTAACAATTTGTTTCAGAGTTATCATCCAACTAATGGTAAAAGTCATAGATATTGCCACTTAATTAAAAGTAATGTTCATAATTTAACATCCATGAAGGTGAGCTATTTTCATTTAGGTTTCATTGTTGCAGAAACCCATTGTGCTTACAATAAATACAGGTTTAATCCAAACAAGTAATCACATATATTTTTTTATGATCGTTACACTTTCAAATTTGAATTATGGTGAAGCATGGCAAGTAAGAATACCTAGGCATGTTTTGAGTGATTTTGAAACTTTTCTTTTGTCCCTTTGTGATTACAAGCAGTAACATTTGTAATACAATCTAGGTGCTTCATCACACAGCATCTACAAGGAGTGAGAATCCGTAGCCTACATATGACAGACTTTATCCCTGAAGAGCATTATGTTAAAGATAACTGTTGAATCTGTCTAATGCTCTCTTCCTCCCCATCAGGACACTCTGGAGGAGGTGCTGGTTCCTCGTCTGGATGTTGATGGCGGCCGCAAGCCCCACATCGTCCGCTATATCCTCACTAAGAAGATCAAGCCCTTTGTTCAGTTCCGCCACAGTCTGTTTGAGAGAATCTATCCTATCAGTGAAAAGCTTTCCAAGAAGATGCTGCAGATTGGCTACAAACAACCCAGTCGCTTCGGCAGGTGGTGCCCGGTGCAGGTACGTGGTTCACTGTGGTATTCCCCCATCCAGCAGGCTCTACACAACACAAACACACTCCTGCATCCACTGCAGTACCAGGAGGCAAGTGGGTGAAGCGTAAGCAAAGTATATCCAAATTCCAAATTTTAAAACTTATCCTGTCTCACGTTTTGTACTCACCCTCTTAGGTACCCAGATTCCAAGTACCCCTTTTTGAATTGTGTGTTTTGAAGCTGTTAGCAGAAAAGTATTCTGTCCCTAACAATAATCCCAGCTTTCCTACAGGTATACAGACACACCACTCACGGTGACACACTCTCACACACATATACACACAAAGACAGAATGGCACAGACTAACAGACTGTCTGACACATACGCCATACAAACTCACAGAGAGACATACAGATATCATATACACATATACCACTTATTTCGACAATGTCACATTATGACTGTCTGACACATACGCCATACAAACTCACAGAGAGACATACAGATATCATATAGACATATACCACTTATTTCGACAATGTCACATTATGACTATGACACTGTACAAACTCACAGAGACATACAGACACACAATGTCACATTATGCTGTCATCATCATACAAACTCACAGAGAGACATACAGATATCATATACACATATGCCACTTATTTCGACAATGTCACATTATGACTGTCTGACACATACGCCATACAAACTCACAGAGAGACATACAGATATCATATACACATATACCACTTATTTCGACAATGTCACATTATGACTGTCTGACACATAACACATCATACAAACTCACAGAGAGACATACAGATATCATATACACATATACCACTTATTTCGACAATGTCACATTATGACTGTCTGACACATAATGCCATACAAACTCACAGAGAGACATACAGATATCATATACACATATGCCACTTATTTCGACAATGTCACATTATGACTGTCTGACACATACGCCATACAAACTCACAGAGAGACATACAGATATCATATACACATATACCACTTATTTCGACAATGTCACATTATGACTGTCTGACACATACGCCATACAAACTCACAGAGAGACATACAGATATCATATACACATATGCCACTTATTTCAGATACAATGTCACATTATGACTGTCTGACACATGACACAGATACGCCATACAAACTCAGAGAGACATACAGATATCATATACACATATGCCACTTATTTCGACAATGTCACATTATGACTGTCTGACACATACGCCATACAAACTCACAGAGAGACATACAGATATCATATACACATATACCACTTATTTCGACAATGTCACATTATGACTGTCTGACACATACGCCATACAAACTCACAGAGAGACATACAGATATCATATAGACATATACCACTTATTTCGACAATGTCACATTATGATTTTTGGTTTGGTTTGGTTGTTGTTTAACGCCTACTCAGCAATATCCCAGCTATATGGCGGCAGTCTGTAAATAATCGAGTCTGAACTAGACAATCCAGTGATTAGCATCATGAGCACCGTTCTACACAATTTAGATACAATGACGTGTCAACCAAGTCAGCGAGCCTGACCACCCGATCCTGTTAGTGGCCTCTTACGACAAGCATGGGTTACTGAAGATCCCCAGATCTTCATGAGTGTCTCAGTACGAATTAAATGAAGTCAACAATGCCATCCAGATGACATAAAACAATCCACTGATGTTTGTGAAGTAATATTCACCCAAGTACACATACAATTTACTTGTTTCAGTATTGTCTATGGGTAATATATATACTTACTGCCTGATTTCATCCTCCAGCTCCACAGTGGGGAATGCATCCAGGCAATGAGCGGCCCTGGCTACCAGACATACCCCTGTATCTACCGCCAACACATCTACTTCCTGTCCAGCTTACACGCTCGGGAAGAATTCATGCATGACCCCATGACCTTCCTCAAACAACAGTCACCCAAACCAGTTGTGCCGGTCAGAGTTGCAATCATCGGACCGCCCAAGTCAGGAAAAAGTACACGTAAGTCTGATAAAGATATTTCGTACTTGAGTCCATTTTAACCATGACATTTTATACACCACACTCGGCATTATTATAGCATCAGGATGGTAGTTTGTAAATAATCAAGTCTAGACAGTCTGTGATATCACAAACATAAATTGCTTCCTGATGCGTCAGCATGCCCAACCACCAGATCTTGTCAGTTCGTTCTTAAGTGAGTGAGTGAGTGAGTTTATTTAACGCCACTTTTAGCAATATCCAACAATATCACAACAGGGACACCAGAATGGGCTTCACACATTGTACCCATGTGGGGAATAATATCCGGGTCTTCAGCGTGACGAACAGACACTTAAACCATTAGGCTACCCCACCACCCCTGGTTCTTAAGACAAGCATGGGCTTCTGAAGACCAGTCCTAACCTTGGCCTTCAGGGGTTCTACCAGAGCTGCCAACATAAAGAATTGAGTGAAACATTTATGAAAGTTAACAGAACTGTTCATGTAATATAAGACTTGTAGACTTAAACATTTTTGACACAGTCCATGATGTGTTCTTTGTGCAGTGGCCACAAGGTTTGCGGAGGAGTACGGCCTCATGCGGTTGTCTATCGGGGAGGCCATGAGACAGGTGCTGCAGAACCAGCCTCACTCAGAACTTTCCCGGGAGATGAACTCTCACCTCTTCCGTGGCCTCACCATCCCCGATGAGCTGGCAGTACAGGCTCTGGAGATCTGCATGCTGGACATGAAATGTCAGACAAGAGGGTAAGCAGTAGTTGGCTGGAAAATATTAAAATATATTTACTATAAATGTTCTGTTTTGAAAACTGAATAAAGTAGGACTGATTATTGAAAGTACCAGGTGAGTGTGAGTGAGTTTATTTTTACGCCTATTACTTACAACTTCTAGAATGCCTCTCAAACAGTTCATTAAGTGTGATGAATTCTTCCAGGTTTGTGCTCGACGGCTTCCCAGTGACCCGGCGCCAGATTGACCTGATGACTGAGAGGAGCCTGATCCCTGTGCGGGTTGTTGAAATGAAGCTGGACAGCAAGGATGTGATGATCCGTGGAACCAAGGACCGACTCTCATCCTCACGGTAGGTCTACATCGCACAGTCTCACAACATTGTTCAATTCAAAATCATGATTTCTATCTGAAAACTTGAAGTCAGCTACAGGCTAAATCCTGCCGTCCCTCCATTCCTTTCACTTTCCTTCACTCACACACTGTACTCCAGGACACTGCCCCAACATGACAGCTCCCAGACCCTGCTGTGTGTGACACCAAGCTACCCTTCTTCTCTCCAGCCCCTACTCTCTTCCTCAATTTTGCTTTACTCTGATGAAAAGACTGCCTCCATGGTGTAGTGGTTAGAGTGTTCACCCGGAGAGAGGAAGGTTGCGGGAAACCAAGGATACTCTCACTCTGTCCAACCCCCACTCCCTTCCTCCCTCCCTCCCTCCATCCTTCACTCACTCACTGACTGCATTCCAGGACCCTGCCCCTACACGACAGCTCCCAGATCCTGTCAATGCGACTACACAACTACCGCGACACCATCCAGGAAGTGAAGGACTGGTACATCAAGGAGCACATGAACTACATGGAGGTGAACGGTGACAGCTCAAAGTGGGCAGTGTGGCAGAATATGCTGGACATTGCCGAGGAGAGTGTTCAGCAGATTCAGAGCTACCTTCAGCAGGTCACTGATGGTGAGAATTTCAGTTGTGTAACTGTGGAAGTTAAATTCAGGGAGGGTCTTTGTGTTTGTTCTAACATCATAGTTATCAAGTTTAAATGGTAAAGTACATCTTCTGTATGAAGCTCAAAACAAAATTTGATCAGATTACAGAGTTACCTCCCTTGTAATCAAACCAATTTCAGTAGTTGATGAAACCAAGACTCTGATGATGCTAACTTGGCAATAACATATCTCTTCTGCACTACATTTTTGTGTAGATACCTGTAACAAAAACACAAAAATATACATGGTTATGTGAATTTTCAAGCAGGGGGCACTTCTAAAGCTTATTGTCACATTGCTCAAGTGTCACTAACATGTGCAAGTCACTTAATATGGTAAATATAGTACATAACAACAGCCACTGCATTTGGCTCGTTTGAACTTTGTATGATTTGGTCAGTTGCTGCGCTTACTCGACAAGATGGTCAGGTTCTCATACTGGATGTTTGTTGTCCAGGTAAGGCAGCATCTATAGCGGACATGTGCATCACACCCAAGGAGTTCCTGCAGCGAGTGGGAGACTTCGAGCAGTACTGTCCGGTCAGTCTGGCCCTCCGAGGGGAGCTTGTTGACTGCTCCACTGATCCTACACTCAAAAATGCTGCTGAGTTCAGAGGTAGGTTTTCTAACTAACAGGGGTAGCCACTGGTCGTATGTTTATTGACCTGGCGGTGTTATCTTTACTTAGAGAAAATTGGTACATCAGTGACTGTGTTGCCTAAAACAATTACAGGGCTATGAGTAGATTAATTCTTAGTCTCTGAATACATGTTATTTTGATAGTAACAAATAAACCAACTTAAATTGAAAAGGAGCCCCAGTGAGATGGAAGATTCAGAGGAAATCTAGACTTGCTATATTCAGGGCTTTAGCATTGCAGGGACTGCTAGGCAGTAGGGAAAATAATGCGGTTCAGGGACTGTGAGACTAGGCAAAGAGATCAAGAGTGATATTCCTTGGTATTATAATAAACCATTTCTGTCAGTCTTTGAATGGCATTTGCAAGTGGTACACATAGAGAGTGAAAATAATGTATGAATGTCAACTTCTGTCATATGAGTGAGTAAGTGAGTTGGGTTTTACGCCGCTTTTAGCATTATTCCAGCAAAATAACGTCAGGGGACACAAGAAATGGACTCCACACATTATATCCATGTGGGGAATTGAACCCAGGACCCGGTTGTATCAAACTTCAATGAAGCATTAACGTGCCATTCAACGTTTATTAAGTAATGTGTCATTAAATTCTGTTGTAGTAACGTTCTAATGACGTTGTTTTGTCATTACCTCATCATTAACTTAATGAAGGTCCTAGGGTATCATTAGAGTGTCATTAAACTTACTGGAAAAGTTAACATTGCGCCAGAATTTCGTTTGAGCATCACTGGATCTACCTACAGCTATAAAATTACACAGAAATGTAGAGTATTAAATGTCCTATCTCATTGTATAAAAACTCAGTTTGAAAAGTAGACACTGCTAAATGTAACCCTTAATTTTGGTATGCGTTAAAAACAGTACATTTCTCTGCTTTTTATCGTGCACTGATAAAAGTACTGTGCTACTATATTTTCAATTTGGCATCTTTACGGCAAGCGTGAGCGAACAAAATTCTGCCTGATACCTGAATGACATAGGTATGTATTAAATTAGTTTGTGTGCTTATGTATAACATTATACACTCAATCTTAAAAATGACTCGCAATATGTGTTAAAAATGGATTTTCCCCTATGACGTCAAATGGCTACAGAAAGGTCATACGCTTATAAAGATAAGGGGGCATCACTCTGCTATGCTTAATACTAATCTGTAACTCAGATCACTTGTAGAGAATTTGCTGTGAATAAGGACACTATATTTTCGTGAAGTTTTGTTCACGGAATTATCAAAAACAATGATTCTCAAAATATTTGTGACAAACGCGCACCTGGCTAATGGTTATACGACATTGTTTTGGCTATAACACAACATAAACAAATTCAATGAAAAAGACATATATATGCTTTAAAGACGTGTGCATATATACATTTCATGAAATAAATAAATAATTTTTATTTAATATGTCAATTAACTTAGGTTTAAAATACTAAATGTTGATAATGAAATTAGTTTCATGAAACTATATGTGAACGATGCGCAAAGTATACATTAATACTAAAAGTGTAATCCGCAGGACAGTGTGATTGTGTTTAATCTTATACAACCAACCTTCGCCTCAAAGAAACATATGTCCAACAATGTTGACGTATGACATCACTACCGATGACTGATTTCTTATGAAATGGCGGCTTTGTGCATATGGGTGCCCGCGATTTTGCGAGGGAACCTTTGTCCATAAATGTATGATGTAAGTAATCGGAAACATTCTGACTATCTGCGTATGCTTATTTGTCTTTATTGTTTTCATTGAAAAAGTCCAAAATGCCGATAATTGCCTATGTCGTTCTCCATGGTTTTGCGTCTGGCATGTCGTCACGCTGCACAGAACTTTTGAATGAATATATCAAATTTCTGTATTGTATCTGTTTTTTAATTTTCTAGTTCTTGCTACGATACTCTTTCTGTGCATATTCTAAAAGTATTGAGCTCTTGCATGCTACGAATAGACAAACTGATGTCCAAAAACTTGAGAAAATGCTGCCCAGTATAAAATCTGATTTTCGTTTTGTTTACTTTTATAGCAAGCGCTGTGTTATGAGCACAACGCTCCGTTTTCTCACCCAATATGTTTCGTTTTTTTCTAGACAGTTGATTTTAGTGACAAACACCATTTGTAAGTTGATTCTATAATGTATGAGGAATTCAGCGATGCATTTGTCACAACTGAATATGAAATATGCGTGATGTAAAAGGCGTCATATGACCGACCTTAGCAAAACTTGATGTTGTAAACACTATCCAATATGGCGGAAAGCTCACTTCGGCGTTCGTGTTTGTGTATTTTCCAAAACATCCCAACCAATTCTAGGTTTATTGGCGACGTTTCAGAATTATTTAGATTTGTTTCTTCACAGCAGTCGAAATGTTTGTTTTTGTTCCGAAGTTTAGCCGTAAAGATGCCATTTTGACGGATGACCGAGAGTAACGCTTACGTGTTTTCACCACGGAATTGTTGGAAATATTTAGGGGAATCCCTGAATGTAATGAAAATGTTTACATTAGGACGTCATTCGATAATGATACGCTAATAAGTGTTTGATACAACCGTTTTTAATGTTGCCATTAACTAATGATGCATTAAGGATTTAATGTATCATTAGGGTTTAATGTGGACATTAGTTAATGAAGCAATGATACAACCGGATCCAGATCTTTGACGTGACGAGCAAACGCTTTAACCACTAGGCTACCCCGCCAACCCTCTGTAATATGAGGGACATGACGTTTTGGAGTATATGTTTACTCCTTCATCCCTCATGACATCCATAAAGTTTGGCCAATTCCTGTCAGTGTCAAAAACATCTGATTCTATTGGCACAGACATGACTTTTAGCATATCTAAGCATAGTATATAGTATATTTTCATATGAACATGAGATCAATTATTAGATCAGGTTTTCTAGAACAATTGTTACAAGGAGCAGGTTACTGACTGTTGGGTTCATTCATTGGAGATGGACACAGCAAGAATAAGGTTCACAGTTATCTTTCTGAAGGGGTCTCTTTGCAAATCTGTTGTTATTTCAACATTAAACATTTGCCTGAGAAACCATTTAAGTTAAATATTGAAAGGAGAAAAGTTTCTACTGGCTGGACCGATGCTTGGCCACAAGGGTTATTTATAAGGGCAGTTAGGTGAGTGTTTAACATGTACCCAGATCAGAAAAACTATTTTTGGGAGATGAATACTTGTTAGTTCTCTCATGTAATCCATGGTCGAATTTCTCTGTAATGAAAGACTGAATGAATATTTGTGTTGGAAACACTCAGTAAGCAGGGTCTGAGCAGTACTTTGTCTGCAGGTCACTACTACAAGATGGCATCAAAGGTGGAGCTCGACCAGTTCCTGGAACAGCCAGAGAACTATGTGCCGCCTCTGGCACCCAGCAAGCTGCCCCCACCAGAGATGCTGCCCAAACGAAGGAAACCAGAGCAGGTCCAGGCCATCCGAGAAGTAGAGCTACAGGGCTACTGCCCCGTCACCTTCCTGGATGGCAAGAAGAGGTCAGTTCAGGACTCCTTGACAAATTTGTAATATAAAGTTTATTACCTGTTCAATGGAAGGCATATGTTTTCTTCTTAAAAACAGTTAGCAAGGCCCAAATTCTTTAATACTGCTAAAGTAAATCCCCAATCATAGCATGAATGAGTGAGTTTAGTTTTACACTGCTTTTAGCAATATTCTAGAACATCACGGCCGGGGACACCAAAAATGGGCTTGACACATTGTACACATGTAGGGAATCGAACCTGGGCCTTAAATCATGGCATGACAGATTTCGGAAGTCATTAATTTCTATCGGGTAGAATATAAAGTAAATATCTTTATTGTACTGTTGTAACTTGTAAATCATATGTTTGAAACTGTGATAATTTGTAAGACGCAATTTCAAAGGCTCTGGTGGTCAGAGTGAATGAGTGAGTTTAGTTTTTACACCGCACTCAGCAATATTCCAGCTATATGGTGGCGGTCTGTAAATAATGGAGTCTGAACCAGACAATCCAGTGATCAACAGCATGAGCATCAATCTACACAACTGGGATACTATGACATGTGTCAAGCAAGTCAGCGAGCCTGACCACCCGATCCCTTTAGTCGCCTCTTATGACAAGCATGGGTTACTGAAGATTCATTCTAACCCGGATCTTCACGGGTCTCTGGTGGTCAGACGAGATATATGGTTAATTGTGTGTTGTTGTACCCCAATGGAGTAGATAGTTGGTCAAAACAGCATTCAGTTGGGTGTCTGTCAAGACCTGACATTAAAACGCCACCTTCAGATAGCCACATGTGGCTATAAAACACAACCAATCAACTTAAAATGGAAGTCACCTGTGTGCATTAGATGGTGATTCAGAGGTCATCTGTCCTAAGCAACTGATTCAGATCTTGGGAGGGGACTTGATGCAGGTATATTGATATGGTTGATTGTTGGTCTCCCTGACAACCGGGAGAGTTGTTCACAATATAAATCATAGTTGTGGCCAATCTATATTTACCCGTGAAGATCCAAGTTAGAATTGATCTTCAGTAACCCATGCTTGTTAACCGACTAACGGAATTGGGTGGTCAGGCTCGCTGACTTGCTTGACACATGTCATTGTATCCCAATTACGTAGATTGATGCTCATGCTGTTGATCACTGGATTGTTAGGTCCAGACTTGATCATTTACAGACCGCCGCCATATAGCTGGAATATTGCTGAGTCCGGAGTTAAACAAGATAGAAACAAACAAAGCATGCATTACAGCACCTCATATCATAGACAGTGTTAAAATGTGACTAGTCCTTCACAAAATGAGGTGTTTGTCAGAACATCATACTCATATGGTACCATATTTTCTTTAGTATAGTGTTTTTCTTACTCACTTTTCAAAGTTTTTGCAATCAACCAAACATGATCTCTACTTGAATGTGATTAGTTTCATCATTAATGGGACACTCAGCAATATTCCAGCTGTATATATTCAAGCTACCTATATTTCATCATTAACTGCATGGGTCATTTTCTGCTTTTGTGTACACAATTGTTTATAGAGATTAATGAGTTGTTTTGTTTGCTGTAGATACGAGTCTATAGTGCCAGGAACCCTGACTTGATAGTGGAATACAGGAAGAAGTATTACTACTTTGAGTCAGAGGAGAAACTCCTGAAGTTCATGAAGTAAGTACTGATGCCAACAGAACATTTAAATATACTCAATAGTGTGTACTGTTTTAGTGTATTCTTTAACAATAGATTGTGTTCAGTAAGTCAGAGACCGCCTCCCGGGCGTAGTGGTTAGAGCTGCACGCCGAGCGGAAGATCGCGGGTTCAATCCCCGACCGCGGCATACCAAAAGACGTTAAAATAAGGTACTTGTTGGTTCCTGCCTGGTGCTCTCGGCATTAATGGGTACAACAAGGACTGGTCGGCCTCGAGTCAGTATAATGTGTCTGGAGTGGGGTATTCATGTTTCACTCATGGCATGGTATCTCAGTGAGCTAGCACTATAAAACCAGCTTCAGTCTGGGCTAGTACAAGCAGCCGCGACATACACATACACACACATGCATGTCAGATCATATGAGCTAAATATTCTGAAGCACGACGTTAAAACCCAATTTCACCTCACCTCATTAAGTCTGACTGTTCATTTTAAAGTTTGATGTTATGTAAAAGTAAAATAGTGCGTTATCACTTTTGTGTGTTTTTTTTCAGTTTTCAAATATAAAGGTTAGCGTATTATTGAAAATTACCTTAATAAAGAGAAGATTGAAATAACATCATTAGTTATGGGCTGATGTTCTATCATCTTGTTAATAAAGTCTGACTGATAATTTTTAGGCTTGATGTATTGTAAAAATTATAATAGGTCTTTATTAATTTTAATGGGGTTTTTTTCAATATTCAAACTTAAAGGTTATCAAAATACAAAGGTATACATTGTTAGACAGCAAATTCAATTCATTTCATTGGTAATATTTCCTGCCTTCTCCCCAAAGACTGCCTGAGGTGTACTGGAACCTCAAGCTCCCCACAAGCTACTCCCCAAGAAAGAGCCCCTCCCTGTGACTGGGCTCCCCATGCTGGGGTTCATGGAGCAGACAGCATCCACTGCTGTCATCAAAGCACTCACTGCAGCTGGAAACTTCAAGCCCAAGTACCCCTTCATCAGCACATCCCGCTCATCCTTGCTGTACGTGGCATATCATCTGAAAGGTGAGTTGTTGTCAGGGATTCCTTAGATATGTATACTCAGCGTCATTATTAAAGGGTCATGCTGATAACAAGAGATAATGTGTTAAAGAAATGTTGTGTTTTTATTTGCATCCTCAAGGAATCATTTCATGCCCTCTTTCACCGTTGTTTGTCATGCATTGCACAAGCTATGGGCTGAAGCATTGATTCAGATCAGGCATATGTTTGGGGTAGCTTTTCCATGACTTTCAATTTTTCACTTGTTATTTTTTTCTTCCATTTTTCCGGTTTGAGGAAAGCATCCATTATGTGTGACAGAGGTATAAATAGCATGTGCTTCCACTGTTGAACACATTGTCAGCACACTCAGACCTAGTGATGCTTTTGGCATATGTTAATGTTTGACACCATAGTTCAAGGGAGGCCTTCAGTAGAGACGTGGGGCAAGGGTTCCTCAAATTGTGGGACCAGTGAAGATCCGGTTAGAATTGGTCTTCAGTAACCCATGCTTGTCGAAGAGGTGACTGACGGGATCGGGTGTTCAGGCTCGCTGACTTGCTTGACATGTCATCGTATCCCAATTCGCGTGATTGATGCTCATGCTGTTGATCACTGGATTGTCTGGTCCAGACTCGATTATTTACAGACCGCCATATTGCTGGAATATTGTGGGTTTGAGTCCTGGTTTGCTCCTTATTATGGTTCCAGGTTTGTCAGTACATTGGATGTGTTTGTGGTAAACCTCTGAGATCGACATCACTTCTTTTCTTCCTCATTAGCTGACATACTGGAAACAGTGTTGAAAGTGCTTTGAATCACCCAAACTCTTGTCAACTGTTAAAGAAATAATGTGACACAGAATATATGGATCACATTTACATATCGAGACAGCCATTATAGTTTGTGAACTTTGATCCAACTTACTCTACTTGGATCTGCTGGATCTTGTCAGATGGGAGTTATGTCCGATTGATATTTATTGGTGGGAATGGAGTCAGAATTTTTTAGACAGTTTTGAGAAATACTTCAGCCCATTTAAATGGGAGTGCACTATGATTAGCCTTCACTCCTTTGTTGTTCATCACACCAACTTGTAAATGCCACTCAAACAAGTTTTTCACAATGCCTATCCAATAGGCAACACAACTAACTACTTCTTAGAGTTGAGGTCCTTTTGGAGATTATGCCAGCAAAAAACAGGAATATTCTAATTAAATCCTCACAAAGTCAAAAGCAAATATTCCACAATTTCACTTTATTGCTTTAAATCCAGGATGGTATCTACTGAAGCAGAAAGATGTGTCATTACCTTTCTGTGGGACAAGTGGGACATTACCAGTAGTTGTGCACTGCCAGATTTTCAGCGAGTCTTATGACTGACTCTGTAACAAACATTTATTTATATTTTTCACTTTCCAGCTTACAACCCTAAGAGTTCCGACTATGTCCGAAAGAAATACAAGAAAAAACTGCAACAGTTTGAAGAGACGTGCCACCTGATCCAGTACCTGGGGGACAACATGACCGTCCGTTATCGCAATCCCACAGAGAGACCAAAAGACTTTGATATAAAACTTGAGACCTTCTTCTCTCTCCGTGGCATCGAGCCAACACCCACCTGGATTGCATAGCTTCTGTACCTCTTCCTGCCAAGTCTTCAGTTTTCATCAAGTGCCTGAGAGGGCTGGGTTTTTTAAATCAGCAAGTTTTTGAAGTCAAATTTAAGGAAAGTGGATGTGAGTGTAGCATTATTTGGTTAAAATTCATAATTCATGTCTTCAATTTAGAATATACAATTAATTAATGTCTGATTTAGTATTTCAACTTGGTTGATAATTTAATACTGATATTATCAATATTTGGGAAATATTTGTATATTTGTAAATATATTTTAGGATAAATGTAGATAGATATATATTCATTCATGACATCCAAATGACTTTATTTGATAAACTGTCCAGTTTTTCTTTTCAATCATGTCCAAAGATTTTTTTACCTAGTTATAGTATTACAAGAATATACTTGCAATTTCTTGTACTTCCGTCCAAGTTGCCTTGAGTATTATTACCTTCCCAGATATATTTTTACTGTTGTTTTTTTCCAGAAATATTGCAGTATTCGTAGATATTACTTTCCTCTATTTTCTCGCATTTTCTTCAATGTGTAAACATTCCTTTTTAAGGAGCATTGTTTCAGTAATGTTGATGCATATTCAACAAAACTATGGTAAAGAAAGTAGTGGTCAAGGATTTTAGAAAATGCTTTAAATTTAAGATTGTTAGGTTTTGAATTCTTGTCAAGCCAACTGAAGATAGCTTTAAATGTCTCTTATATGCCTTGTTAAATTCAAAGATGATTCAACAGACACTTGTCACTCATACTGAAGATAGCTTTCAATATCTGTTATATGCCTTGTTAAATTCAAAGATGATTCAACAGACACTTGTCCTTCATACTGAAGATAGCTTTAAATATCTGTTATATGCCTTGTTAAATTGTTAAGATATTTCAACAGACACTGTTCACTCTGACATGCGTTCACCCCAGTGTTTATCTGTGATATATGGTGCCTGTCTGCATCTCATTAATTGTGCTGACATGATGAATATTGTTTATGGGACACGTTATTGCCATCGAACTACATGTACATATTTTTGTGTAATATATTGTGATCTCAGAATACATGTATTAAGAATTATATTAAATTATATTTATAGATTTTATCTGTGTTGGTTTGTTTTGAGCTGGTGAGTTATGTTTTGAACAGCAGGGTAAAGTACCCTCAAAACCAAACTCATGAACTGTCACTCATATAACACAGTAAATACACGGTCATTAAAGTGTACAAGGTATAAAAGCAATAAGTGAGGTTCAGTACTGTATGTTACTCTCTCACAAATAATGCAAACTTTATTACATCATGTGACGTCACTACATACAAGCACTTTGAAAAGCTGAAAAGCACACCAGGTGATCTTTCATACAAAGTGTTACCATCAACAGAGAGTAATGACAATACCATTCCTTTATTACAAATAGTTGTTGTACCATCATTACATACTTACGTCATCATGGCAAAGCAGTAAACGAAAGAAAAATTTCTTCACTCAGTGCGAGAATCAATCTGTGGCACTACTTACCACTTCGCTACCGGGTCCCTTAGTGTCTCTCCACTTCCCCTACTCGACTACTCACTGGAAATCAGGCTGCTCATTAATACAATACAAACCCACACAGAAGCTTAAACCGTCAGAAGCCGCCTAATAGAATAAACCTGCAGTGACGATCACCCATCTCAGCAGTAGCACTGAGGTAAGATGGAGGACTCTCGCCAGACGACCTGGGTTCCGACTCCCAGCTTAGACATTCTTTTCCTATTGCTGGAATATTGCTAAAAGTGGCATAAAACTAAACTCACTCACTTTACATGTCTGTAGGGACAGTTCCTCACAGACAATTCCCCTACAGGGACAATTGCCCACAAGGACCAAACCACACACAGATTATTCACACCACTGACATTTATATTCAGACCCCTGCCTTCAAGGAGTCTCTATTTTGAGTAATGTTTTCTCTTGTCAAGAGAATTGATAATTACACAACAGGTAATTAGGTTGGGTACATTACTTTTGTTTACACAAGGCTTGCTAGAGGATAACAGAAACATGTGAACATCCAAAGAGTTAATTTTATGTTAATCAGTGTTCAATTATTGTCTGTGTGATTATAAAAAGAAGTTGCTAGACATCCTGTGGAGCTTATGGATGTAAGTGTGAAGCAAATTCTAGGTTTATTGGCGACGTTTCAGAATTATTTAAGATTTGTTTCTTCACAGCAGTCGAAATGTTTGTTTTGTTCGAAGTTTAGCCGTAAAGATGCCATTTTGACGGATGACCCGAGAGTAGCAGCTTCTGCGATGTTTACACTGCGGAATTGTTGGAAATATTTAGGGAATCCCAGAATGTAATGAAAATATTTACATTAGGGCGTCATTAGACAATGATAAGCTAATAAGTGTTTGATACAACCGTTTTTAATGTTGCCATTAACTAATGATGCATTAAGGATTTAATGTATCATTAGGGTTTAATGTGGACATTAGTTAATGAAGCAATGATACAACGGATCAGATCTTTGGCGTGGCGAGCAAAGCGCTTTAACCACTAGGCTACCCCCGCCAACCCTCTGTAATATGAGGACATGGCGTTTTTGAGTATATGTTTTACTCCTTCATCCCTCATGACATCCATAAAGTTTGGCCAATTCCTGTCAGTGTCAAAAACATCTGATTCTATTGGCACAGACATGACTTTTAGCATATCTAAGCATAGTATATAGTATATTTTCATATGAACATGAGATCAATTATTAGATCAGGTTTTCTAGAACAATTGTTACAAGGAGCAGGTTACTGACTGTTGGGTTCATTCATTGGAGATGGACACAGCAAGAATAAGGTTTACAGTTATCTTTCTGAAGGGGTCTCTTTGCAAATCTGTTGTTATTTCAACATTAAACATTTGCCTGAGAAAGCATGTAAGTTAAATATTGAAAGGAGAAAAGTTTCTACTGGCTGGACCGATGCTTGGCCACAAGGGTTATTTATAAGGGCAGTTAGGTGAGTGTTTAATAAGGCTGTAACGATTCACTCGCATATTCGGTGAATCGAACCGTAACCCTTCATGAATTCAATTCGTTATTTGTGGTGACCCAAACCGAATATTAACGAATATTTACGATTTTTTAAAGGGAGCATGCTTTACTTGAACCCTTATGTCCTTTCCAAAGTGAGATATGCAAGAATGGAACATGTACTAGCATTGCAGTAGTGCAAGTCATGTTAGTTTGCCAAGGCCGCACATGGTACTGTTGAATGTAACTATTACATACCAAATTTGAGTGTCATGAGATCACTGGTTATTGCTGACAAGTCAAAACTGTCAACATGGGCGTTCCATATTGTACATCAATCACTTAACTACAATATTGTATTTGTGAATAATTATTCGTATTCGTTATCCAATATTTATGATACGTATCATATTCGCCACATAGTGTATTCATTGCAGCTCTAGTGTTTAACATGTACCCAGATCAGAAAAACTATTTTTGGGAGATGAATACTTGTTAGTTCTCTCATGTAATCCATGGTCAAATTTCTCTGTAATAGAAGACTGAATGAATATTTGTGTTGGAAACACTCAGTAAGCAGGGTCTGACCAGTACTTTGTCTGCAGGTCACTACTACAAGATGGCATCAAAGGTGGACCTCGACCAATTCCTGGAACAGCCAGAGAACTATGTGCCTCCTTTGGCTCCCAGCAAGCTGCCCCCACCAGAGATGCTGCCCAAACGAAGGAAACCAGAGCAGGTCCAGGCCATCCGAGAAGTAGAGCTACAGGGCTACTGCCCCGTCACCTTCCTGGACGGCAAGAAGAGGTCAGTTCAGGACTCTTTGACAAATTTGTAATATAAATTTTATTACCTGTTCAATGGAAGGCATATGTTTTCTTCTTAAAAACAGTTAGCAAGGCCCAAATTATTTAATACTGCTATAGTAAATCCCCAATCATAGCATGAATGAGTGAGTTTAGTTTTACATTGCTTTTAGCAATATTCTAGAACATCACGGCCGGGGACACCAAAAATGGGCTTCACACATTGTACACATGTAGGGAATCGAACCTGGGCCTTTATCATGGCATGACAGATTTCGGAAGTTATTAATTTCTATCGGGTAGAATATAAAGTAAATATCTTTATTGTACTGTTGTAACTTGTAAATCATATGTTTGAAACTGTGATAATTTGTAACACGCAATTTCAAAGGCTCTGGTGGTCAGAGCGAATGAGTGAGTTTAGTTTTACACCGCACTCAGCAATATTCCAGCTATATGGTGGCAGTCTGTAAATAATGGAGTCTGGACCAGACAATCCAGTGATCAACAGCATGAGCATCGATCTACACAACTGGGATACTATGACATGTGTCAAGCAAGTCAGTGAGCCTGACCACCCGATCCCGTTAGTCGCCTCTTTTGACAAGCATGGGTTACTGAAGGTTCATTCTAACCCGGATCTTCACGGGTCTCTGGTGGTCAGACGAAGAGATATGGTTAATTGTGTGTTGTTGTACCCCAATGGAGTAGATAGTTGGTCAGTTGGGTGTCTGTCAAGACCTGACATTAAAACGCCACCTTCAGATAGCCACATGTGGCTATAAAACACAACCAATCAACTTAAAATGGAAGTCACCTGTGTGCATTAGATGGTGATTCAGAGGTCATCTGTCCTAAGCAACTGATTCAGATCTTGGGAGGGACTTGATGCAGGTATATTGATATGGTTGATTTTTGGTCTCCCTGACAACTAGGAGAGTTGTTCACAATATAAATCATAGTTGTGGCCAATCTATATTTACCCGTGAAGATCCAAGTTAGAATTGATCTTCAGTAACCCATGCTTGTTAACCTCGACTAACTTGAATTCGGGTGGTCAGGCTCGCTGACTTGCTTGACACATGTCATTGTATCCCAATTCGTAGATTGATGCTCATGCTGTTGATCACTGGATTGTTAGGTCCAGACTTGATCATTTACAGACCGCCGCCATATAGCTGGAATATTGCGGAGTCCGGAGTTAAACAAGATAGAAACAAACAAAGCATGCATTACAGCACCTCATATCATAGACAGTGTTAAAATGTGACTAGTCCTTCACAAAATGAGGTGTTTGTCAGAACATCATACTCATATGGTACCATATTTTCTTTAGTATAGTGTTTTTTCTTACTCACTTTTCAAAGTTTTTGCAATGAACCAAACATGATCTCTACTTGAAGGTGATTAGTTACATCATTTGTTTGTTTGATGTTTAATGGGACACTCAGCAATATTCCAGCTGTATATATTCAAGCTACCTATATTTCATCATTAACTGTATGGGTCATTTCCTGCTATTGTGTACACAATCGTTTTTAGAGATTAATGAGTTGTTTTGTTTGCTGCAGATACGAGTCTATAGTGCCAGGGAACCCAGACTTGATAGTGGAATACAGGAAGAAGTATTACTACTTTGAGTCAGAGGAGAAACTCCTGAAGTTCATGAAGTAAGTACTGATGCCGACAGAACATTTTAATATACTCAATAGTGTGTCTTGTTTTAGTGTATTCTTTAACAATAGATTGTGTTCAGTAAGTCAGAGACCGTCTCCGTGGCGTAGTGGTTAGAGCGTACGCCCGGAGAGCGGAAGATCGCGGGTTCAATCCCCGACCGAGGCATACCAAAAGACGTTAAAATAAGGTACTTGTTGGTTCCTGCCTGGTGCTCGGCATTAATGGGTACAACAAGGACTGGTCGCCTCGGAGTCAGTATAATGTGTCTGAGTGGGGTATTCATGTTTCACTGCGGCATGGTATCTCAGTGAGCTAGCACTATAAAACCAGCTTCAGTCTGGGCTAGTACAAGCAGCCGCACATACACATACACACACATGCATGTCGTCATATGAGCGAAATATTCTCAAGCACGACGTTAAACCCAATTTCACCTCACCTCATTAAGTCTGACTGTTCATTTTTAAAGTTTGATGTTATGTAAAAAGTAAAATAGTGCGTTATCACTTTTTGTGTTTTTTTTTTTCAGTTTTCAAATATAAAGGTTAGCGTATTATTGAAAATTACCTTAATAAAGAGAAGATTGAAATAACATAATTAGTTATGGGCTGATGTTCTATCATCTTGTTAATAAAGTCTGACTGATCATTTTTTAGGCTTGATGTATTGTAAAAATTATAATAGGTCTTTATTAATTTAATGGGTTTTTTTTTCAATATTCAAACTTAAAGGTTATCAAAATACAAAGGTATACATTGTTAGACAGCAAATTCAATTCATTTCATTGGTAATATTTCCTGCCTTCTCTCCCCAAAGACTGCCTGAGGTGTACTGGAACCTCAAGCTCCCCCACAAGCTACCCCCCAAGAAAGAGCCCCTCCCTGTGACTGGGCTCCCCATGCTGGGGTTCATGGAGCAGACAGCGTCCACTGCTGTGATCAAAGCACTCACTGCAGCTGGCAACTTCAAGCCCAAGTACCCCTTCATCAGCACATCCCGTTCATCCTTGCTGTACGTGGCATATCATCTGAAAGGTGAGTTGTTGTCAGGGATTCCTTAGATATGTATACTCAGCGTCATTATTAAAGGGTCATGCTGATAACAAGAGATAATGTGTTAAAGAAATTTTGCGTTTTTATTTGCATCCTCAAGGAATCATTTCATGCCCTCTTTCACCGTTGTTTGTCATGCATTGCACAAGCATGGGCTGAAGCATTGATTCAGATCAGGCATATGTTTGGGGTAGCTTTTTCCATGACTTTCAATTTTTCACTTGTTATTTTTTTTTCTTCCATTTTTCCGGTTTGAGGAAAGCATCCATTATGTGTGACAGAGGTATAAATAGCATGTGCTTCCACTGTTGAACACATTGTCAGCACACTCAGACCTAGTGATGCTTTTGGCATATGTTAATGTTTGACACCATAGTTCAAGGGAGGCCTTCAGTAGAGACGTGGGGCAAGGGTTCCTCAAATTGTGGGACCAGTGAAGATCCGGGTTAGAATTGGTCTTCAGTAACCCATGCTTGTCGTAAGAGGTGACTGACGGGATCGGGTGTTCAGGCTCGCTGACTTGCTTGACATGTCATTGTATCCCAATTGCGTAGATTGATGCTCATGCTGTTGATCACTGGATTGTCTGGTCCAGACTCGATTATTTACAGACCGCCGCCATATTGCTGGAATATTGTGGGTTTGAGTCCTGGTTTGCCCTTATTATGGTTCCAGGTTTGTCAGTACATTGGATGTGTTTGTGGTAAACCTCTGAGATCGACATCACTTCTTTTCTTCCTCATTAGCTGACATACTTGAAACAGTGTTCAGAGTGCTTTGAAGCACCCAAACTCTTGTCAACTGTTAAAGAAATAATGTGACACAGAATATATGGATCACATTTACATATCGAGACAGCCATTATAGTTTGTGAACTTTGATCCAACTTACTCTACTTGGATCTGCTGGATCTTGTCAGATGGGAGTTATGTCCATTGATATTTATTGGTGGGAATGGAGTCAGAATTTTTTAGACAGTTTTGAGAAATACTTCAGCCCATTTAAATGGGAGTGCACTATGATTAGCCTTCACTCCTTGTTGTTCATCACACCAACTTGTAAATGCCACTCAAACAAGTTTTCACAATGCCTATCCAATAGGCAACACAACTAACTACTTCTTAGAGTTGAGGTCCTTTTGGAGATTATGCCAGCAAAAAACAGGAATATTCTAATTAAATCCTCACAAAGTCAAAAGCAAATATTCCACAATTTCACTTTATTGCTTTAAATCCAGGATGGTATCTACTGAAGCAGAAAGATGTGTCATTACCTTTCTGTGGGACAAGTGGGACATTACCAGTAGTTGTGCACTGCCAGATTTTCAGCGAGTCTTATGACTGACTCTGTAACAAACATTTATTTATATTTTTCACTTTCCAGCTTACAACCCTAAGAGTTCCGACTATGTCGAAAGAAATACAAGAAAAACTGCAACAGTTTGAAGAGGCGTGCCACCTGATCCAGTACCTGGGGACAACATGACCGTCCGTTATCACTTAATCCCACAGAGAGACCAAAGACTTTGATATAAAACTTGAGACCTTCTTCTCTCTCCGTGGCATCGAGCCAACACCCACCTGGATTGCATAGCTTCTGTACCTCTTCCTGCCAAGTCTTCAGTTTTCATCAAGTGCCTGAGAGGGCTGGGTTTTTAAATCAGCAAGTTTTGAAGTCAAATTTAAGGAAAGTGGATGTGAGTGTAGCATTATTTGGTTAAAATTCATAATTCATGTCTTCAATTTAGAATATACAATTAATTAATGTCTGATTTAGTATTTCAACTTGGTTGATAATTTAATACTGATATTATCAATATTTGGGAAATATTTGTATATTTGTAAATATATTTTAGGATAAATGTAGATAGATATATATTCATTCATGACATCCAAATGACTTTATTTGATAAACTGTCCAGTTTTTCTTTTCAATCATGTCCAAAGATTTTTTTACCTAGTTATAGTATTACAAGAATATACTTGCAATTTCTTGTACTTCCGTCCAAGTTGCCTTGAGTATTATTACCTTCCCAGATATATTTTTACTGTTGTTTTTTTCCAGAAATATTGCAGTATTCGTAGATATTACTTTACTCTATTTTCTCAGCATTTTCTTCAATGTGTAAACATTCCTTTTTAAGAAGCATTGTTTCAGTAATTTTGATGCATATTCATCAAAACTATGGTAAAGAAAGTAGTGGTCAAGGATTTTAGAAAATGCTTTAAATTTAAGATTGTTAGGTTTTGAATTCTTGTCAAGCCACCTGAAGATAGCTTTAAATGTCTCTTATATGCCTTGTTAAATTCAAAGATGATTCAACAGACACTTATCACTCTTACTGAAGATAGCTTTCAATATCTGTTATATGCCTTGTTAAATTCAAAGATGATTCAACAGACACTTGTCAGTCTTACTGAAGATAGCTTTCAATATCTCTTATATGCCTTGTTAAATTCAAAGATGATTCAACAGACACTTGTCAGTCTTACAGAAGATAGCTTTAATAATCTGTTACCTGGTACATGTCTTGTTGAATTCAAAGATGATTCAACAGACACATGTCACTCTTACTGAAGATAGCTTTCAATATCTCTTATATGTCTTGTTAAATTCAAAGATGATTCACTAGACATTTTCACTCTTACAGAAGATAGCTTTAATAATCTGTTACCTGGTACATGTCTTGTTAAATTCAAAGATGATTCAACAGACACATGTCACTCTTACTGAAGATAGCTTTCAATATCTCTTATATGCCTTGTTAAATTCAAAGATGATTCAACAGACACTTGTCACTCTTACTGAAGATAGCTTTCAATATCTCTTATATGTCTTGTTAAATTCAAAGATGATTCACTAGACATTTTCACTCTTACAGAAGATAGCTTTAATAATCTGTTACCTGGTACATGTCTTGTTAAATTCAAAGATGTTTCAACAGACACTTGTAACTCTTACTTTAAGATAGCTTTAAATATCTGTTATATGCCTTGTTAAATTGTTAAGATATTTCAACAGACACTGTTCACTCTGACATGCGTTCACCCCAGTGTTTATCTGTGATATATGGTGCCTGTCTGCATCTCATTAATTGTGCTGTGATGAATATTGTTTATGGGACACGTTATTGCCATCGAACTACATGTACATATTTTTTGTGTAATATATTGTGATCTCAGAATACATGTATTAAGAATTATATTAAATTATATTTATAGATTTTATCTGTGTTGGTTTGTTTTGAGCTGGTGAGTTATGTTTTGAACAGCAGGGTAAGAATACCCCCCCTCTCGAAAACCAAACTCATGAACTGTCACTCATATAACACAGTAAATACACGGTCATTAAAGTGTACAAGGTATAAAAGCAATAAGTGAGGTTCAGTACTGTATGTTACTCTCACAAATAATGCAAACTTTATTACATCATGTGACATCACTACATTCAAGCACTTTGAAAAGCTGAAAAGCACACCAGGTGATCTTTCATACAAAGTAAGCGCCCATCAACAGAGTACGACAATACCATTCCCTTATTACAAATAGTTGTTGTACCATCATTACATACTTACGTCATCATGGCGAAAGCAGTAAACGAAAGAAAAAAAAATTCTTCACTCAGTGCGAGAATCAATCTGTGGCACTACTTACCACTTCGCCGTCCCTTAGTGTCTCTCCACCTTCCCACGGAGCTACCAAGACAACTGAAATCAGGGCGTTCATTAATACAATACAAACCCACACAGAAGCTTAAACCGTCAGCGTCTAATAGAATAAACCTGCAGTGACGATCACCCATCTCAGTAGCACTGAGGTAAGATGGAGGACTCTCGCTCAGACGACCTGGGTTCGATTCCCAGCTTAGACATTCTTTCCTATTGCTGGAATATTGCTAAAAGTGGCATAAAACTAAACTCACTCACTTACATGTCTGTAGGACAGTTCCTCACAGACAATTCCCTACAGGGACAATTGCCCACAAGGACCAAACCACACACAGATTATTCACACCACTGACATTTAAATTCAGACCCTGCCTTCAAGGAGTCTATTTTGAGCAATGTTTTCTTTCTCTTGTCAAGAGAATTGATAATTACACAACAGGTAATTAGGCTGGGTACATTACTTTTGTTTACACAAGGCTTGCTAGAGGATAACAGAAACATGTGAACATCCAAAGAGTTAATTTTATGTTAATCAGTGTTCAATTATTGTCTGTGTGATTATAAAAAGAAGTTGCTAGACGTCCTGTGGAGCGATGATGTAAGTGTGAAGCAAAGTGTGGTTCAACGTCAGTGCTAAGATTATTTCATGTACAGTGACATGAATGCATATACCAGTCCAGACTTAACAATATTTTCAAGTGTTTACAGATCTACTGAGATTCGGCAGCAAGGAGCAACAAAGATTTACTTCATGCAGTACACTTTATAAGACTACAATGGGTCTTGGGTTAGGAATATATTTTACTGGCGCTTCTGTCTTTTTTGCTTTCATGGTAAATGATCTTCTACACAGTATCATTTTATAATTAACATATTTCTTGACGGTAAGGTGACAAGAGTTTCACCCCTTTAAGTGTCTTGCGTTCATTAGAGTAACTTCCCTTGGTGGCTTTAGCACCAGAGGGCGTTGCTTTCCATTACCGTGGCGTCCGCTGTTTGCCGCTTGCAGTTAGCGTTACTGCTTTTTTATGCTTAGGGGCAGAATAAGAGATGCTCATTCACTCTCACTCCTTGCCAACAGAAGGCCTGACTGAATGATATACAGGTATATTTGTGTTGTTAGGCATGTTGCCAGACCGGGAATGTGATAGTCACGCGGACTAGTGAATAATACTATTGACTCAAGTTGTAAACTTGATTCCTGATGCTGGTCAAGATGATCACACTTGCAAGGTACCACAAGAAAAACTTGACACTAATACGCATCATCATACCGGATAAAAGCAACTCGGATGGAATGTGTAATGTCAGCACGAAAGAGTAATCTCAGACAAAGCTGGTAGAACTTCGATTTAAGGGAGGCAACTCCGCCTATCATATTTGTAAGGTGTGACACGATATACGACCACTGTGGAGATGACAGCTTGGAAAAAAAGGAAATATTATTTCTGAATTTGCAATCAATACATCAGCACAGGTCATTTCAAACAGAGCATGCGCCCCAATATCAAATGTGTGGTCTGACAAAATGTTGAACAGTAATAAGGGAAATATATAGGATATTATATGAGTGCCCATGTCATACTATATTTACGACACGGGTATTTCGGTATTCCCGAGTGAGAGCGAGGGATATGCCGATATTTAGGCACGAGTGTCGTAAACACAGTATGGTATGGGCACGTATATATTATTCTATTTATTACCTTTCAAACATAGGCTGGCTACCCGCCGTCGCCGCATGTAGAACGCAACGTCATAGAAGGAACGTGACGTCATAGCATTGTTCATGACGTCCCGTCACCTTGACAAAGTGATATTTGCACTATGACTGGGCATTAGGATTCTATAGTCAAGAGAAGCATGGAATCTTAGTGATAGACTGCTCCAGCAAGTTACAGAACGTTCCAGAAAACATTAAAATCTTAAGATTCAAAAAGACGTCTCTGATCCTACATCAAGACCCCCGATTGTATTGAGGTGGCATTTTGATCCTGGATTCCACCCCAAGCCTGTTTTTGGAAGCTTGGTAACTGCTGCTGCAAGGAGTATATTACTATTGCTAATTCTGTTGCCATTACAACAGCGACTTTGTTTTAGGCTGATTTAAAGGTTTGTTCTCATTCAATTCTTCAGCTTGCATATTTCAGGGTTAACCTATAGGTACAGTAAGTGACACGTGTGACTATCGGTAAAGATAACAATAAAACACATTACTATATCATTTTGAATATCCTGTGATACTGGCTACAGTGTTTCCAGGAGATTTGTATCCTCAGAAACAGGGAGGTACTCCACTACTGAAAGTATTGACTTGCCACTTTGAATTTTCCACAAGGTCTCATACAGACCTTGTCATGTTCAGTAACAAATAGACAACTTAATTTGAATGTTTTGTGCACTTTATTCATGAAACAGGAAGCGCCGACTCTACAAGGAGTGCATTTTACTGTCCCTGAATCCAGGAGTTGAAGGAGGACACGCGAGTGTAGACACTTGGGTAGCTGCCAGAGCAGGAGCTGATACCCCATGACGTGATTCCAGTCAGCGTATTACCGACAACCATCGGGCCACCACTGTCACCCTAGAAACGAAAGTAATCACCTATGTAATCATCTGTAACCAATAAGAGGATTATCACACGTTAATGGCACAAATGCTGCAGTGATTGACAGTGGCGATCACGTTTTACGATTGCAACGTATCCGTATTCGTATAACGTCACACAAGTCATGGTATCGCTGTTACGGGACTTACTTAACTGCATGATTTATATTTCAACGAAGGTGGACATGGTAACGTGAACTCACACTGCAAGCAGATTTGCCAGACGCAAAAATGCAGATATGTCCACTGTTGACAGTGGCTCCACTGATGCCAGACCATCTGCTGGAACAGTCGCTGTTGGTCAATACGGTCATGTCCACCTTCTGGAGGTTGTTGGGGGTGCTTCCACCTCCTACGGGAGCAAACATATGGAAAAGGTGGTAAAAGTACTGCCATAGTCATGTAGATCTTATGGACAAATGAACATGACAACAAGACTTCACTCAATGAGAAATACTGACCAGAGAGTCTTCCCCATCCGCTGATCGTGGCTGTTTGTCCGGAATAGTCGTTGCTACCAGAAGCCAGACTGACAGTTCCTACAGCTGCGCTGCTTGTGTCCATGGAGGTTTGCAGTCTCAGAACTGCGATGTCGTTGGGATAGCCAGCAGCATTACCATTGTAGCTCGGATGCTGCACAACATAACCAGAAATAACAGGGCTCAACAGTTGACACTAAAGTTCTTAACACAACAAAGTTCCCTGTGCTGAAATTATCACTCAAAATTCCAAAACATTCAATGAAACAGTAGACTATACATATTACATGAAAGTGTTTGAACAAAGGACGTAACTCACGTTGGTGTAGGAGGTGACTGAGGAGTACTGTTCAGTTCCATCAACATTGTTCATTCTGAGCATGCCAAAACCCAGACGGTAGCTGCTTGCGCTGTAAATGACATGAGGGAAACATTATCAGTGAGGTGACTCAAAATATATGTTAGGGGCTGAACCGCCTCTTACATGCAACAAAGCAGTGAGGTTAACAGATGATTTTATTTCCAAACTCCTGCAATAGTTTGTTACCTGCCCGAACAACAATTTCACTCTTAGTAGAACTATTGCATTTCTTAGTACATTTACTAAGACACATTTCCTGTATTACTATGACATTAAGATGTTTCTGTTACCTCAACTACCAGGATTTAAACGGTGCACATATAGTGTATCTCAACCGAGTGTCTTTTGATATCAAATATATCACCACGAGTTGATAAAATTAGAATTGTTTTTACTTTTATCAACGACTGTTTATATGTTTGATATCAGAAAACACGAGGGTGAGATTTTATCTATCATAAAAAATCACTTTTCACTAGTTTTGACTGAAAAATGTACTTCTCTGAATGTGGTACTGCCATTAGACTTGCAGTGCAGCGATGTCACAGCATTGTGACGTAATCAGGTTTCTGAGGTCATAGCATTGTGATGTCATGTAATTAATGACATCACGGCATTGTACAAATCTACTGTCAAAACGATATCTCCTTTGCAGATGCCAGAATTTGCTATATGTACAGTTACTGACTAACAGTACAACAGAGGAATTGTAATAAATGAAAACCAAATGTAAGCAGAGATAAAACTGAAATCGTTGTCTGAAAACAAATCGTGTAAAGATATAAAAAAAGGACAAAAACTGGTTTTGTAATGGTGAACGTTTACAAACTGATAGTGTGTATGTAGTAGATTTCCCACGTATACATGCCAGGTACTTTCAGGTTAATACGTGTCGACTTTTTACTGAGAAAGAGACGAAAATTACACAATAGTATTGGTTGAGACTGCTTTATATTGATATGGAGTACCAGCAATAATTACTTCTTGTCGTTGTTTAATTGCAGTTTCTATTTCTTGTCTTATCCATATAGATCCTTACCTGTTGGAGAGACAGTGGGCGGCAGTGAGGGCCTTGGTGGTGGTGTAGAGGACGCAGCCGCAGATGTGGAACCAGCTGGAGCCGCTCCTCACCTGAAGACTTCCTTGCCAGGGAAACTCGTTTGAGGCTGCATTGCTGCCTCCAACGATGTTGGGACTGATCTCAGCCAGAGCCGTAGCTGCAAGAGCATGTATAGTGGATATGGTATGTACGCTTTTCGTGATAACATCCAGATTGATGAGTTTGTATTATAGTATTATTAGAAACCTGAACATTGTATGACGTTTGTTCCTTCTTTATGTAACTGTCAAAGAGATACATTTGAAATATGAAAATCAACTTACCGGCCAAGGTGCAGAGAAGGGTGGTGAGAAATGCGTTCATCTTTGTGGATCGAGATGAAGTGACGATGTGTGCAGTCTGGTAGTCTTTTATACACATCAGGAGAGTGCAATGTGTTCTTCTCCCACCTTCATAAACGTGTCATTGTGCATAAAGCAGCCAAACTGAAACTCTCTTGAAGTTTTATGGTTCTAAATTATAAATGTCAGCGTTATTCAACAACTCACTGAAGAGGTCTCGTGATGTAACTATAATTCATAATATTGATTATACCCCCTTTGTTTGCCAGGCCACAGTCTATTATACGCTTATTCATTCGAGGCTGGACTTTAAGTTACAGAGTGATTGACAAAGGTATTTATCCAGCACACACAACACACACACACACACACACAACACAGAGAGAGAGAGAGAGAGAGAGAGAGAGAGAGAGAGAGAGAGAGAGAGAGAGAGAGAGAGAGAGAGAGAGCGAGAGAGAGAGTTGATAAAGTTACACATATCTGTGGCTTGCCAAGGATAGATTTACCTTTATCAACGAGTGTTGATATAATTGATATCAATAGACTGGAATATTGCTAAAAGCGGCGTAAAACTAAACTCACTCTCTCTCTCTCGCTTTCTCTCTCTTAAAAAAGAGAGAGAGAGAGAGAGAGAGAGAGAGAGAGAGAGAGAGGTACACATGTATAGATAGATAGATAGACCGAAGAATCGCACATGCAGAGAACGGCACATAAGAGATCAAACAAACTGCATTTGCGGAACGCCTGAATTCCGTGCTTTGACTGAGAGCTACGAACTCAGGTCTGTTATCTGACACGAGTGACCAATGAAAGCTGAGAAATAGGAATACCGGTAGACGGTGACTGACAAGGTCAATATAGAAGAGGGAGAAGCTGACAACATCATTCTCTCGCAGTAATTTCTGATGCCAAATAACGACGGTGTTTGCAACAAAACCCGATGGCAACAAAACATCCACTTAACGTGGTTGTCGCTGAAGTAGTACAGTCTGAACGGTGGTTGTCGCTGAAGTAGTACAGTCTGAACGGTGGTTGTTGCTGAAGTAGTACAGTCTGAACGGTGGTTGTTGCTGAAGTAGTATGGTCTGAATGGTGGTTGTTGCTGAAGAAGTAGTACAGTCTGAATGGTGGTTGTTGCTGAAGTAGTACAGTCTGAACGGTGGTTGCTGAAGTAGAAGTAGTACAGTCTGAACGGTGGTTTGCTGAAGCTGAGTCTAGTGGTTGTCTGAACAGGTGGTTGTTGCTGAAGTAGTACAGTCTGAACGGTGGTTGTCGCTGAAGTAGTACAGTCTGAACGGTGGTTGTTGCTGAAGTAGTAGTCAGAACGGTGAACGGTGGTTGTTGCTGAAGTAGTACAGTCTGAACGGTGGTTGTCGCTGAAGTAGTATAAGTCTGAACGGTCTGTTGTTGCTGAAGTAGTAGTGGAACGGTGGTTGCTGAAGAAGTAGTTGTTAGTCTGCGGTGGTTGTTGCTGAAGTAGTACAGTCTGAACGGTGGTTGTTGCTGCTGAAGTAGTACAGTCTGAACGGTGGTTGTCGCTGAAGTAGTACAGTCTGAACGGTGGTTGTCGCTGAAGTAGTATGGTCTGAACGGTGGTTGTCGCTGAAGTAGTACAGTCTGAACGGTGGTTGTCGCTGAAGTAGTACAGTCTGAATGGTGGTTGTTGCTGAAGTAGTACAGTCTGAACGGTGGTTGTCGCTGAAGTAGAACGGTGTCTGAACGGTGGTTGTTCGCTGAAGTAGTAGTCTGAACGGTGGTTGTCGCTGAAGTAGTACAGTCTGAACAGTGGTTGTTGCTGAAGTAGTACAGTCTGAACGGTGGTTGTTGCTGAAGTAGTACAGTCTGAACAGTGGTTGTTGCTGAAGTAGTATGGTCTGAACAGTGGTTGTTGCTGAAGTAGTAGCAGTCTGAATATTTCCTGAAGTAGTTCTGAACATGGTTGTTGCTAAGTAGTCATCTGAACACGATGTTTTATCGCTTATGTGATGAGTAGTTTCTGAACGGTGATACTGAAGTAGTTCAAACTGAAAGTGGTTCAGTAGTACACTCACAAACGGTGTTGTTGTGAAGTGGTACTGAACTGTTGTTGCTGCTGAAGTAATGCAGTCTGAACAGTGGTTGTGCCTGAAGTAGTAATATACCGTTAACTGAAGTGTATTTGAAGAGAGTACTCTCTAAACGGTGGTTGTCGCTGAAGTAGTACAGTCTGAACGGTGGTTGTCGTTGAAGTAGTAAAGATCCATTCCCAAGTTGTAAGAGTTATCTCCCTTGACAACAGCTCCCAATCAAAGATCAAGTGAGCACGACATACACGACATTTCCTCCATATCTACAGAACTGGTACCATACTACAGGAGGGGCCCTGACATGAGTTATCGATCACACGTGTTATTTTGAAATTTATTTTAATAAAATGGTATTTCACGGAAGCGAGTTTAGTATTCTGTTTATTACTCTCCAACATAAATTGATAGAAATAGCATACGGTGTGATGACTCTCAGCTTTTCGCGAGTGAAGCAACGTCTCATACCATTGTGTGACACCGGTATTAACATTGTGACGTCATAACTGGAACTCATTATGACGTCATACGTCCGGCATCACGCGATGCTATTACACAATGTGTAATAACATTGTAGACTTATTAAACAGTGATATCTTCGACGGGTAATAAACTTATGCTTCACAGAGGGCCTAGTGGTTAAAGCGTCCTATCGTGATCTTGGTGAGTGTGTGTGAGTGTGTGAGTTTAGTTTTACGCCGCACTCAGTAATATTCCAGCTATATGGCGGCGGTCTGTAAATAATCGAGTCTGGACCAGACAATCCACTGATCAACAGCATGAGCATCGATCTGCGCAATTGGGAACCGATGACTTGTGTTAACCAAGTCAGCGAGCCTGACCACCCGATCCCGTTAGTCGCCTCTTACGACAAGCATAGTCGCCTTTTGTGGCACGCATGGGTTGCTGAAGACCTATTCTATCCCGGATCTTCACGGGTCGTCTGAATATGAAGCTAACCAATGAATATTTACATACATGTACATAGGTGTATATTCTGCTGAGCATGAACACATTTTAAAACTATTATAATGTGTTTTATTAGCTACCCATAGAACGACAATACGCAACTAAGACAAGGGGTATTTTCTCCCATTTGAATGGGGTTCAGAACAAGGCAAAGGTGGTGGACACGTCGATTGCATTCATTATAACATAGTAGGCCCTGTAATAAAAAGTTTGCGCAGTCAGCAGACGTATGTTGATGTTCACAACACTTCAAAACATGATATCGATTACACCACGTTGTAGATTTTAATATGACATAGTTGTTGGTTGGAATTGTACTTTTGACAACGTAAAACGATCAAAACAGTCTTCTTCAAGTTAACGTTGCAACCACGTGTAATATTTATGAACATGAGACAAAACAGGTGATGAGTAACCTCTGGTCAGACCGCCTTATTTCTACCGAGATGATCCTCACCATGGTTTCAAGCAATATTGCATATTATACGTGTGTGTGTGTGTGTGTGTGTGTGTGTGTGTGTGTGTGCGTGCGTGCGTGCGTACGTATGTGCGTGCATGCACGTCTGGGTTTTCGTGGAGAGAGTGAGTGAGTGAGTTAGTGAGAGAGAATGAGGGGGGATTGAGAGAGAGAGAGAAAGTTGGTGAGAGAGAGAGAGAGAGAGAGAGAGAGAGACAGAGAGTGCGCGTGTGTGTGTGAGAGTTAGTGAGAGAGAGAGAGAGAGAGAGAGATCAGTGGTAGATATAACGTGTAGAATTTATTAATTCGTCAGGGGGACGGTCATCTGAGATGAAGAGGCACATTCCTAATGCTGTTCATGACTGTGTTGATGAGATCCTCAAGAAAATGGGGCCTTTCCGTCAATAAGTTTTTCAAGAAACTGGCCAGCGATAGTCTTTGACTTTCTGTGGGTGGGACACTAACTAAGGGAAATCTAGACAAGCATAAACCAAATGAATGTATGTATGTATGTATGTATGTATGTATGTATGTATGTATGTATGTATGTATGTATGTATGTATGTATGTATGTATGTATGTATGTATGTATGTATGTATGTATGTATGTATGTATGTATGTATGTATGTATGTGTGTGTGTGTATGTGTATGTATGTATGTATGTATGTATGTATGTATGTATGTATGTATGTATGTATGTATGTATGTATGTATGTATGTGTATGTATGTATGTATGTATGTCTGTATGTATGTATGTCTGTCTGTCTGTATGGGTGGATGTATGGGTGGATGCATGGATGGATGGATGGATGGATGGATGGATGGATGAATGGATGCATGCATGCATGTATGTATATTCAGAGACTATGTGTTAGTCTAGGACCGTGAGGCAGAGCAGTAGTAGGCATCTCGTAAAAGTTTTTGTCCTGTACTTGTTCTAGAAACTCTCTGGAAGATAGACAATTACTTTGTAGGCTACACGTTTGGGTACCGATAAAGGCATCTCAAATATACACATGCAAAAAAAGGATCGCAACCAGTTAAATCTATGTCAAGCAAGCACGTGCATGTGATGGACTCACGTGACACAACCACCGGCCAGCGTACGAGAAACGGCAATTGCCTGCCCTTGGCAGTTTGACCATTTGACCAATTTAAACATGAAAAGAGTTTCCTATTCGAAGTTACATAATACAGTTAACACCCACATTGATGAAATAACATACTCTACAATTTAAGGTCATCAATATCAGGTTTTCAAAGTGAACCTATATATACAAACATACATACATATATATATATTTAACATCCAAAACTGTGTTCCACAGGAGATATCGCTTGTGTGAGATCATATGATATCTCCTAGGAGATATCGTTTTGACAGTAGATTTGGTACAATGCCCTGACAATGCTATGACGTCATCCACTATGACATCGCTGCACTGCAAATCTAATGGTAGTACAGTGTTGAGAGATGTACATTTTTCATTGAAAACTAATGGAGAATGATTTTTGATGATAAATAGCATCTCACCCTCGTGTGCATTATATTGCCTGTTGTAATAGTGCTGCTGAATTATTACTAAATGCGGAATAAAACCTTTGTCAATCAATCTGTAACTTAAAGTCCAGCCTCGAATGAATAAGCGTATAATAGACTGTGGCCTGGTAAACAAAGGGGGGTATAATCAATATTATGATTTATAGATACATCACGAGACATCTTCAGTGAGTTGTTGAATAACGCTGACGTTTACAATTTAGAACCATAAAACTTCAAGAGAGTTTCAGTTTGGCTGCTTTATGTACAATGACACGTTTATGAAGGTGGGAGAAGAACACATTGCACTCTCCCGATGTGTATAAAAGACTACCAGACTGCACACATCGTCACTTCATCTCGATCCACAAAGATGAACGCATTTCTCACCACCCTTCTCTGCACCTTGGCCGGTAAGTTGATTTTCATATTTCAAATGTATCTCTTTGACAGTTACATAAAGAAGGAACAAACGTCATACAATGTTCAGGTTTCTAATAATACAAACTCATCAATCTGGATGTTATCACGAAAAGTGTACATACCATATCCGCTATACATGCTCTTGCAGCTACGGCTCTGGCTGAGATCAGTCCCAACATCGTTGGAGGCAGCAATGCAGCCTCAAACGAGTTTCCCTGGCAAGGAAGTGTTCAGGTGAGGAGCGGCTCCAGCTGGTTCCACATCTGCGGCTGCGTCCTCTACACCACCACCAAGGCCCTCACTGCCGCCCACTGTCTCTCCAACAGGTAAGGATCTATATGGATAAGACAAGAAATAGAAACTGCAGTTAAACAACGACAAGAAGTAATTATTGCTAGTACTCCATGTAAACATAAAGCAGTCTTAACCAATACTATTTTCGTTTTTCGTACTCTATATCTTAGTCAAAGGCATTTGCATTACACATTTCTGTCTAGACATGGGCTATTTACGGAAACACAGCCTGCTAATAGTATGCTACAACTGTGTCTTAATACATGTATAATATTTATTGGGACGCGGCTCGTGAAGGTCCGGGTTAGAATATTGATCTTCAGTAACCCATGCTTGTCGTAAGAGGCGACTAACGAGATCGGGTGGTCAGGCTCGCTGACTTTGTTGACACATGTCATCGGCTCCCAATTGCGCAGATCGATGCTCATGCTGTTGATCACTGGCTTGTCTGGACCAGACTCGATTATTTACAGACCGCCGCCATATAGCTGGAATATTGCTGAGTGCGACATAAACCTAAACTCACTCACTCACTTACATGGACGCTTATCAAGCAGTCTCAACCAATACTATTGTGTAATTGTCGTCTCTCAGTAGAAAATCGACACTTATCAACCTTAAAGTACCTGGCATGTATACGTGGGAAATCTATCCCATACACACTATCAATTTGTAAACGTTCCCAAATACAGAACCAATTTTTGTCCTTTTTTATATCTTGACACGATTTGTTTCAAGACAACGATTTCAGTTTTATCTCTGTTTACAGTTGGGTTTCATTTATTACAATTCCTCTGTTGTACTGTTAGTCAGTAACTGTACATATAACTAATTCTGGCATCTGCAAAGGAGATATGGTTTTGACAGTAGATTTGTACAATGCCCTGACGTCATCAATTACATGACATCACAATGCTATGACCTCAGAAACCTGATTACGTCACAATGCTGTGACATCGCTGCACTGCAAGTCTAATGGCAGTACCATGTTCAGAGAAGTACATTTTTCAGTCAAAACTAGTGAAAAGGGATTTTTTATGATGTATAAAATCTCACCCTCGTCTCTTCTGACATCAAATATATCAACACTCGTTGGTAAAAGTAAAACAAACTGTAACTTTATCAACTCGTGGTGATATATTTGATATCAAAAGACACTCGGTTGAGATACACTATATGTGCACCGTTTAAATCCTGGTAGTTGAGGTAACAGAAACAACTTAATGTCATAGTAATACAGGAAATGTGTCTTAGTAAATGTACTAAGAAATGCAATAGTTCTACTAAGAGTGAAATTGTTGTTCGGGCAGGTAACAAAATGTTGGAGGAGTTTGGAAATAAGATCATCTGTTAACATCACTGCTTTGTTGCATGTAAGAGGCGGTAAAGTCCCTAACATATATTTTGAGTCACGTCACTGATAATGTTTCCCTCATGTCATTTACAGCGCAAGCAGCTACCGTCTGGGCTTTGGCATGCTCAGAATGAACGATGTTGATGGAACTGAACAGTACTCCTCAGTCACCTCCTACACCAACGTGAGTTACGTCCTTTTGTTCAAACACTTTCATGTAATATGTATAGTCTACTGTTTCATTGAATGTTTTGGAATTTTGTGTGATAATTTCAGCACAGGGAACTTTGTTGTGTTAAGAACTTTAGTGTCAACTGTTGAGCCCTGTTATTTCTGGTTATCTTGTGCAGCACCCGAGCTACAATGGTAATGCTGCTGGCTATCCCAACGACATCGCAGTTCTGAGACTGCAAACCTCCATGGACACAAGCAGCGCAGCTGTAGGAACTGTCAGTCTGGCTTCTGGTAGCAACGACTATTCCGGACAAACAGCCACGATCAGCGGATGGGGAAGACTCTCTGGTCAGTATTTCTCATTGAGTGAAGTCTTGTTGTCATGTTCATTTGTCCATAAGATCTACATGACTATGGCAGTACTTTTACCACCTTTTCCATATGTTTGCTCCCGTAGGAGGTGGCAGCACCCCCAACAACCTCCAGAAGGTGGACATGACCGTATTGACCAACAGCGACTGTTCCAGCAGATGGTCTAGCATCAGTGGAGCCACTGTCAACAGTGGACATATCTGCATTTTTTGCGTCTGGCAAATCTGCTTGCAGTGTGAGTTCACGTTACCGTGCCAACCTTCGTTGAAATATAAGTCATGCAGTTAAGTAAGTCCCGTAACAGCGATACCATGACTTATGTGACGTTATACGAATACGGATACGTTGCAATCGTAAAACGTGATCACCACTGTCAATCACTGCAGCATTTGTGCCATTAACGTGTGATAATCCTCTTATTGGTTACAGATGATTACATAGGTGATTACTTTCGTTTCTAGGGTGACAGTGGTGGCCCGATGGTTGTCGGTAATACGCTGACTGGAATCACGTCATGGGGTATCAGCTCCTGCTCTGGCAGTTACCCCAGTGTCTACACTCGCGTGTCCTCCTTCAACTCCTGGATTCAGGGACAGTAAAATGCACTCCTTGTAGAGTCGGCGTTTCCTGTTTCATGAATAAAGTGCACAACACACTTAAATTAAGTTGTCCATTTGTTACTGAACATGACAAGGTCTGTATGAGACCTTGTGAAAAATTCAAAGTGGCAAGTCAATACTTTCAGTAGTGGAGTACCTCCCTGTTTCTGAGGATACAAAACTCCTGGAAACACTGTAGCCAGTATCACGGGACATTCAAAATGATATAGTAATGTGTTTTATTGTTATCTTTACCGATAGTCACAAGTGTCAATTACTGTACCTCTAGGTTAACCCTGAAAGATGCAAGCTGAAGAATTGAATGAGAACAAACTTTAATGTCTGCCTAAAACAAAACAGTTGTTAGTTAGAGTAATATACACCTTGCAGCAGCAGTTCTCCTCAAGCTTCCAAAGCAGGCTTGGGGCGGAAATCCAGGGTCAAAATGCCACCTCCAATCGGGGCCTTGATGTTAGATCAGAGAGGCACGCACCTGACGTCTTTCTTAATCTTCAAATCTTAATATGTTCATATTTTCTAGAATGTTCCGTAAGTTGCTGGAGGAGTCTATCACTGTGATTCCATGCCTTTCTTGACTCTAGAAGCCTGTATATAAATATAAAAAACTTAGTTTCCATTGTACACCTGAAGTGCCTTTGAACGGCGAAAGATCGTGTGCAGATATAAAGGAATTTTGGCAAGAAGAAATATCTGATATATTTATACATTATATACATAGAGATTTTTATGAATTCAATATCTTGATTTATAAACATGTAGTTGGTATGCGTAATCCCTTAAATCAACTTTATTAATGATTCGTAAACGCATAATCCAAAGCTGATATTGGTTGTAAATTCGAAATAGAAACAGTCGCCATTAACATATGCCAATCCTCTATGAACTCTTTTTATGTTTAACGTTGGTCAAATTGCCAAGAGTCGGCATTGATTACGCAACAGTCTCGTTTCCTGTTGACTGGGTTCCGTCCTATTGCGCAACTTAGTACAATAACAAGTCCAGAATTTTGAGACCAATTCATTCATCTGGATACATAAATATTAATCAGTATTATTTGATACATCTAAGCACTTGTATATTGCAACACCACGGTCCTTCTAACCCTTGCAAACACTTTGTGCAGCGTGCTCTGTCGCACAGCGTGCTCTGACAAACGGAAATCTGGAAATCGTGGAAATCTCAAAATGAGGCTCTGCTGCTACAAAAGTTTGGCGGTCTGGTACGGACTTGATATTATATCAATCACATTGTGCGTTACAAAACTACACTGAATAAGAACACATATCAGGTGTAACCAGTCAGCCAGATGACTTGTGAATCATTTTACGAACTCCTCAAACACGGGCAGTCTGTGACGTCTTAGTTAAGGTCATGCTGCCTACATCTCGCCATAAAATATACAAATACGATTTTATTAAAGTTTAAAATTAAAATTAACTTGTAAATGCCATTTTCTTATGAGAGAAGGAATTGAAATTCAGTGTAACCATACTTGTTTGTGGTGTCTCTTTTCACTTTCACACGAGAAAATTCGGATCGGCTGAAAAGTAGGTCATTGTCGGAATAGGTTAATGAGACTCATGTTTCGGTTTGACTTGTGATAAGTGTTGTGTCATTTCAGTTAGAAATGATTGATTTTGAATATCTATGTGTGTCTTCATTAATGGCATTCAAATAAAGTATGAGCGTCAAAGTCCGTTTTAGCGGAGAGTAAATGTCTTCTCTCCAAATGTTCCCGGAAGAACCTGTGTCTCTGATGCCTTTCCGCGATCCATCACTCCTGCTCTAGTACTTGGTAACAGTCATGTTTGTGTACCGTGTAGAAAACGAAATTGCTGCTCATGACATTGTTAATCTACATTCTATCAAATAACAGCCATGTTTGTGTACCGTGTAGAAAACAAAATTGCTGCTCATGGCATTGTTAATCTAAATTCTATCAAACAGACCAAAAACATTTATCGTACCTCACACATAAATGTCGTTTTCTGATTGGCTGAGCGCTCTTCTATTATTTTCAATGTACCCCGATTACAAGCAAGTATCATTTTCTATGTTACCCGCTGGGAATGCGGAACTGTCAGAATTTATTTTGTACTTCCTGATGGTAATTCTTTGTCTGGAATAATTGTGTCACTTATGATGTACGAAAATTACGGATGTTTTGTGAATGCACAATCGATGGAAGGGAGAGAGAGAGAGAGAGAGAGAGAGAGAGAGAGAGAGAGAGAGAGAGAGAGAGAGAGAGAGAGAGAGAGAGAGGTACACATGTATAGATAGATAGATAGACCGAAGAATCGCACATGCAGAGAACGGCACATAAGAGATCAAACAAACTGCATTTGCGGAACGCCTGAATTCCGTGCTTTGACTGAGAGCTACGAACTCAGGTCTGTTATCTGGCACTAGTGACCAATGAACGCTGAGAAATAGGAATACCGGTAGACGGTGACTGACAAGGTCAATATAGAAGAGGGAGAAGCTGACAACATCATTCTCTCGCAGTAATTTCTGATGCCAAATAACGACGGTGTTTGCACCAAAACCCGATGGCAACAAAACATCCACTTAACGGGGATAATCTACAACGTTATATAGTCTCCCTGGTAATAAGGAAGGTAGGTTACTTCGTGGATGACAACATCTTTATCATATCATGACACCCTTGACAACGGTATGAGAACCTATACCGAAACGTCACATCAAGCTATAATATTGTCACCCATAAGGTATCTAACCTTTCACCTCTTGTGCATGTTTTTATTACACTCCAAATTACAAACAAATATTAACAGTGATCAACCAGCCGAGACAATTTGCCTCCTTATATATTTTTACATAATATATTTATAATAACAATAGAATTACATGAAAACGCTCCAGTACTTCCTCAAACATATCCAGAATCCACGTATACTGTTTGATCCACACTTTTTTTTGGACTGGGCAACCGTCTTGGCCTGACAAACTCCCCCGACCCAAAATCGACCCCATCAAAATCCATTCGCAAGCATTACGATCCTAACCAAGCAGCTCATTATATCAGACCTTTCCCTCTCGGTGGAATACCCTCTCAGTCAACAACTGACAAACTCCTCATACATCACAATAAGCTATTAAGAATGGAGGAAGTTCGGAATGGAAAATAATAAAAGCCACACTAGATACCATTGAGTTTTGGAGCACCATGATATATTCACCCAAGAGGAAGTACTATCGCGGGGCAATTTGGGTTTGGTATATGTTTCATTTTCATAATTGAAGACGAATTGTTTTACAAAGCTGACACCTGACTGGCTGATCACGTATTCTTCATTTTGATTGGGCGTTCGCTCCTGCGGGCGGTCTGTGAGAGGTTGATGGAGATAATTAAAAAATCTGACATAAACGGGAATTACACTTCTCTAACCCGTTTACATATTTGTCCTTCTCTCCTTCCCAGGCAAATGTCGAGCATTTTGAGGCCGAGGGAAGATCTAAATCAAAAGTGTTGATAACATGATTTTACACAATTGCACAAGTGAAAAGTCGACTTCACCTGAAAATGTTGATTTTGATGAGATTTCTTACAAGAATTAAAAAGGCATCGCCACAACGCCACAGAAATCACCTTCCAGTTGAAATTGTGCTGCAAAGAGCATGCACTGTCTGGCTGTAAAAATCCAGATTACTTTCGGAAATCGGCATCCGTTTTGAAGTAGTTTCAAGGTCAAATCACTACGCCAAGTCTTGACGCTGCGACACGGAACATCGCCATTGAAAGAATGCACGCTGGAAATTACCAATTTTCTGTTGCCAGGCGTCTGAATGTTAGTCTGAGCACGATGTCACGGTTTGCAGCTCGTTCCAACCGCACAGGTATTACAAATGATCGTCCCCAACTGGCAGACCTCGAGTCACCACTGCAGCCCAAGATCGGTACATCCGGGTACTACATTTGCTTGATCGTAGTGCCACGTGTGAAAGCACAGCAGCCAGGGTGCTTTCGAGGGATATCCGGTCAAACTGTACGGAACAGGTTGAGAGAGATTCGACTGAGAGCCAGGAGAGCCGACGCCGGGACCATGCTACGTGGTCACCATCGCGCTCAACGTCACCGCTATCTAAAATTATCCACTTGGTTGTGTAGACATTACCTTCTTCTAAACTGAAAAATCATTTCTTATAGTCTATTTGTGGACGAGTTATATGAAAATACAACATTTTCGCAACAGATTTCTGGGTTATGCGTTTCTTTTTTGGAACAGTATATTTATGATAATGGACATATAAAATTCACCTGTATTCACGCACTTGTGCATGCTCATTGTCCCACAATAAAATGAGAGGATATAAACAAATATACATGGTGGCTTAAGAAGTGTTAGTAATAGTGCTCTTGGAAAGGTTGTCAAGTGAAAGAAAGCTGTCAGAGACTCAGAAAGTTGACAGGAAGAGTATTTCAGAAAAATGGAGTTGCATGTAGGAATGATCGCTTGCCGAGTGAAGCTTAGCTACAGTCCGTTTGATTTCATTGGAGACCGATGAAATGCTCACTATCACAAAATCTAATAATTACAACAAAACCAAGTTTTGCATTGTCGACAGACCAACTGTGATGATTTGTCTCACAATGTTGGTAATCAACAAGCGTGTGTAGTGAAATGTCGATTCAGTTTCTTACGTGCAACTCGCAAACCTGGCTGTTCTACCAACATGTGGTCCCCCCTTCGTAACAAATAGCGAAAAGTGACAACAAAATAATTATCGTTTGTTAAACAACTTTTTTTATTCGGGTGTCCAAAATTATCAGACAAATGATCAGAGTTGGACTGTCGATCTCATGTGACTCAGTTTCGCCGTGTACCTATTGCTGGAACAATTAGGTGCGTAGCATTAAACAGCCAACAAATAAACAAAAATCATGTCTTTGAATACAAAGTAATCATCAGAGATTTTGTATTCCCTAACAAAAAGTACTCGAACTGATCAGAAATCCATTAATTTCTTCATTAATTTAAAAGCTGTTTCCTTTTTTGTGGCAAATTAGAATTTAATGCCACTGGGTTTTTGGCCAGTAATTGAATATGTGAATTTCTCCCAAGAATATTTGCAGAAAAATACACTTATGAAATATTTAGAGTGGTCCATATTAACGGAGCGAATTTTCAAAATGTGGCCCAGGCACATATATCATTAAAGAGAAACTGAGGAAAGTGTATGCCTACAGTATGGCGTAGTTTCAAGTGAGACAGGGGCGGAGGGGTAGCCTAATGGTTAAAGCGTTGGCTCGCCACGCCGAAGACCCGGGTTCGAATCCCCACATGGGTACATTATACAATGTGTGAAGCCCATTTCTGGTGTCCCCCCGCCGTGATGTTGCTGGAATATTGCTAAAAGCGGCGTAAAACCAAACTCAGTCAGTCAGTCAGTCAAGTGAGACAAGACAAGAATGCTACGTACACATATGTACAGTAGATTTTGCATTCGGACCATATCCTGAAATCATCCAATAATGGTGTGTGTGTGAGTAACTTATTGGGCAGGGCATTAAAATATAAAAATATGCGAATGTATAACCTATGTGTGAAGTCGATTCGAGGTTCAGTCGTTCTTCGGGCGGTTACAAATAACTGTCAGAAAACAACGACCCTGAACTGGTATTCAGCTGTTCAACGGACACATGCAGTGTGCGAAATAGCCACTGGCCCGCTAGCTCATGGCTAGAAAAAATCCAGCCGGGCCAGTAAAAATCCAGTCACTGGCCCGACTGGCTAGTGAAGTTTCATGGGGTCATTTTGTAAATATATCACTTTCTCCGACTTGTTAAGTTATAATACACTTTTAAATCTTGGAAAATTATGGCGTGGTAAAAATGTTCATCATATTAGCAGCTTAATAATGACTTATTTAAGTTATTTGAGCATAAACAAAATATTTCAGAAATTCAGGCCTGTGTTGTCTTATTTGCTTTTGATTGTATTTTACCTTTTTGTATTTTTTTGCATAGTTTCTGCATTCAAATTTCTGGTTAGTGAATTATTTTGTGGGTTAGTAACTTTAAGGCCCGACTGGGCAGCAATATTTGGAAACTATAACGCACACTGGCCACATGGAAATCACACACATGTGATGCTTCTTCCATCCTGAGTAATTGGGTTTGGTCACAGGCGCAATGGCACACAAACTGTACCACTGATTCAACCGCTCGTAAAATAATCGTGAGATCTGAGATCTGACAGCCAAGAAAACAAGAGAACACGATTCTGTGATTCAGTTTAGTTTAGAATATTCCCCAATATTCCAGTGGTCTGTAAGTAATCGAGTCTGGACCAGACAATCCAGTGATCAACATCATGAGCATCGATCTACGCAATTGGGAAACGATGACACGTGTCAACCAGGTCAGTGAGTCTGACCACCCGATCCCGTTAGTCGCCTCTGACGACAAGCATGGGTTACTGAAGATCAATTCTAACCCGGATATACACGGGTTGATTCTGTGAGTAACTGTCACGGCGCCACAGAATACCAAAATATATATTAAAATTGAAATGAAGGAATTATTTGATTTATGGGTTTTTTCGTAGCTGTTAACAGCATTCCAAGAACGTAACACGCATATGTGCACGCAAACTTACATATACTCATGCCAATAATGGTTGTCACCCCTTCAATTTTTTAATTGGAGTGGGGGTGGGGTGTGAGGAGGGTGGGATGGGGAGTGGGGTTGACAACCATTATTGGCATGAGTATATTATGCATTCATACATTGATATATGCACACACGCACGCACGTTACATACACATGCATTAACGCACGCAGGCACGCAAGCATGCATGCACGCGTGCATACATACATGTACGCATACATACATACATACATACATACATACACGCATACATACATACATACATACATACATACATACATACATACATACATACATACATACATACATACATACATACATACATACATACATACATACATACATACATACATACATACATACATACATACATACATACATACATACATACAACCAATCTGAAAGATCTGTTCTCCAGCGTGAGCGCTCATCTGAAACTGAACTACCTGAGGGAAGTTGATTTATATCATAAATTGTAACTGTGTAATGTCACTAACGAATTTACCTGCTTTTCAATTTAGTGCTATGACATTCTGTTCCAAAATGACAATGTAATGAATGTGTGTCTTTGAAACGAAACCACTTTGTACTTACAATGTATATTAATGCAGACTTGTTCTCGTCACTACATGGCTGGAATAATGCCGATGTGACGTAAAGCCCAACTCAACTCAACTCAACATAATACATACATACATCTGTAATCCAACGCCATTTACCGATTTACTTAACATCATCATGTAACTTCTAGCAAATGGCAACATCACATCACTTTTGAACATAGTCCGATGTTCTTTTTCATCGCCTCAAACACAGAAACATAAAAAAAACACCCTACTGCCCACCACCCTACAACAAACACATGAAAATGAAAGAGCTTTGAACCGAAAGAACGACAAGTAGATCCTGACCCTACTAAGGGCGGCAACTTTGTACAGAGAATAGAGGCATCTTAGACCACCTGATAAATGATGATTGCTGGACAGTCGCTACACCATTGATTGACTGTTGTTTAACGCCACTCTCAGCAATATTCCAGCAATATGGTGACAGTCTGTAAATCGAGTCTGGACCAGACAATGCAGTCATAGAGCATCGACCTACGCAACATGTGTCAACAAAGTCAGAGAGTCTGACAACCCGATCCCGTTAGTCGCCTCTTACGACAAGCATGGTTTGCTGAATACCAATTCTAACCCGGATCTTCACGGGTCATACTAATTAAACAGTATTGGCATTCAACAACACAATCCCCATTCTCTTCCCACAGAGGTTACTTGTCATATCTTCCTACGAACCTCTGTTCTAATACGGCCATATTTCCCGGTTCTCGTAAAATCCCCTAGCGGCAAAAGATCGCAACACAAATTATCTCCCTTCTTTCTATCCAATCAGAACACGTGTTACATCGACTTAGATTCAACTTGACTAACACAAAAGATGTGGGGCCACAAACATCCCCCATCTGCCGGGGACTTGTGTTGAAGTTACACACAAGACGTTTAATGGCTAGCTTGTCCGTTGTCAACGAGGGCGATGGAGGACGCCACTGATCCGCCATAACTTGACTGAGTTCTGTCTACAAGAAACGTTTGCGCATCGCGCAGGGGAAGAAGTTTAGTTTTCTCGAAGCATACGGAAATTACCGAGGCCTTGCGAATGATCACTTTTGAAACAACGTCGCTGATTGCACAACTAAATCTGATTGCCTCCAATCACGAGTCTTGAACGCTCACACCATGAAAGGGCCGTATTAGAACAGAGGTTACGTAGGAAGATATGACAGGAGTAACCTCTGTGGGAAGAGAATGCACAATCCCGTGAAGATCCGGGTTAGATAACTGGCCTTCAGCAACCCATGCTTGTCGTATGATTCGCTGACTTGGCTATGCATTTCATCGTATACCAATTGCGCAGCTCGATGTTCATTATGTCAATCCAGGATGGTCAAGCACCGGTTATTTACTGACCGCTGGAATATAGTTGGGTGTGGCGTTAAAAAAACCAAAAACAACAACAAAATTCAACAAAAGAAGCAGTCACTCACCACACATCTATTAATAAAATGAATTACAAATGTCTTCAGTTTTCAAGCAGTAAAGTTTCTATTTTGTTCCAGAAGACTTCTTCTTCCTGGTCCGAGTCTTGCATCCACACAATGTTGCACTCCCTCAGCGGCACCAGTAACAATAACCTGCCAGCCATGAGGTCGGAGATAGAAAAGGCTGCTGTGCAAAGACTGAAGTAAGCCCAGTCTTCTTGAAGAAACGCCGGTGTCAAGTATAGGATCGTCTTCCAGGAACCATGGACGCTCTGCATTATTGCATCGGCTTTATTCACACCAGGAAGTATATCACGGTCATGGAGAAGAAGTCGAAAACCTTTCTCGATCTCCAATCGTTGTCGTAAAGTGAACCAGGGCCATCTGTAGTCGACGTCGGCGTGCATAACATTGAAGTCATACACAAAGTCGCCACGAGTCGGCAGACGCACGTTCAAACCAGACAGTCGGAAAAACCAGTACACAATTCTTGTTTTGTTACGTTTAACTAAAATGAAGACTAAAATGCTTACTACAAAAACCAAGTACGTAGTCAGTGTCAGGTATCACCACAATTTGCCTTTACATGCCCGCCATAACTGTTTTAAGTTTATGTTCTTTGTTGACAATATGGCGCCATCTTCGCCGATGCAAGTGTAATTACCTCCCCTGTCTAAAGTCAAGTAGGTCTCGGACAACCATTGCACAAATCCTATTGTTCTGCATCCGCAAGACATGATATTCCCATTTAATTTCAGAAAAATCGCTGGACATTCGACTGGTGCAGATCTAACTGATCGCATGTTTTGGAACTCAACTGACTGATAGCATTATATTGCAAATCTAATTCCTGAAGTTTTGGCGTGGTTCTAATATCAAAGGGGAATTGCTTGAACTCATTTTGTGACAAGCAAAGTTTTGTTAAATTAACAGAGTTTTGGAAAATTGTTGGATTAACAGATACGACCCTGTTCCTAGAGAAAGAAAATTCTTTCAGATGTTTAAAGACCGATGAGATCCAGTCAAACTGTTCAGGGTCATCATCCTCCCCAGACATCGTCACAGCGTCCATGTAAACCTTTTCTATTTTTTGTAGAGGTTTAAAAACTGTTCCCATGAATTTAAAATGCATTAAAGTATTATCAGATACATCCAGAGCTCTCAGAGCAGGCAAGCCGCTTACTGTAAAGGAGGGAAAGAACTTCAAACCAATCCTAGATATATTAAGTTCTTTAAGGTGTCTGGCATTGGTGAAGTGGACGTGGTAGAACAGGGTGGCCAACTTCCACGGGAAATGGCTGGAGTTTAATGATGTCAGTTTATTTGGGATGGTAATATACAGAGAAGGAAAAGGTATCTCGCTTTTAGAAGGTCCAGTACGCAAGTTAAGGTCATGTGACTTACCTGTCACTCCCTGCATTTTCTGATTCGAAACATCTAGATTTACCAAATTTCTGAACTTTCTTATCATCCTCAAATTTGGAATTTCGGCAATCCTGTTCCCACTGACATCGATTTTATCAACACATGTAGAGAATGTTGATAAAGCTAAGTCGCCTATGTCGATCAGCAAAATGTCGTTATTGGATAGCTTTAACTCCTTGACGCACACGTTCCCAAGTGCTTGCAGTTTTTTGCGTTGTCATTATGCTATCATTGAGCCTGACCTCCCAAGGATTGGTATATACCTTCAGAACATTTGAAACATCTATGAACGTCATATGTATGTCAGTCAAGCTTTGTAAACTTTCAATGGCGTTTGCGACACCAAAATCATAGTTATGAGACATGTCTAAAATTTCCAGGAATTTCAAAAATTTAAAAGCATCTTTGTGGACATCTCTCAATGAGCACCATCTAAGGTTTAGTGTCTTCAAGCTTTGAAATACATGGAATGTGTTGTTTCGGATGACTTCTAATAGGCAAGTTGGTCCGTTCAACGTTCCACTGAACTGAAGTGATTCTAAGCTTCGACGGGAGGTGAAGCCACCATTAAATACGGGGTTCGGCATGGTATCAATGGAAAGTTCTTTTAGCATTACCAGAGGCTTGAACATTTGATCAGGGTAACTTCCAGTTTCACTCAAATCATTGTACTCTAATCGAAGAACTTTTAACTTCTTTAGTGGGTCGAACACTCCAGGATGATATGACGAGTACTTAAGCTTTAAAACGTTTAGCTGTAGATACAGTTCTTCCAAGTTGGGCAGGCCTTTGAAAGCATTCACCTCCAGTTGAGAAATATGATTGTCTGAAAGGTTCAAAACCCTCACCCATGAAAGGTCTTGAAATGAGTTGTTCAAAATTGTTAAGAGGTGGTTTTTTGCGAAGGTTGATAAAGGACGTATTCGTAGGAAAGTTAACGGGAACTTCTGACAGATTCTTAGAAGTACAGTCGACCAAGAAGGATGCGTTTACGGAAGTGACGTCACAAACTGTCATGGCGTCTGGATGACCCCGTATCATCTGCACAGACATTGCAGAGATCATTACGAGAAAAATGTTCTGCATGGACATTTTGAGTGTGTCAGCTCAGCAGCCGTCTCCTCTTTCACTAAAACAAAGCAGAAACAGCTTTCACTAAGGAATTTCAATATGTTAACATATGTCCTATTTGGACTGGACGTAATTCATCATGGAAAATGGCGGACGGGACCGGAAACAGCGCCCCCTGGAGCAAAGGCATGCGATAAGTAGAGTTAACCGGGAGCAGTACTGCAGTAAATAGGGTTTTACGAAATTGTGGACTGTTTATCCCAGTTCTGGTCGTATCCGAGTTCTGGTCGCTACAGACGTCGCTAAGAGGGCGGTGCTATAACTAGGTTTGATGCTCGTGCTATACAAATCGACTTCAAGAAGACGATAGCTCAGGAGGCGTCCATTGCTCTGATGCAGTGATAAGACGCTGTAGAGACTCTAGATATTATGTTCAGACCAAATCAAATGCACCTTACTCGGAAATTATCCCTTTCAGTGTCGAGACGATTTGCACGACGCGAGCATCAAGGTTATTGCACTAGTTACCGTCATGAAAAATAAATAAATTATTTACCGAAATTAATTGAAACTGCAGATGTATAAACGTTTGGCCAACGACATATGCATGAGGAAGTAAGACGCCATTACGCAAGTTATTTGGATTTATATAAATGATAAATGTGCTTGATTCTTTCTTATGTTTATTTCTTTTTAATTTGAAAAAACGTGTCACGGACAACTTAAGTCATGTCTGTCTTTCTATTAAATGTTAGTAAAGTGTTCGAGAAGAAAAGTAGGTATATTGTATTGGATGGGTGGCCGTGTTTGGCAGCTTGACTCCTGAGAGTGTCTAGGACTTCAGTCCTGCCCCACAACGAAGCACATGTAAAACATGTGGTCTCATCTTAGGCAAGAGAGTTTGTTCAAAATTGCCTCTGTTCACCCAGCAGAAAATGGGTACCCGCTGGGATAAGTCATGTGACTATTAACCTTCTAGCGCCTCACAGACAGCTTGGGTGTCACCAAGTAGCAAACGTCAGAGAAATGCATCACTTCAGGATTTCCACACGAATTTGAAACACCTTCATGTAACGGGATCATTGTTCAAAATGGCGTTAACCAAATCCACTCACCAGTGTAACGTTCCTCAAAACAAGACCTACCTTTACCGAACAAGCTCACGTTAAACGATGTCAACATCAGTTTGCCATGTATTGCGCAACGGAGCTGACAAATTCAGGGAAAACTAAATTGCGAGTTTTCCTGTTTCTCAAAACCGATGTAAGATGAAAACGCTTTGTTTTAATTTTGTGTTTCAGGTATTGCTCAGTATTCAAAATTTGTGCTGGACCGCCATTTTGGAATAGATGTCCCAAACAGTAAATGTCTGAACTACGGACAAACGGGTTCGTATTAACGAGGTTTTAGTGTAAATATCCTGTAGAAACACTCCACAGAAATATACGTCAATACAAAGGGAGATATTCTCTCAATTCTTCTGATTTCCCTTTTTCTCAGGCCACACGTTCTCCAAACGACCTTGACCTTCCTCTTAAACTTTCAAACGAATAGGAGTACGTTTACCATTATATTAAGGTTTTTTCGTGAGTTGAAATGGGAATGAGAATCCTTGGTGGATGAAAAACGTGGATACGTTATGCTAATGGTCTGTGCAATGGGCCCTGTTAAACAGTCCTTGACTCACAAACAGGCTGTATTCCACTTGTGCGAGTCATATATAGGAAGTTGGATGTGAAGTGTATTATGATCTCTGGTGGTTGTACATTAAAACAAGGAAGGAAAAGTACTATGCAATATAGGATACGGCTAAGCACAATTTTCATTCCTCGTGCAGAATGTGTAGTTCCTCCAGCCACACCTTTTGTTTCATCGTAAATTCTATTCTTTATTTCGTTTTTCAGAATAGTTGCTGTAGAAACTGAAAATAATTCTTTCCTAACTTAAAATATTTGTTTATCTATTTCATCGTAAATGGTATTCTCATTTCTCAGAATAGTTTTTGTAGAAAATAGTACTTATCTGACGTTATATTTGCATGTTTATCAGAAAATGACACCCTCCGATACCATTTTTATCTGTTGACAGATATCTGCCACTGGGGGCGACCTGGGGCGTTGGGCGTAGATCTGAATGGCCTTATCGCCCTGCTTATATAGTCCCACTCTTTAGGAAGTTCCCCACGTGTCGTTTGATAACAATGAGTGTATCAAACACGGGTCGGTGATATGTTTTAACTTCCTCGACGTGTGTTGAGAATGTTTGAAGGCAGACGACATTCGATGAGCTTCTCTATATCATTCAAAATAATTCTTCCAATATTTTCAGCTCATAAACAGTGTTTTGGGTGTAAATGTTAACCAAGCGTCAGTGACAGAAAGATTAGTATTAGCATTTGATTGTGTCGATATGGTAACGAAGACGTCGCAATGATCCACAAGCATTGAGGTGCAGTTTGAACTCACAGTTTGATATTATATCCCCAGTGGAAGCCAGCATCGATTAACAAACTAAGTAATTAAGTACATATGGAACTAATAAATGGTGCTCTCTCTCTCTCTCTCTCTCTCTCTCTCTCTCTCTCTCTCTCTCTCTCTCTCTCTCTCTCTCTCTCTCTCTCTCTCTCTCTCTCTCTCTCTCTCTCTCTCTCTCTCTCTCTCTCTCTCTCTCTCTCTCTCTCATTATTCGTACAATAAATTAAAGGAAACGTAAAAGTAGGTAGCTACCATGAAAACTCACCGTTATGTATAGCATCAAGGTTTAACTCCGTACTGGTTTTTATTCAACTGAAAGCATGATAGCAATCACAGTTGCAATCGCAATGATTGTGTTTGTCAGTTTAGAGTCATTGGAGTGAATACCACCATTCAGGCCAGTAGAATGCGTTCACCAATGAAAAGGCACAGAAACGGATCTCACGACTTAACAATGTGAATGAACTTATTCCGGCTACAAGGGAGTGGTGTATGAGTTGCTCTAGTGTAATAGGATTATACCCCCGTTAACATGGCTATTAGATCTTTGTTCGGATTCCCGATACTGGGTGACAGACAAGAATAGGTGACGGTTCATTTTGGAAACGACAAGAGCTAAGTATTAAAAGTGGCAATAGGTTTCCTTTACCGTTGAATCAGGTCACTGTAGTGTCTTTGGGGCTCTGTAAGTGCTTCTGAGATCGTATGGTTTGTATTTGCAGTAGTGGTTAAATTATAATGGGTACAGTGAGCGAGTTAGTGAACTTAGGTTTGCGCAGCTTTTAGCAATATTCCAGCAATATCACGGAGTTGGACACCGGAAATGGGCTTCACACATATTAGGGAATCGAACCCGGGTCTTGGGCGGGACGAGTGAACGCTTTAACCACTCGGCTACTCCCGCCGTCCCGCAATGGGTACAGAAACTTTCACTTGAGTTAATGAATCTGTCGAGACAAAATACATGAATATCATATGCCGTGAAAAGATACTGATCAATGTTTTTTTATGTCATAAGCTTATGTCACGGATAAATGCTTTAGTTATATGAAGACGTTTATATGTATGCGTGTGTGGCCGTTTGTATTTGTCTGGACTTTAGAGTGAGTGAGTGAGTGTGTTTTATCGACGCTTTTAGCAATATTCCAGCAATATTACGGCGTGGGACACCAGAAATAGGCTTCACACGTTGTACCCATGTGGGAATCGAACCCGTGTCTTCGGCGTGACGAGCGAACGAACTTCGGGCATATATTTCATATGAATCTATACCTGTTAAACATATGCTCATCGTACATTTTCGTATGCACAAGTACCTCGTTCATGTATGCCATGACCGGATTGTCAGGTATTTCCAAACATGATTTGCAAAACAGATACCCCAGTAAATACATGATCATACAGTATTTCCGATGCATTCCTTTGAATTTTAATGGGTGGTGAGATTTCCGATTTCGTTCTAAGTTTACTCAGGTTGGAAACATGTAAATTTACTGAGGTGGGGAAACACATGTAAGTTTTCAAATTTGCAAATGTTTACACACCTTAGATATGTATGTTTCATACCAGATATCAGGGGTATGTATATGAACGGTTCATACACCTTCACGTT